GAAGATATCATATGAGTCCGGGCGCACGGAAACCATGATGCGTATAAAGACAATCGAAACGGGGGCAAAAGAGGCAAGGACCTCAAGACACGGCACGAGCTCAGATAAAAAGGACAAAACATCGGAAGAAAGACATGCAGGCAGCATATTGGTATGGAAGGTACCGAAACAGGCTGGACTGAAGTTCAAGCTGCCCGGACCCGGAGGAAGCGCAGCGACAAGGGGGCGAGAGGCTGACCGAGTGGAGCGCAAGGGCAAGTCCGGATTGAAAGAATAGAAAAAAATAACTTACTGTAAATCCTGCATCACAGGCTGCTGTGCGTGGTACCTCACGCCGTTGGTGTCAGGCATGGAGACGAGACCTCCGACTCGCTGGCTATTGTCGTCTTCATCCGTTCCAAACCCTGTCACATGGGAGTTGATATAGTCACCCTCCGAAGTAACGGGATCGTTCAATGAGAATACCTCCGAGAGAAGTGCTGGGGAATTCATAGGTTAGAGAGACAGGGAAGATATATGGAAAAAAAAAGAAAAGAAAAGAAAGTAAAAGTTGAAAACAATATCGAATCAACCGCATGACGGAAAGAGCAGGGAATGGAAAAGAGAGAAGCTTACAGGGATTCATCCTGAGCGTGCTGATGCCAGGTGCCTCGAGGACCCTGAAGTTTTTTCTTTTGTTAATGTAACACACTGGGCGAGACGCCAAAGCCGTCTAGCCCTTGAAGTCTTGGGTGGCAAGAACTGGATGTCTAGAATAGCATCAAAAAAAAGTTAGGTAAGGTCGAAAGGACTCTGCATAGTCAAATTCCCTCACAGTACTCGATTGATACCTCTGTCTGAATCGCCCAAAAATGCGTATGCTTTGAGCCTATGAGAATCACAGGGAAAACCCAGCAAAACAGTTCTTGGATATAAACCAAAAACACGATTCTGTGAGAGAGTGGGTTGGAGAAAGTGATAAGACTTGCCTAGGTGGAAGGGAGTAGACAAGTGATGAAGAGCAAAGAAGTATAAAAGAGGGTTTCAGGGTTATAAAGATGGGTGCGAGGTGTAATACATAGTATGCTAAATTTTGCGTAAAACGGTGCCCTTTTGGACAGGCGTTGACAAGAAGTAGATGAAAAGCCAAGTGCGTCACTGGTTTATAGACATGGCTTCCTAATTGGGAACTCCAACTGAAGTCATAGGTACAAAAGTACAAAAAGGAAGAGTGCAATAGATCGGGCCAGAAGATCCAAGAGAGAGAGGGAAGAAAGAAGATGGGCAAAGGAAAAGAGCCTAAAATTCACCAAAAAATACAGGAATAATAATACATACATATCTAGTAATAAACAGCAAATAACACTTTTTAAAAAAAATAAAAAACACCCAGAAGGGGCAAGAAAAGTAATCTGGTGTGACAGCCTTGGAGCAAATAAAAAGCTCTATCTTGCAGGTACAGAATGCTTCAAATTCTGCAACCCTATGGTATTTCAAGAAGAGCAGATCTTCAATTTGTGTTGACAGGTTGCATGGAGTATATCTGTGGCTTACCTGAAGAAAGAGGTGTTAAGATTAGATGTACGTATACATGTATACAATCTTTACCGGGAAAGGTTGCAATTGATATCTAAAGATTCCGGTCTATAATTTTTCTTTTATGTGAAAGCCGGTCCCAGGATTGTTGAATCATTAGCCCAGTCTAGCCGAGAGGCGACCATGAACCACGAGCTGCCAGGGACAGTGAAATACGTATTCGGCAATGCCCAATGGGTTTGCATAGGGGTCCAACCATAATCGGTGAAAGGTATCCAGATTATCATTTGGGGATCTCTGTAGAAAAAAAAAAAAAAAAGAAAAAGAAAAAGAAAATCATATTGCTTATTTTCTTTTCTTTTCTCGATGATTTGTATTTTGAAGTTTTTGAATTTGGAATTTGGGTCTAAGCGCAAATGGGTTTAGGTTTGTATATCCACAAGAGCATCAAATCATCACCGGCTCCAGATAGTTTGATTGTTTAAGGGGTATGGGCATTGGTCCATGTTGCTAGACCCGATATGCTGCACGGACCGTAAGGCATGGTACGTACACGTTGTATGTTTTTTCATTACAGATAATTCCCGATGGGATCAGATGTCCTAGTGCGAATACCCGACAGACGGGTCGCTGCAGGAGAGCGAAATAAGATGAAACTAGAAAGGATAGAGGAGGTGATCGACCCCCAGGATATGTACCTATGCAGACCCATGACAGAGGTGATGTATCAGGCTTGGGGACTCCACCAATGACAAAAAAGACATGCTGAATTAAATATGAGAAATAATCAAATAGGGAATATGTTTTTTTTTTCTTCAACCGAATTCCATGATGTTTTGTTAGAAGGCCTGTCGGAGTAGTTCCTGATTCATTTTCAGATCCTTGGAAGTAAGCTCGAGGCACCAACGGTGCATGAAGAAAGTGGAAGATCATGCGATCGACAAATTCCATTCAGCATGTTGCATTGTCCATGTTGGCGGTGTTCACACCGACCCGAGTAACAAAAATAGCACGTTCGAGAGGATGCAACCTTCAACTAGATCCACTCTTGAAACCTTGTAAGGTTGGAGAGCCAGCTCCTTTGGCAAAACTGTATGGCTCCCTGCAGGATCTCCAGTCTCCACTAGAGAAGCTAGAGTAGCTGCGCGGGGTATACAATCATTGCGGTCCGTACCCGGGAGCCTTTTCCAGAAAGCGGCACTAGTCCCACCCTTCCACCCTTCCACCGAGATATCAAAGTTCAAAAGATCCCCAGTGGGACATCGATCTCGACAGAACCGCATAGTGGCTAAAAGGATCGACCATCCTGCAGAAAAGTCTGGGTGGCAAGTGAAAAAACACCCGTAAGCTTACGATTGGTTGGGATTAGCCGTAGATTCGATTTCCTCAGTGGTTATGGCGGCCCCGGTATGTTGTGCAGTTCGCCCCCACACACAATGCTTGCCGAAATCGGTATTAGGTGCATTGATTAGCCTTATCAGGTTAAAAGAATGTAAAAAGAGTAAGTCTAACTTCAAATCATATAGTCAAAGTTAAAGGAGAGACCATCTTTTCTGACTCTCGGGGGATCACCCCTTCCCGGATGACGGTCATGGGGGCACGTGCAGGGGGCGGTGAACTGGACATTAACTTACAGGTACCAGGTACATCGATGGGTGATATTCAATTGGTGGATAGACCATGTACATTATACTTTATGTGTCTGCCTATATTGTATAGGGCTTTGGGTATATCTTCACCTTTCTATATGGATTACTCCATAAACATTCCCTCATGTCATTACCCACTCTTAACTAAAATCAAATCTCAAATCATTGCAACTAATGCACCTGAATGACACTATCAGATCCATTTCCCGTCTTCACATGTCACTTTTCGATATATCAACTTTACCTCAGGTACGGAGTACAACACTATGAGATACAGACTACTCAGAAATTGTCCGATACGTGGGTACCAGCGCTGCAGGTACCTCCAAGCCAATGCCAATAATAATCTGACTTTGGGAAAATACATGGATTTTCTTCGACATGGATTAGCCCCAGAACCCTTGAAGCAGGAAAACTCTGAGGTTGCAACTGTCTCAGCCAATCTGTCACTTTGGACCCTGTCTCTGTCTCGGGCACGTGCCATCTACCGAGTCTGTTCCATAGACATCTCGAAATCTATTCCCGTACAACAATTCTTCAATAGCAGAGCCGGCCAATGCTATCCCCTTGCTGGTTACATTCGGGTGTTTGATATTGGGGCGCAAAGCTACAGCTCGGCTAGGCAACGGTAGACGTTGAGTTATAACCAAATCCCGGAGTCGGCAATGCTGACTTGACCGTGTTAATGGAGTACGACTTTTTACATCAACAGCAGAAAATTTAAACCCCTCAAAAAAAAAAAGATGATTGGTCGACAATCTAAACATGGGTACAGACCCAGAGTGTCATTTGAGACTGATATCCCCTTGTCTTGCTGCCTCAGCCCTATATGCTTGTTGCTCCAGGATCTTAGGATGCGACACGCCCGATGGACGCATATACCATGGTTGATGCTCCAATCCTGGTCGATTGGGTCTAGAGTTCAAATCCTCATATATCGGGGGAGATGTTCCTGGACCAAGTAAGGAAAGAGTCATCTATCGGAAGACAATACCGTGAGGCTTTTCTGCTCATCTTTTCTGCCTTGAGGTAGATTAAAGTTTTACTTTACCAACGGTCGAGGCCTCCAGGGCTTCCATCCCGAGACATCCACCGGGCTTGACCGGGCACAGACTTGGTCTAATTCTACCATCTTATACCATGTCAACACAATATTCAGCTCTATTCAATGGCAATGGTACCATTTTGAAACGAATTTTCCCCGACCTTTCTTTCATGGAGACAAAGCAGCCCAGGCTTCTATGGCTCCACAATTCCACTGGGTTGCCTGGACACAAGGTTCTGTGATGGGGTACCTATGTATCACTTCTTCCGAGATGGTTACTTTGAGAGTAGACCCGAGTACTGGTAGTCCACTGGGCTAGATGCCTGGGAAATTGGATCATTTCGCCCTCTTCCTTGTCAGCAAGAGTTTGCCCCGAGACTGGGATGATCATTGAAAGTTTCCCCACTCTGTCATCCCAAACTTTGATCACCCTGGATCTACAGCCCGCCAGCACAGATCGTATCACGGCCACGAAGCTCCCGGCCAAAAAGGTTCCAAGGCCTGAAGTATCCGACCCTGTCGGCATGGATGGAAAGACAAGGCATCAACCAAACAAGGATTAGATGGAAAGAATAATGTCTCATTGGCCCGCCGCCCTCCAAAATTCTAGATATAAAGCTTGTCAGGCAGTAAATATGCTTTGGATGGCGCGTCGGATGCAGACCAGTTGAGGACTCCACTCATCCATTAATTCATCCGGCCGTTTTTTTTGCCTCCCCGTGGCAATTCTCACTAGCCCTTGACAACCATCCTGGGAGTAGATCAGCCAACCCTGAGCCGTGCCCGTGTAGCACGGGAACAGCCAAGAAAAAAAACTTGCTCACTGGCCGAAACGCTCCCAGCGAAGAACTGCCCTTCTGGTCAAACTCCTTGAGCCAATAACAAGTGGGATCTTGTTGTTTGGCGCCGATATTCCCTGCAATGCCACTGGGACCTCGGAACGTCACGAAACGCCATTTCGCATGTGTCTGCTGTCATATTGGATGCCGCGGTGGCGGAGTGGAATGATAAAAGTATGGTGGCGTGCTGAGAGTTTCCGAGGGAGCTAGGACTAAAGCTACAGGGAATATTTCGGCCCTCTCCGTCATTTTCTACGTAGTCCGTGTCTAGTAGGGGAGCATTCGGTGAAAAGCCGGACCCGTAGGTAAGCTTTTCCCGCCGATTCAAGTCTCTTTCCTAAAAGAAACACCGATCCTACGTTATGCAACCCAATCCCGTTACCGGGAAATTTCAGGACGACTTTTGCCGACGAGGCTGGGTCTGTGTTTAACTTGCTGAGATCTAATATCGATCTGTACATTGGTACTTTGGTGATTGAGCCTGGGATCTGGCACCCGAGGGCGTAACTGGTACGCAGTAGTGTTGGAGCTAGGGCACAATAGGAAAACGTCCAGGTTATCTGAACTTCAATTCCTTCCGATGTCATCTTCACTGTCATGCGAAGATGCAGAAAATTTGATGTCTCGATTACAATCCCTGAAGCCTTCGCTGCATCGAACAGTCGAGGCCTGCGACATTTATCTTCCAGATGACAGTCTGGCCGCCAACGGCGTGCAGGGTTATTGTCAGCCGAGTCCGGAACCTAGGCACCAGACTTGTGCTGGCTAGGAGGGTGGGAAGATGTGGAAATTTGTCAAGGCTGAGGTCAGCAGCGAGGGAAAGCTCGCAAAGAGCAGACTGGCCTTGATGCCCATGGGTTACCATCCTCTGCTACCATGTTAGCAGCTTGAGACAACTTGAGCCTTTTACCAAGAAATTTCAGGATTAACATGTCTAGTGAACGTTGAAACGCAGTTTGAATCCAACAATAATCATCACCCCCCTGCAGATCCGCACGTCGAAAACCAAATAAAATGCGGGATGATGAACTACCCTAGCAGACTTGCCCATAGATGTCGTTTCGGGGTGTCGTCGCTTCATAGTAGCACGTGGTTGGCCTTCCATGGGTGCTTCCAAGGTTGAGATGTTCCATGGTAGCCGTGACGCAATTATAGAACAGTTGCTTCGAGAAGAACATTGGAAGGATTATCAAAAACGTATAAAGAAACACTGCTATCGTGGATGAGGGTACGACCATTGAAATAAGTAAGAAAACCATGTATGAAGTTCAAAATTTCTCTATCCCATTGCTTTTGTATAGACTGACGAATGCAAGTAACTGACATGCTGGATGTCTTTTTGGGAATCATCATTATCAACCATGTCCTACAGTACAAGGAAAAGAGCATCGGCCTAAATATAGGCCCGCCTAAGAAGAAGGAAAAGTTCCATTCAAAAAGTCGTAAGAGAGAACCGAGAAAAAAGTTTAAGTAGTGCGCTTGGCGAACTCGACGCGGAGAATAAGGTGGCGGTAACCGACTATCAGAAAACCAGGTTAGCAATCGAGGAACTTGTAGAAAGAAGACCACGAAACGGAATGTTGAAGACATACAGCCATCCACCTTCTCGCAAGCAAGTGCTGCGTCGCCACGATCCGCATAGCTGATGAAAGCAAAGCCCTTGGCTCTCTGGGTTTCCCGATCCCGTGCAAGGAAGACTCTGGTGACACGACCGAAACGTTCGAAGAGATCCCGCAACTCGTTCTCCTCTGCCAACTCGCTGACCTGTTTGCAAAAAAAAAAAGAAAAAGTCAGTACCAAACCAAAATAAACAACCATACTCGTAAAGCTCGTAGAAAGCAGAACAAGGGCAGAACGTACGTTTGTAACTCTCAGAGTCGCCAAATCGTCCTTCTCGAAGCGACCACCCATCTTCTCGCCGCCACCAGCACCGCCCTTCCGCATGTGAGGAGGAACGTAGCTGGACTTTCCAGCACCGAGACCACCCGCATCGTCCTCTGCCTCGGCGCCACCAGCAGCAGCAGTGCCCTCCTCGACGGGGGCCATGGTGTCCTTGAAGGGACAACGGGCCGTGAAATGCTCTCCACTGCAAATACGACACTTGACCTTCTTGTCCTTCAACTGGTCCTTCATGCTGCCCTTCTCGCCACCCTCCTTCTCAACCTCCTTAGCGTTGGCCTTCCAGTTGACGCTGGGACGGAAGATGATGTTCTCGCCGACGGAAGTAGTATCGAACGTGGGACCGGCGGGGTGGCCCTTCTCGAGACCGAACTTGTCCCATTTGCGGCGTTCGGCGACCTGGGGGTTGACGTGTTCGCGGACAATAGTGGTCTTAATTCGGCGGGTGACCTTCACTTTCTTGTTGTCATCGTTGTAGCGGTAGGAGATGACGGTCTTGGTGCCGTCCTTGTTCGCGATCACTTCTTGCGGCGGGAGCACGGAGGGGTCATCGAAATCTTCGTCGTCGGCCCAGTCGGCGCGGCTGTAAGATAGAAAGTTTTGTTAGGTCGGTATTTTTTTGTAGGGGTGCAAATGTGTATACTCACTTTCCGGTTGGAGACATGGTGTAAGTGATGGTGTTATTACGGCTGCTGAATTTCTGGATTTCTTTCAAAGGCGAATCCGTTGTGGATTTAATAATTTCCCGTGGCGCAGTTGTGGCTGGTGGCGGAAATCACGTGGCGCGGTGTGTATAGCCCCAGAAGTGTTAAAGGTTTAACCTCGTTTTAACATACTGATGGAGTAAATATATCTGTTCTCCCTCGTGATAAGCATGATAACATTCAGCGAGTTCTGAAACCTGGACATATCAACGGTAAAAGAACGGTTTCCAGACATAGTTAGCGTTGAGGGCCCCGAGAAGATTTCCTTCGAACCAGAGCGAATATTTGCAGTGGACAGGGTAGTCGTTCGCCCTGATCTCGTACTTCACCTCGTGGAGTGACGAAGGCAGTATTAGAAATTTGGTTCTATTTGCAAATTTTGGCAATGTTGACACGCAATTACTTCACGTATAGCCCTCGAGTCTTTCCTATCATACTTTCTAGTACTACGTTTTGCCAAAGAACATGTATTTATCTTAGCTTCTCTAAATATAAGACATAGAGAAGCAGGAAAAGAGAAAACCAAAAAATAAACCCAAGTACACATCCCGAGAGAAACAATTTTGAACAAAAAGAAACCCGAAACTCCCGTGACCTCTAGTAAGTATAGTGGTTGTTTCGTGTGTGCTGAATTAGATTGTCCGCACGATTAAAAGCCTTCTTACACCCTTGCACTGGACATGGATGAGCAAGAGGGGTGACATGTATTTTCCGAATGTGGCGAATGAGGGAGGACTCTCGTTTGAAAGTGCCTAGGTAGCCACAGCCTTCCCACTTGCATTGAAACTCGGGATCGTCTGGGCTGTGCGAAGCCGAACTAAGGAGCGAGTTAGACATACCATTTGTACTGCAAATCAAAGAAATTATCCTACCCGCTAATTTGGCTTCTTCTAGCGCGGCTTCGAGTGTTGCTTCGTCCCCGGGAAATTACAGCCGGTCCGTGGGAGAGATTTGGATAGGCTGCAACTCTAGGGGTTGAGGCGATCTGTTGGTGGGGCACGCTGATTGGCATGGCACGAGTAGAACCCCCCTGCACTGCCAAGGAATTCACCTGGGCGCAAGGCGACAGGTAGGAGGTGACAGGTACACCGTTGGGCAAGAACCCTTCGAATCCAGCGGATGCGCTCCAGCCAAGATCAGGGGCTAGATGAGGGAAGGTCTGGAGAGAACCATCTAGATTATACCCATAGATACGGGTATCTTCCCACCGTTGATCATACGGCCCTGCCATGTTGAGCTAAGAAGCGATTTAACAAATGTAAGAGAAGCGCCCGAGACGAGAGACTGAAAATCTGTATTGCTAAACAACCGTTGGTGAAAAGCCAGAAGGGGGAGTTGGAAGGTCATTATATCGGGGAGAATCGTTATTTATGTTCTCATGCCAGTAGTAACAATCAATCTCCAGAAAACGAGCCTTGGTGTAAATCACATAATTATTTTGAGAATGAGAATCTCGGAGGAAAACTCGATATATGAGAACGGACGAATGAGGTTCTTTCTTCAATCCGCGGAAGGTATGTTAGGGTTATAGAAACCAAAAACGACGGATTCAACAGATGACAGCTCACAATTGTCATCGGGCAGCTACGTGGAATTCAAGAGGCTATGCAGTGTGGATAGCGACATGTGAGAAATGACCAATGAGATTGCAGACCATTTTCAGTATCGGGGTGCAGTTTGGCGCCTCTTACTCCGTAAAGCTGAGCTGATGGCTTATTTTTTACCCAGTGCCCCTTTAAAAGGCTCGTCTGGTATACTCCTCCCCATATTCTACTCTACCAAGAATTCTCACAATGGCGGGATCAGATTTCGAACCATTCAAGCTCGAGATTGAGCGTCTATACCTCCATGAGAACAAACCATTACCCTCCGTGAGGGAATATATGGCGTCCAAATACTCTTTGATCAAGTCGTAAGTGTTGCAACACTGCTAGGTCACTCCACTCAGCTCACAGATAGAAAGCCTAGGCCAGTACAGCCGCCAACTCAAGAAATGGGGGTTTGTCAAGGGTCACATCAAGGCCGATGATTGGATTTGGATGAGAAACAAGCTGAGAAAAAGAAAACTGAACGACAACAAGAAAAGCGAATTCCACTTCGGTGGAAAGGAGGTTCACGTACCAAAGATCAAGAAGGCAAAATATAGAGAGGCATATGTTTCGACCATAGCCAAATTCTCTACTGGTAAGCTCTGCATATTCTTCCGGTCATACCATATATTAATAGATTGATCTATTTCTAGCTCCTTCCCCGAAAACTCCAGAAGGAATCTTTGTTTGCACCCCAGCATCGCCAGGAATGAATCTTGTATGGAATCAGCCACTCCCATGGCTGCGCTTCATCAAACTTGTGCGTCCCATGGAGAATGAAGGTACGGCTTTTCTTTCTCATAGGATGTGGCCAAGGCTCACTAACTATTTAGAAGCACCATCGCTGCCCTCGTCCCTGACTATCTGTTCCCCTAATGATGCCAATGCGCTCTCTAGCACCATCAGCCACGAACTGATGCATCGTCTAAGGACAATAATACCCTGGAATAAACTATGTCACCCCCCAAATATACATAGTAGCTCTCGAACCTCGGCGGCTTTGAGCATACTCATGCCAGAGGAGTTTCCGGGCCAGCACGATGCTTTGTCGACGGACTTGACTAGCTATACAAACAAGGCGAAAGAATGCATGGCCTTAGAGCTTTTTCTTCTATCAAACAATTTCACATCGCAAGGTCCAGGGGGACGTACTGAGGAGAATATCAGATCGGATGACGAGCGGGTAATGCAAATATTAAGCGATTATGGCTGGAAGGACTTGAAACATATCCAGATCCTTTTATCAAGCCATGAGCCAACCGCCGAAGCTATTGCAGAGAAGGTGTTTGCAAGTGCATTGAGACTGCATGACGTGAACACGGTGAAGATGATGCTCGAAGCCCACATGAATCCAAACAATCCATTGATTGAGACAATCTCCCACGGTATCCTGACTCCTCTTCAATTCAGTGCAGGAAGCCATCATGAACGCAGTGAGGAGCTCATCGATATTCTTATATCACATGGGGCGAATGTGAATGACTCGGGCAATGACTACCCACCTCTGCATTATGCCATCAACGAACATAACAACAGAATCATCCGTGCTCTTATGTTTCATGATGCTATTGTAACGCCAGATTGCCTTTGTACCGCCACACATTTGATGGATATCGAAGTTTTTACAGACCTCGCCAATTCATGTTCTGATGTTAACGCACATGGAACAAGATGGGGGGAGCTCAGTGCTCTTGCCCAGGCTGTCAAACATGGCAATGTCCCGATAATTGAAATTTTACTCGCCAAAGGTGCCAATATGAATGTTCTGGTCATTGTCGACTTCGAGGAGGACATTGCGATGACCACCATCTTGGGCCTTGCAAGTAGCGTTGTGTCACAATCCGTCGATATTATACGTGCCTTGCTGCAGGGCTGCCATGAGGTGAACCCCGACTTCGATGACCTGCTTTATGTTTCACCCGTTGTACTAGCGGTAGAAATGGGAAGTGTCGAGATCACTCGGGCTCTACTCCAAGCTGGGGTCAATATTAAGCAAGCCGATGAGCAAGGGGAAATGACACTTCTTGAACGTGCCACCAAAACCTACACTTCTTGGGGGGCCCTAGCGCTGTGCAATGTCTCGTTATGCAAAGTCTTGGTTGAATATGGAGCCCAAGTCGACAGACCAGTTTCTGCCCAGAAACATAAGTCCTCGGCTCTTTTTCTCGCTCTTAAGCAACAGCCGGTATCCCCCGAAATTGTTAAGCTCTTGATCAACGCAGGTGCACGCCTGAATGATGAATACACCAAGTCCCCTTATACTGTACTTGGAGCTGCCATTCAAAAGGGCGATCAAGTCTTGATTGGCAGCCTCTTGGGTGCCGGAGCTACAGTTGTGGGAACCAAACTAGATGGAATTGGCAGTTTAGGTACTGCGATATACCTGCAGGGAAATGGAGTTCTTCAATACATTCTGAAGATATCAGGCCCCAAAATCCTTGCTGCTGCTTTACTTGCAGAAAATTACCATCTAGCTCGGTACTTGCTGGAACATAATGCTGATCATGAAAATCAGATTGAAAATGAAGATCCCACCCTCGTCGATCAGACCCCATTGGAAGCAGCAATCGCGATGCGTGATTTTGTTTTCGCGGAAACCCTTCTAGAACGCGGTGCAAAGGTTACAGACGGTGTTCTTTCACATGCTGTATACACAGATGCTGTGTTTCTGGAACACATACTGCCCAGGTTCCGGGGAAGCGCCCCATATGCAGTAGGAAATGCACTCATTGGCAGTTTACCCTCCTTACAACTGCTTCAATTGCTTCAAGAGGCAGGCGTGGACCCCACTGGTGTAACAGAAGATTTTGGGGAATTTGAAGCGGAAGAGTTTTACCTGCCGCCACCGGAGTCAGTACTCGAATTAGCTGTGTGGGTAGAAAAAAGGGAGGATTTGCAGTTCCTGCTCCAATGGATACCCTGGAGTCCAATGCTGACCGGTCGCGCCTTGACAATTGCGATACTTTTGGATCAGAATGAACTCGCGGAGGATATACTGCGTTTTAATCCTGATCTGACAGAGGAAATTACCATCAGCTACCTCCTTGAGCACCCGCTTCAAGATGAAGAAGTGCTAGAAACGTACAGTCCACTTGAAGCTGCAGTACATAGACAAATGATCCCGATCGCACGCGCATTGATGGGAAAGGTGAATGTCAATTATCTTGGTTGTGAGGCTCGCCGTCGAACAGCATTGCAATATGCCGTTGAAAATGGAAACATGGAGCTTATCAACCTACTGATTTCGGAGCACGGAGCTAGGATTGATGGCCCTGTTGCCACGAACGGCGGTGCTACTGCATTGCAGATCGCATGCAGTAAAGGTTATATTGGTATTGCAAGGAGGCTGCTTGACCTAGGAGCAGATGTCAATGAAGCCCCCGCAAAGTATGATGGACGTACGGCCTTACAAGGAGCTGCAGAGCACGGTCGAATTGATATGCTACAAATTCTGCTCGAAGAAGGAGCGGTGATTGTCGGCGAAGGTGGACCGCATTATCTCAAGGCTGTTGAGCTTGCAGCGACCAATGGGCACCATGCTGCTGCAAGGATGCTGAAGTCTTGGAGGGACACTGTTCATTTGGATCCCTCAGCGGTTTGACAAATATATTCTTCAGGGTGGAGGAATGGGTACAGGAGTTTCTCTGCAACTACATTCACTCATTTCCTTTCGCTTTTTGGGAGGATACACTTGTGACTATGCCATCCCAGATTGAGTCAGTCGAATACCCTAGGAATCTCTTCGTGGTCTAGCATTACGAAACAATTTTGTTTCGAGGTTTTCCATATTGAAAAGTTTATAAAAGCACAAACAGATGTATTAGGCCAAGCTTCCTCTAGTCCAAGCCGCTCCTCAGGATCACACCAAACAACGCCAAATCAGAACCCCCTCAAAGCCTCCTCAGTCCAATCCCACAAGCTCTCCGCAAGCGCCTCATCCTTCGCTGTCTCATCAAGCTTCCTATCCTCCAATTTCCCAACAGGCTCATAATAACCCCCATTCCGAATCTTCGCCTTATCCACAGTAGCCGCCCAAGTCTGATTAAACGCACCCTCATGCGGCTTGATAAGCAGCCACCAAGCAATCCCATAAACAATCACCTTATTCTTAAGACTAAGATCATCAACAAGACCAGTGCTCACAACACCAGGATGCACCGACACCGTCGTGATAGCCGGAAATCTCTTTGCGAGCTCGCGCGCATACAGCAAATTAGCCAGTTTACTCTGCCCATACCGCCGCCAAGGCCCGCCGAACGCAATATCCTGCGTTGTCTTGAGCTTGTCGAAGATAATTCCGCCGTGTGGGTGTAGTCCCATCCCCTGCGAGGTGAGGATCACGAGGCGTGGGTTGCGGGAGGCTTCGAGGAGGGGCAGGAGCTTTTTGATCAGCAGTGCGTGGCCGAGGTGGTTGGTGCCGAATTGGACCTCGTAACCATCTACCGTTAGACTGGGGGGTTTGGCCATGATCCCCGCGTTGCACATTAGGATGTCTAGGGTTTGGTGTTGGCTGGTGAAGTGCTCGGCGGCCTTTTTGACGGATGTCAGGGAGGCTAGGTCACATTTTATGAATGTAACTGCGAGATTGGGGTTGGTTCCGTGAATTTGTTTGATCACTTTTTCTGCGCTCGTGGCATTGCGGCCGCTGAGGTAGATGTGTGATGGGTTGTGCTTGGCTAGATGGATTGCTGATGCTGCGCCTAGCCCGCCGGTTCCTAGGTTGGTTGTTAGTTGTGGACTTATGGAAAGCAGAAAGGAATGTTTTCAAACCTCCTGTTATGAAGATAGATTTTCCCGTGAGATCGGGGATCTCCTTGTCGGGGTTATAGTCGAGAGGCATGGTTGATGTATAAAATTAGGGCTAGATGTGTCTCACGCAATATGGTTTGAAGAAACTGGTTCAGAATGAGGAATCCTAGCTCTAAATGAGAAGTAACGAGGTTTGCTCTGCCTTATATATGTAGGCAATGCACGTTATCCATAAGCAAGAGGTCAAAGAGTGCTCGAGGTCAGATATCAAGTTTCCCGATTGGGAAGCATAGTCCAAGCCACCCGGGCCCCATATGCGGCTTGTCCAGCCAATGGAAATTAAGAGTTTCCGAGCTCTCCAATGCCATCTAGCCACCTGACAGTCTTCTATGATTATTCTTTACATCCGCTGCCAGAACGGCTTGATATTGTACCGGAGAACAAGCGGCGAGTTTTCTGAATTCCTCCGAGTCTGATGATGGAGGTTCTAGGCACCAGTGTTATAGGGAGGAGCAATGGGAGCTGACATTTACGGCTAAAAATTGAATATTATGTAAATATGTTGTAATGCAACTATGCAAATGTATAATAATCCAATGCAATCGAACCACAAATGAACCCACCCCGAACCAACCCAATATATACACCGCAAAATCTAAATACTATAAAATTCAAGTTACCGACCAGTCTTGCGAATCTCGATCGGCCGCAAGATGCAATATACAAAAGCAGCGAAGGCAAAGCCCAACTCAAAGCCGATGTCGCCACCACCATTATCGGGGTCACCAGCATACTTGGCGATAGGACCCGTCCACCAAGACTGGCTCATGCCCACAACAACACCGACAATACCAAAGGCAAACGCAATAGACGCGGCGATTCCCATGGGCAGCTTGTCGGGATTGTCGTAGTCCTCCGGACGATAGCCATCGAATCCACGTCGGAAAACGAAGTGGTCAACCAGCGCAATGCCGGAGTAAATAGCTAGCCAGTAGGCGATAAGGCTCATGAAGTTCTCGAGGACGGCCTCGAAGTTCGAGTAGCCCGGGATACCGATGGCAAGAGAGACACAAGAGGCGAGGAAGGTCCAGATAAATCGCGGCACGCGCTGAGTAGCCCGACCGAGCACCTGCAAGGTCAGACCGACGGAGTAGATGTTGGGGCAGTTGTTGGCGATAATGGATAGGGCCAGGATGACGAGGCAGAATTTGCCGAAGCCACCGAGAGGCTCCAGCACGGCGGCGATCAGGCCGCCGTTGACGGAGGCGCGGTAACCCTCGGCGTACTTGTTGTTATATCCGTCACCCATCTCAGTCGCGGACATGATGGCGATACCGAGGAATTGGGTGAAGAGCAAGGGGACGATCAGACCAATCCAGGCAGACAAGAAGACCAGGCGACGGCTCTGAGTCTTTGGCTGGTAGACAGTGTAGTCGGCAGCGTAGCTGGTCCAGCCAGTGGCGAAACCATAGACAGTGGATCCGAAGGATAGACAGGCACCCATTTCAGAAATTCCGACTCCCATTGGGATGTTGATGAAATCGCCGGAGTGGGCGAATGTGCCGAGCACAATGATAAACACGATGCAGGTGGGGATCCAGCTCCAGTATTCATACATGTGAACAAACTTGTACCCACAAAAGGTGACGAGGAGCGTGCAGAATGTGATGATGAGAATACCGGCCCATCCGGGGACTTCGTCGTTTACCGCGTTGAGAAGTTGGGCACCGACGATGGCGTTGGCAGCAGACCAACCGACACAGGCGATAATATTAAGGACGGCAACTAGGAAATCATTAATTAGCATGACCATTCTACTAACCGAATGGACATCCCGAGCCAACTTACTGAATTTCACAGCCCACCATCCAAACCAGAATCGCGAGAGCACCATCTGGCGCAGCCCAAAGGGAGGACCAAAGCACGAGAAGAAACACACGGTCATGACACCGAGGAGGTTGAAAAAGAGACAGACCAAAATGGCATCAATGAAGCCCAGCCCGAATGCAGACTTTCCAAGAACGCCAATGGCGAAGGAGCTCACGACCATGTTTGCGGCCAACCACTAGGTTTGGTCAGTGGAAAAGGCCTCCAGGCCATGGCGATCACGCCAGGTAATTGCAGGAACACACCATGCTACCAATATTGAGGAAAGACGTATCGTTCCGCTCAGAATCCGGCACTCGTTCGACACCTCGCTGCTCGATGTTGAGCTTGCCGGCTATACGCTGGATCTTGGCGTACAGCGAATCGCCATATTCGAAGCTCTCTCCGGGCACGGCGCCATCGCTGGAGTTGTCGAATATATCGTTGCTATTTGTGTCGGCGGAATTGTTCACCTGGGGAGCTTTTTCCAGGTCCTCATTTGAGCTGCGGAACGCTTTGGCGAACTTGGGAAGCATCTGTTCGGTTGAATCCTCACCAATGAAGGCGAAGATTGGAATGGAGACGAGAATATAAACGGGATTAATCGAAGAGCTGGGTAGGCTCAGCGAGACCCAGGGAGATCAGGATGAAGGGATTGAATTGTACAAAGGCACTGTCACATCATTCTCTCTTCTTTTTTTTTTGATCCACAGAACGGGAGGAGCTGTTAATATAGTGTCGCGAGAATTTCTTTGCGCGTCTCCACCGCGATCTCGCACTGTGGCAAAGATAGCCCTGTCGCGTGGTCCCCTTCCAGAAGACGAGACAAATGACAAGCCTTGAAACCCCATAAAAAGATTTGTTGAACCAATCACAATATTTCCGATAGCCCTAGCTTATCAGGATGCCGAGGATTCTGCACTCGCTTCCGTCTCGGATTGAACTTGGGATTGTCATTGGATGAAAGAAGTTGTGTGAGCGGGCCAGAAAGTCCACGGGTGGACACCCTCTCGGGATTTCAGATAAGAGAAAATCCGGCTTCCGATATCTCTTGATAGTGACAGGATTCTTCTAAACTCATATCCTTGTATACCCAATCATGTTTTCCAAATATGTACCTGCCAAGTATTCTTATCATTTTGATCAGAGATCTTCTACCTGAACCTTGTGTTTTGATCACTGATTGGTATCCAAGTCGACCCATGTCTTTCAATCAAGCTTCCTGACCCTTGTCAGACGGGAGACGCCGATGTGCGTGAAGCTTGGTATCTGCAATGCTTTCTTCCCATGTTTGTGCGGGGAATATCGAATATCCACGCCGGGACCTAGCTACGCTACCCCGGATGTTATCGGGCCCCAATATATTCTCAAACGTGTGTGGCTTTTCTCGATCAGAAACGGAGCAAGTGACCGCACATAGCCTATAACGGTGATCTTGGAAGGTCGAGCCGGTCGGATATGCACACGCATATCCAAACATGTTTCGAAGCCACATGGCATGTTTGTCATATCTTTGGCTTTGGCTATTCTTATCCCTACTAAACATTATAACCAGCTAGAGACAAGGCTCCCGAGATTGCCGTTTTGAACTTCATTGGTGCGCGGACGAGATCTCTTGACAGATCCGATCATGTAAACTTCAATGTTGCTTCGATCTATGCTTAATTCTGTCTAGCGTGCTTCTCGCAAATCAAAAGGTCTTGATTGGCTTCGAGGCTGGGATGTCCAATGCGATATCATATTTCGAGGTAAATCGAAGGGAATGATGTTGGTTTTCTCGTCCTTGTTGGCTACAATACTTTCTTTTTCTCCTGCCTATCCAATTTTGCCAAACTGGATATAACGGGACTTTCCGAAAGTTGGAGAACCATTGAGGCATATTTGTGCTCTAAGCAGATGCCCCTCTGCTCTCCAGGATTCATCTCTTATCCCTCTCGTATTTATCATCTCTGTATGTGAGCAGCTTAGCTCAATCCCTAATAACTGCCATCTATTGATGTCGAAGCTACGGAGTAGACTTCTCGGACTTATTCGGTCAACGTTATTTCACCGTCGGCGTAATAGCGCTTTACCAAAATTGTATATTGGCTTTCTGAACATACAACAATTGAAATATCTATATCAAACACTGTGCCGTGTACAACTCTGCTGATCTCCTCAATCCCCTTAAACCGTACTTCATGATTAACCAGTTTAAACCTTGAAAAGCACCATCCTTACCTATTTCGCCTGAACATAAGCCACAATGATCGTGTTTGTTATTGCCTTCTTTCCCCTCGATGCATCACTAACACATTCAACAAATTACATGGCACACATTTACTCCTCATAGCTCCTGTCCACATAGCTCCCCTCATCACTCCATACCACCCATGTGGGCTGATTGGTGCCTACCATCTAAACGCTTGCTAAGCCATGGCCATGACGACTGATCGTCAGCTCCAATTTCAAGAGACCTTGCCAAGTCCGGCACTGAGGCGACCAACTAAAATACCGACATCATCGTTGCTACTGCTAGTCGTCCGCTTGCTGTCCACCCCACCCTCTCGTTTGCCCACCCGGTTATTTAACGGCTCAACACCAGCTCGCTCAACAACTATACCCGAAACAACACCGTAGTCGAGACGCACGGGAAAGGTCCGGATGACTAGCGTGATACTGGAGAAGGATATCTCTGGCAAAATCCAACAACGAAGCGCCATCATCATTATCATTGCGATCTATACATATTGTTTTCTACGAACAGGGTATCCATTTGGAAGAGCAAACATTTGAAGGATAAGCTAAGATTGAAGCCTGTTGAGCTTCATGGCTGATATCTTAGGCATCTATTTCGGAATTATTCTTTGTCGCTGTCACCGTCGCGCGTTTAGTCACGTTGCCATGACGAACCCTAGTGTCCTAGTCGGTCACGCTGGGAGGGCTCTGCTAATGTTCCTGCCACGCTTGTCCAGGTGCATATTCGGTCACGTTACCATGGCGAACCCTAGCTCTGGTACTCCTAGTGAAGACGAGGTTATGGTTGTATTCCATATCTTGACTTTCTTGTAGGCTCATTAATATATTCGACCTTGGAAATATAATAAAGCAGATGATCTCTGGATAGGTCTATAATGTAAACAACATCATACCTGTACCTAGACAGTATCCAATTGGCAGAGGTAAAGTATGAAGCTTGAGGGTAAGAGCGATCAAGCTCGACTATAAATTTCAATCACGCGTCACTTCGACTTCCACCTCGTGATCTTAAGGAACACCAGAGCTTTGTTTTCTTGTCTTTTTCTTTGACGTCACATATTCACACGCTGGCATGATCGGTATCTATCTTTGCTAGTTATTCACATGCTTTCTTTATTTCATTGGTGATTCGAACTGGTGGATGCACGTCCTAGAACAATCCGAACAAAATGAGTCCCGACCACCAACAAAAAGGCTCAGACACCATGCGTCGCCAGTTATTCTCGCTATCATCAGTCTTCCGCCCCCAGGCAAGCAAGAGAGCCAGGTAATGACAAACAAAGAATGCCAGAAGATGAAAGAGATATTCTGCTAACTAAGACAGCAGCATGACTGTTGCAGTACAGGAACAGCCAACTTGCCAAGAAAGGATCCATTACCCCGTGTTTAATCCCCTAGATCCTCGTCACAACCCAGAGATATCAAGCTTGTCATGGCGTTCCCAGGAGCAACCCAGTTCGTCTTCGGGGTCGCGTAGTCCAATGGCATGGGTCCAATCTGTCTCCAGACGATCTCTCCATAGAGCACGATCAGGTCTGTTGGCACTGAGGTCGGGTCTCATTCATCGTTCGGGCGAGGAAGAGTACCCCAAGAAAAGTTTTGTCAGCCCCGTTGCTCTCAAGCGTGAAAGACAGCAACACCGTGGAGTTTCATCCGGGGCCTACACCACGGATACCCAAGAGGACCTGGCATTTGGCGCCGAACTGTCTCGCATGAATCCTACACCTTCTTCCCCATCCGTCAATCTTGATGTGCCGTCTCTTATTCGCGTGCCGTCGATTAATTCGATCCATCGTTCGCCCGCAACTCTTCCTGCATCTGAATCAACATCCAAACTCTCCGAAATTTCCGGCCGAGCTGTAAGTAATTCTGGGGTAAACTCGACTCTAGCCAACGACCATGATCTTGACTTCCAATTTGATGGAGCTGAAGACTTGGGGGCGAATATGAATTCTGAGGATCACTTTACTCATATCACAGCATCGACAGGGAACCATTTAATAGGGCAGACATGGGGCGTTGCAATCTCTACCGACGAAGAGGTCAAAATGTCTGCCTACGGTCTGGCAGATCCTCAGCCATCTATGAGAGAACAGCAAGCAACAAATCTACAGCAGCAAAATATCAGTGATGCAAGTTCGGATACACAAATCAGTGATAATCAACCAAGCTCAGTTCCCATTTCGAGACAATGCTCCGCCGAAGTTCGATTTGCATTTCCAGGAATCTATCAAGAGGCACTGGATCAGTGGGCGAGGCAAAATGGTAGTCCCAGCCCTAGTCAACACATTCCCGACCTCGATCAGCACAGCCCCAATCTCAGCCAACAAAGTCTCGACCTCAGCCAACACAGTTCTAGCCCCAGTCAGAATAGCGCCAAGCTCTACGAGGAAGAAGGAACCCCGTGTGCCTCTCAAGGGCCACTCGAATGCATTGGGCATGAGGATGATACATACAGCAACATGTCTCCATATCATGAACACGATGAAGGTCTCATGCCTCTGGTGCCCCCGCAAACCCTAATCGCCCATTCCGAAGAGACACAGTCATTTTCTTATACCAATCCCCTCAATTGCATCTCCAACCGGAATTCCGGCCAAAGATGGTCGTCTATCTCCGAGAGAGCAACCACACAATGGTCAAGTGTTGAAGATTCCTCAAGCCGTTACACACCCGCCAATACCACATCGCGAGATATCACATCAACGGAAATGACTTCAATAGAATCAATGTCAAACGAAACATGGTCTCCAATAGACTCTGAGGTCCTGTTCCCAAGCCCGGTGGAGGATGGAAATGGGTATTTCCTTTTCGATGGCAAAACCAACAGCCAGTATCCTGACAGAGGGAATGAGCCAGTCAAATCAGCACAGAATACCACCAGCAACTGTGGTAATACCAGAGGATCTCAGGAACTAACTGAGGCGATCTCTCCAGGGATCCTGTCCCTACGCGTCATACCCAATGGCATTCCCAGTGCGGGATTGGAATTTGTGGAAGAGGATACAGACGACGAGTTTTATCCTGGGATTGTGCAGCCAAGACAGGTTTGGTGAAATTATTCGTTAATACTTTTTTATAGGAATGGCCTAACCAATAGGGTCCTGTTCTCTTTGGCCACACTGTATTATTACCTACCCTTAGCAGTCCTAGAATGAAGTTTCCACTACCACAGTTCATTCATTCTTTTAACATTCTATGCATGGACCTCTTCTGCAGCCTTTGTGCTGACATTTTGATATGTAGTCACAGAGGAAGACCGGGCTCAACTACAAACAGAAGTATATGAATCTAGCTAGTTATGTGTAGGTACGTAGAGGTTCACCTTCATAATGTTCCACTACTTCAGCAAAACAATTTACTAATAAAAGAACAAAAACGAGAGGTAGAGGTTATGGCACGAGGTGACCTCCTATTTAAAGCACAGTAAAATCGTTCTGTCATTCATAATCACATTTATACTTCATGGTATCACATATTTGAAGCTACGTATATCACTGGATAATTGATCTGGCTACATGATCACTCCTAATAAAGTCAACCGACACTAGAACTCAAGCCATACCCAGGACAACCTGTTCCTGTCTCTCCTGCCAGACATTCTTACCCGAGCACGAGCAAACCATCTTATCATTATCCCACACACCCGCACTGCGCGCAATAACACCAACAAGGGTATTCTCATCCTCGCGTTTGAAAGGACCCTCCGTCCCGTTCGAAACAACCATACTCCGACCAATAAGCTCCCAGATCGCCACAGGCCGGTCCAAAAACACACTGCCCCGGCCCTTATTGTCAACATCCACGGTACCAAGAATGCCCCGGGTCTCCTTGGCCGGGGTGGCGGCAGCGTCGGCACCAAGCACCTTGCTCTTCACAGCCTCCCAGATACCACCGGTAGACTCAGCACCCCGGGAGATATCCCCCGCTTCTCGAATAGTGGTCCAGTATTTTCCCGGCGACAGGCCGTTGATTGTCAGGTCGATGAGGGTCATGTTCGGGGAGACCTGGACCATGCGCGCGAGGCCGCGGATATTGTTTGAGACGCTCGTTGAGTGCGTTTCAAGGATGCATACGGCGGAACCTGTATGGTGTATATCAGTTGGCATTGCTCACGTGTGTCGCATGGAATAGCAATGTAGGGACCGGGGATTCTGTACTGTTTGTAGTGCCGCTGCCGCGGAGGATGGCATCGCGGCCGGTGTTTTCGATCGCGGTTACGATAGAGCTGGGAGGAGCGGTGCCTTCGACGAAAACTAGCTGGTCTTTGAGGTTTGCTTCAACCTTGTTGATTCCTGTTGCGGGGGTCAACTTAGATGAAGGTGAGTTTGGGGTGTGATGACTACCTTCCAGGCTGTGTAGAGAGGTCGAGATAGACTTCACGCAGCCTTCACAGGTCATTGGGACCGAGAAGGTCGTCTATATATGAGAATCGCATTAGTATTGGGTGTTTATGAGTCATGGCGCTCAAATAGACTGACTTGGAATGGTTCGATCATGGCGGGGAAGAGACAGTAGATACGAATTCGGTGGCAAGTATAGTATGTGCACTGAAAGCGAAGAATATAAAGAGAAAGAGATAAAGATAATATCCCAGAAGAAAAGATTAGGGAAAAGATTAGACCAAAGGCCAGAACAAAGTAAATGTGCTATACAAATTCAGGCGGGGCGTTGGATTTCAAATCGAACTCGGCTTCTGACGAAACGTCATTCCCGAACTTCTCTTCAACATTGCCCCCACGAAAATGTCATCCAGATGGGCAACCGACGACCCAGAAACAGAAGCAATTATTGCCCAACAAAAACGCGATAAGGAACAAAAAAGACGCGCTAAAGCGGAGAAACAGCGACTCGAAGATGCCAACAAAGCTCAAGCTCGGGATGCCACAACCAATGGCGAGCTAGGCCCCCCGAAAAAACGACGAAGACTCTCCAATGACCCCGATGCCCGTCCAAATGATGAGGAAGTGGTGACCGAGAAGGAACAGAAAAACCAGTCGACCCTACTGCGCTTCCCGGTTGGAGAATGGGGCCCCTGCAGACATGTGGATAACTTCGAAAGATTGAACCACATTGAGGAGGGCTCGTATGGATGGGTTTCACGCGCAAAGGATATTTCGACGGGAGAAATTGTCGCGCTGAAGAAGCTCAAGCTGGAGAACTCGCCGGACGGGTTCCCAGTCACTGGGCTTCGGGAAATCCAAACACTTCTGGAGGCGCGACATCAAAATGTCGTTTACCTGCGGGAGGTAGTAATGGGCAATAAAATGGACGAGTGAGTTCCCCGCGTCTGCATTCTTTACATATGTTAATCAATGGGACAGTGTGTATCTAGTGATGGATTTCCACGAACACGACCTCAAAGCCCTACTCGACGAGATGCGCGAGCCCTTCCTTCCTTCGGAGATCAAGACCGTCTTGCTGCAGGTGGTTGGAGGACTCGAGTTCCTACATTCACAATGGATCATGCACCGCGACCTCAAGACCTCGAACTTATTAATGAACAACCGTGGTGAACTTAAAATTGCCGACTTTGGCATGGCCCGCTACTTCGGCGATCCACCTCCCAAGCTGACACAGCTCGTCGTGACACTCTGGTACCGTGCGCCGGAGCTGCTCCTCGGTGCCGAAAAATACGGCACAGAGATCGACATGTGGAGCATTGGCTGTATCTTCGGCGAGCTTCTCACCAAAGAGCCCCTCTTACAGGGCAAAAATGAAGTCGACCAGGTGTCTAAGATCTTCGCCTTGACCGGGCCACCGAACTCTGAAACATGGCCTGGGTTCCGTTCATTGCCCAACGCCAAGTCTTTGCGGCTCCCGTCGACATCGGCACCTTCGGCCAGCAACCCTCCTCTGCTGCCTCGCACCCGGTTCCCTTACCTGACCAATGCGGGCTTGAGTCTCATGTCAGGTTTGCTGGCGCTGAATCCGACCTCCCGTCCTACTGCCAAACAGTGCCTCGATCACCAATATTTCAAGGAAGATCCCCGTCCCAAACCGCGAGAGATGTTCCCTACGTTTCCCTCCAAGGCCGGCATGGAGAAACGGAGACGTCACCACACGCCTGAGGCTCCTAAACGAGGCCAGGAAGCACCCGAGCTGGACTTTGCAGGTGTCTTTGGAGGTGCTCCTGGTGGAGATACCGGTGAAGCAGGGGCTGGATTTACTCTTCGGTTGGGATAACTGCTTTCACATATAAGAGTAAATAATAGCAAATCTTGTTTTATTGTTTCTATAAAATATCTACCTCGGAGATATGTTCCATGACTGCCCTTTGAGCTCAGGTAGAATAAAATAGAGTAATATAGAATAAGATAGAAATAACAAGCGTGGGGCCAATGGGCTATAGATGTGGATATAATCAAGGAGTTCCGGACAGGTAGATCGGCCCCAACTCTGATCGGCCCCCCAAGCTTCTTTTCTTCTTCAACCTCACCACATTTTTTTTATTCTGACTTGATTTACTCTTCTTTTCTTAATTCGTCTAATTTATATTCTTTCTGTCATGGCGCCCAAACAACCAGTCTCGTTCGACGAAATCATCCAGGCTGGTAATGACTCCAACCTCCAGCGCTGACACCTAGCAAAATCTAACTGTTTCCCTCCACAGATCGTCAAAAGAAAAAGCAAGAGGAGCTCGCAAACCAACTCCTTGGAAAGAACCGCAGATCAAGCGCACCAGGTTCTGGCTCTGGCGCTGGCAAGAAAGCGCAGAACAAATCACAGACTGCAAAGCCCGGAAGCTTAGCAAGCAGGATCGGAGTATCCAAGGTATGAACAATTCCACCATGCGACCATGTATGCGACCATCATTGAGGGACAATCTTTGACAATCTCTCGCGTCAACATTTAGCGCTCCGCGTCAGCCACCGTGCAACCCAACAAGAACAAGCCAGCACCCACCACAAGCAACAATCGGACACGCGGCAAACCTGGCAAGCAAGATCGCATGAATGTAGATCAGGTCCGGACAGTTTTCCAAACCGAGAATGGCCAAGGGAACGCGCGAACAGGCAAATTTGCACAGAGCAGCCGTACATCCGGTGGCATGAACATGACCATTAAGGGTGCCTCGGGCCCGTTCATTGTCGTCGGAAGAAACTTTGCGCCTGGGACAACAGCTGCCGACATTCAGTCTGCTCTTGAGCCCATAACAGGACCTATGATCAGCTGCCAGATAGTAGCAAGCCAGCCAAGTGTTGTTGCGGAATTTGCATATGCGGAGAAGGCAGCTGCAGAGCTAGTGGTTGCCAATTTCCACAACCAGAGGGTAAATACTGTTCCTGTTTAATGAGACTACAAAACGGATGCTGATGCATGCTTTCTAGGCTGATGGGAGACTGCTTACGATGACCCTTAAATCGACCAAGGCCACAACCCACCAAGATCCCTTCACTGCACTCCGAGCACAAGCTGATCAGGAACGACTCCGAGCCCGTCGTGTCCCAGCCCCTCTGAACGACCTGCTAGCCGAGAGCCAGGGAAATTCGCAGACTGGCCTCTACAGCGATGAAATGATGGTCGATGTGCCGCCGCGGAATACGCAGAAGAACCAGAACCAACGGAAATGGCGTCGTTGAGCACCCAAATTTGAGCATGATAACTTGAGGACTGCGCGGAATTGTCGTGAAGATCGTGCTTCTTCTTGCACTCTCATGAAATGTATGATATGGTCACAGCAGTTTATGGACATTTTTTAGCATTCGGAGCATACCTTTTGCAACAGATAGCGGCGAACAGGACAAATCGGAAAGAATATTAATGTTTTCTTCCATATCCATTTTCTTGGGACCGGCAACCATTTTTCCGTGTGCCCAGTAAGTGACTGTATCTAGACAAGATCCCCAGACCGGTAGGCATCCATGATGGTCAGACGGCTTCAGCACTCTAACTCACTTCTCGTCCATGGGAAGACCAGGTAGAAGGGCGTCATCCTCGGCCTTTCTTTTATGACGAGTGGTGGGCATTTTGCGTCAATGCTGCCCTGGTACTGATGAAGAGGAGACTGGAAAAAGCCGTGGGCTGGTATCAACTAAGGCGATACACAGGAAAGGGAAGGGGGGAAAATATCAAGGCTTGAATAGCAGAGGGCTTTTATAGACCTGGGGGATCACACTTCAACTGTTGCAAACAAAGGAAACTGTAAAGAAAGATAAACTCAGTAGCCATAGCCTCGAGATATCATCGCTAGACAGACAAACTTGTGGATTTCAATACGGCGGCGAAGTTCGTTGACATCCAACCAAGAGCGACAAGACAGAGAAATGCTTTGATCTGAGCGTAGCATGGGTAGGACGTTAAGGAGGAAAGAAATTACGAAGCTCTTCAAATACAAAGAAAAGGCTGGGCTATATATAGTAACCACTGACTTTCTGGGGGCATACTCGGCAGTGAAATCAGACAGAGTGGAACAACTTCTCTTTCCTCTTTGACTGACTCGATGCTGAAATATACTGCGTGTCTTGCTTCACTCTCAGACTTATTCAACTGTCTTCACTGAACCGTGGCCTTTTATTTATCCATCTATCCTAAATTCCCTTTAGCCACAATTTACACAAAGAAAACTCACTTCAAAATCTAGTGGAATATGAAGCCATTAACAATTGAGGTCACCCAATGAGGTTGTAAACTAAATAGAGTCTGGCAAAATGTAATGGTAGCAATCCAACAGAACGATGTTAGATTGACAGTGATCTGAGTGAAGCATGGTCATCAGAAAAATCAAGGAAAGTTGCTTCTTTCAAATTGAAAGTACAAGGCTACTATTCCCCAGGGACCTATGTTGATATTACCTCGAGGGCTGGGAAAAGCCTTATACATGCAGAGATGCCCTGATCTATTATTTAAATGATCTGGTGTCCAGGTATTTCTTGTAGTTTTATCGCATCACACAGTCATGGTTAGTTCTATCGTTTCTTTGTTCTTCACGCACATGAATTTTTGTCGAAAACATACATACAACAGAAGTATGAAAACCAGATAAACTAGGCTACTTATCTTACGACAACATGAACACAGGAGTGCAGGAAATGAAGATGGTGACAATGGCGGTCCTGATGAATTGTTCCGATGGGCCCTAACTATCGCCATACCCACTCTCCCTCGGGACTATTCCGTCAGAAGCGTATTATGTTGTCAACTTCACTGTGTTGATTTATTAAATGCCAAAGATGTATGATATTGCCGTCAAAGATTATCCGGTATCAGAGAGACTTATATTGCGCGGTATTAGGTAGTTCATTACGAGTGTTCTCAGATCATAACGACAATTGGTATCTTGCCTGGCGGAAAATCGTAATATACCCAGGCATTGGTTTAATAATTTCAATATTTATACACCGTGCAAGTGCTATGAATGAATTTAGAGCATGTTCGATATTGTTGATAGCAACACTAGGCTCCAAGGCTGCTCCCATACATATTGATGTTATAGTCTTTAGGGCTTTGAATTGCGAAGTCTTACCATCTTGGGACTAGCGGGCGATAACAGTTCGATAAGTATATAATCACGTGCAGCGGAGCTTCCGCGGAGAGATTGAGAGAGAACATCTCGACTTGGCGCGACACAATAGAACGAGTGTTTCGGCCCCGGACGCTTTGTCACTTGCTGCAAATAGTTCCGCTATTGCATACCCGATTATATGAACCATTACAGCCGCACAAACACAAGTCAAGAATGAACCAAGGCACGAGGCGCGTAGCGTCGCATATCCTCCGCAGACCTCGCAACACAGTACTTCCAAGATGCCCAGGAAGATGGAACTCCACATTTGAACAGAGAGAATGGTCCACTCCGCTAGCAAAAACATTGGCCAGTGTCATGAAGGTACACATGTCTTTCGCATTACCTCTCACTGCACTTATGCTGATCATTCACTTTCGCAAATTAGGTCACTGGTCCCGTACCAATCGCGGGGTTCATGCGCCAGGTTTTGACTTCCCCAGATGGCGGATATTATACGACTCGAGGCGAAAACGGAGGTGTGTTCGGCAAAAATGGTGATTTCGTCACATCGCCCGAGATCTCGCAGGTCTTTGGAGAGTTGATCGGTATATGGACCATCGCAGAGTGGATGGCGCAGGGGCGGACGAGGAGTGGTGTACAGCTGATGGAGGTTGGCCCAGGAAAAGGAACTCTGATGGATGATATGCTGCGGGTGAGTGGTAACATTTATTCCTATCTTCCTTTTATGAAAGAAAAGGGATAAGAAGCGCATTGGACTGACCACGATCTACATAACAGACCTTCCGAAACTTCAAGTCCTTTTCTTCAAGTGTTGAGGCTATTTATCTGGTGGAAGCTAGCGGGACTCTCCGAGAAGTGCAGAAGCGGTTGCTGTGCGGCGAGGACGCTGTGATGGAGGAGACAGATATCGGACACCGGAGTGTGTGCAAGTACTTTGATGTACCCATTGTCTGGGTGGAGGATATTCGCCTTCTGCCACATGGTAAGTAATGATCTTAAGTCAATTGCTCGTTTGTCTGATGCTGACCAAGGACATCATCGGTGATATAGAGGAAGGCAAGACACCCTTCATCTTCGCACATGAATTCTTCGATGCACTTCCAATCCATGCATTCGAATCTGTTCCGCCATCTCCGGAGAACGAACAGACCAACGAGCCACGAAAGATCATGACTCCCACCGGCCCAGTAGAACTCCATAGTCCACCTAAACATGCGAACACCCCGCAATGGCGTGAGTTAATGGTGACACTAAATCCAAAAGCTATCGAAGAGAACATCAAAGGAGAGCCCGAGTTTCAATTGACCAAAGCCAAAGCTTCCACGCCATCGTCGCTAGTGATCCCGGAGATCTCTGAGCGTTACCGAGCACTCAAATCGCGGCCAGGCTCCACCATTGAGATCAGCCCTGAGAGCCGAATCTATGCTGCGGACTTTGCTCGCCGCATTGGTGGTGATTCTGCTTCTTCGCTTGCTGCTAAAAAGGCCTCTGCTTCTAGCCCACCAACGTCACAGAAAAAGACTCCATCTGGCGCAGCCTTGATCATGGACTACGGGACGTTGTCAACCATCCCCATCAACTCGCTGCGCGGAATTAAAAGCCACGAGAAAGTGGCAGCACTCTCAGAACCAGGGCGAGTGGATGTCAGCGCGGATGTGGATTTCACTTCGCTGGCCGAAGCGGCCATCGAAGGCAGTGATGGCGTCGAGGTGCACGGTCCTGTTGAACAGGGTGACTTCCTCGGGGCTATGGGAATTGAGGAGCGTATGCGGCAGTTGCTCCGTAAGGTGAAAGACGAAGAGCACAGAAAGACCCTAGAGACCGGCTGGAAGCGATTAGTCGAGAAGAGCGGCGGGTCGATGGGACAGATCTACAAGGTCATGGCCATTGTACCTGAAAATGGAGGACAGAGACCACCTGTTGGTTTTGGGGGCGGCATTCAAATGTGAAACCCGCAAGTATATCGTCTTGTGTTTCAATAGATTCGGAGCGCAGACTGCTCATTTCATGTATAATAATTTCATCTTCCATCAAATAGAATAACATGGACTCGCCCAACATACAGAAACAATCAAGCAGAGCCACTCAGCCCCAATCACCCAGAATATTAAAAAAATATATATATATAAATAAATATCAATGCATCTAAGTGGTATCTCTCCTATCAAGTTCGTTAAATCTCATGAAAAAAAGGCAGATGCATAAAGTGACTGGAACCCCCATCATCTCAAGGCCCAACTCAATATTCCTCCCATATATCCGCAGCATAAGCCTCGGTCAGCTTAGCATCATTGCCATACTTCTGCTGCCATTCCACAAACCCACCCTCGAGTACAAATACTTGCTGCTTCTGGTTCTCCTCCGCACCAAGCGTGCTCTCACGCTCGCGCGCATAGCGAAGTGCAGCAGAGGGACCACGTTGCTGACTGAGTGCACAATGGAAGACAACCATTTTCTTGTCTTTGAGGGTGCGAATAAGCTCGGGCATGCGCACGTCCAGTGTTGAGCTGGGGACCCAAGTTGATGAGTGGATATGGCCACCAATATGGTCTGTTCCAACTGTTAACTAATAGTTCACAATTATATGGTGAAAGGATAGTTGTTTACCTGAGTCTCGGACGTCGACGATCGCTAGATTGCTTGGTTCGCCGGTTGAGAGCAGGGCCGCTAGCACATCGCGGCCCATGCGGGGGAGAGTTGCGATTGAGATAGATGACATTCCTTTTTTGGCGTGATTTTATGAACTCTCTATGTCAAGAGAGCTGTTCAAATTGAAATGAGAGAGATATTTGTAAGTTCAAGAGATTTGCAGGTGTGATATTCACAATCTCTAGCAGATGCCCCAAAAGCAGGTGGCACGTGACCTACAATTTCCTTTCCAATCGGGGAAGATGATTTTCCGTTACGGCAACTTCGAGCACCTCCGACGACCCTGTGCGCCCACCTCGACCAATATTTATCTTCCAAGCTCAGGAGACCGTCCAATTCACCATATAGATCTGCTCCTTGACACAAGTGAGTCCAATCAAAATGGACTTCCGCCTCCTGGCCCGCAGCCTCCGGGCCAGGCCAACACCATGGCTCCAACAGCAGACCCAGCTGCACCGCGTCGCCTTCCTCACCAACGGAGTCCGCTACAATTCCTCTACCTCATCACCAACCCCGCCTTTCAAACCCACATCTCCCACCGATCAGCCAAGCACAGCCCCCGAGGCCGCGAAGCAAGCCGAAAAGCCGATCTCCAACCTCGACGAGCCAACCACAGCTGCCCCCGAGGCCGCTCCCCGGGCCGCACAGCAAGCCCGCAAGCCGGTTTCCGACTTCGATGATATCCTCAGCAGACTCGATCTCAACAAGCCCCGAGAAGCACCCAGCAGCCAGCGCCGGATCTTCTCAGACTCGCTTTCCCGGGCTGTCGGTGAAGGCGCACAGAGCAGCTACCGGGCGCGGTCTCGGGCGCCCCTTCCTACACGCAAGGTCGAGCTGAAGCTCGGACCGACGCTTGGTCGTCAGGCTCATGTTGAGCCTGAGCGTGGCACTGATCTGGCTGGTGCGCTGCGCAAGCTTCAGGCTACTCTTTCGCAGAATAGTGTTCGACATGATGCTCATGCTCAGAAGTTCCATGTGCGGAAGGGTATGGTGCGCAAGCAGCAGAAGATGGCGCGGTGGAAGAAGCTGTTCAAGTTCTCGTTCCAGGGGACTGTGAAGAAGATTCAGCGTATGCAGGCCCAGGGTTGGTAGTTTTATGCCCGCTCCTTTGCTTTGGGCCTTTGTGCTGCGGCTTGTCCACTCGGCTTGTATGTATATACTGAAGAGGCTGGTGTGGGTGATTGACTGGGTGGACAGGATGGCATTGGCCTGAAAATTGGTGTTGTTTTCTTTTGTTACTTGTACAACTATTATCTAGGTACTTGATTTTTCTGGTTGAATTTGGCTCTTGCATTAGATATGGAATGCATCGGATTTGTTTGACTCGGTCACTTGGGACATAGCATCATGATATGTCCATGGTAGAGCACCGGCTTTTTGCGGGTGCTCAATTCTGCCTCTCAAGTTAGGTACACTGTACACGTCGTAGACGCCACTCTATACCTAGGGTATACACCCATTCCTCTCGGTTCTAAATATCAGTCCCTCTTCCCACTTGGGAATCCATATCCACTTCCAACCCCGTTCCCATTCCCATTGCCATTAGGGGAGCCAGAATAACCACCGTACCCATTATTCTTTCCCCCATTGCCAAAGACAACACCAGGGCCCTTCGCTCCACGCGCGGGAGTCCCACCCAAAAGCCCATCTCCATGCCAAGTGGTCCGCCCACGGCCACCTTTGCGCTCCCAGAACAATGCAACCAAAGCGCCAACAGAAGCTGCCATGACAAAGAACACCAGCTTAGAGAATAAAGATCCAGAGCTCTTCCCAGACCCAGTCGCCAAAGCCAGCCACGACTCCAAAGCAGGTCGGACCGGCCATCCAATGCTGGCACCGCCCTCCAGCCACGCAACGTGGAAAGAGAAGGTAAGCGGCTCCCCACGCACGACCTTAGTGCCGTGTCCAGCAGTCCAAGGCTCGCGCGCCGCCTGAGCAAGAGCAACAGACTCCTCGTCCTCGTCGAGCTTGGCATTCTTGCCGGTATTGTCGAACTCGGGAGTTGAGTATGCAATACCGCCCACCACGAAACCGGGCTGTCCAGACTGGCCGGCTCTGGTCTTGGTGTTTTGTTCTGCAGCCGCGTCCGAGGCCATGTTGTGCATCACGACGTTCATATCCGTCCAGATATGTAAATGGCTCAGCTGGAGCGTACCCTGCAGCGCGATTGTGAGCGGTGTGAAGGGTGGCCCATTGTCGGCTAGTGCAGAGAGGGTGTCTGCTTCTCCTGACTTCTGGTCTGAGTCTTTGTCCGTGTGTGCTGCTGCGCCGGCAGATGGTGTTAGAGGCGCTGTTGGCACGCGGCAGGTCATTGGTACATCTGAGTGAACATAGAACTCGAGGAGATGGTATAGCTCATCGGAGAGGGAGTCGATGGTGCATGTTATTGTTTCGGAGATGCCGTAGTGGAGAGAGAGAGGGCGGGCGGTTTCGTTGCAGGTCACGAAGGGGACATATTGGAGTTTACCGAGATTGTCAGTGACCTGGATGTTTTCGCAATTGCTATTAGCTTTGTAGTTTTTTGTGGTCTGCGCTATTGTCTTCGTGTCAGGAGACGGTAGGCAGGCTGGTGGCGCTTACATGTTCTCCTTCCCTGCAGTGTTGAACAAGCAATGGTTAGCCGTGCTCTTGATATTATTGGATAATTATCTCACATTGTCCGGTTTAGACATGACACTGGGATGTCCTCTCTCAGTTTGTATCCTTCGTTGTTGTCATTTGTGTTCCCCGCAAGTGCGCTGGTTGGCCACAATGCGCCTGTCAAAGACAGCAGCGCCACTGCTGCAGAAGACGGTCTCAATTGGCGTATAGGAGACATTATGGGTTTTTTTTGTTTCAATTGAAGGAGAATGGCCGCCCCGCGTCGGCAAGTTTCAAGAATTCGAGGATTGCATAGGAGTCAAAGACGGAGTTTCACCGCGTTGCGGAGTTGCGGACAACAAAGCGGGTTTCCCCTTGCTGCTACTTCCAACAACCTTGGTACGTCCAATTGCAGATCGAACCCCAAATGTCTCTATTCTATAAGTGACTTGCGATACGATTACTTGGTAAAGGAAATTTGGAGAATCATTCATTTCTTTTCAAACCAAGAGAAATATGTGGAAAATCGTTGCTCGTCAAAACTACACATCCCACGGTCCTTCATATAAGACCAAAACACTCTAAGACAGGTTGGCCTTCTGCTTGAAAGCAAGCAACAGACCACTGGTCGAGCTGTCGTGGTTAGCACCCTCGCCCGCGGTCTCCAGCTCGCTCTGGATGTTCTTGGCAAGAGCCTTGCCCAACTCGACACCCCACTGGTCGAACGAGTTGATGTTCCAAATAGCACCCTCGGTGAAGGTGACGTGCTCGTAGTAGGTGATTAGAGCACCCAGAGTGGAGGGGGTGATCTTCTGGGCCAAAATAGAGGTGGTGGGACGGTTGCCCAAGAAAGTCTTGTGAGCGACAAGCTCCTCAGCGGCGCCCTCGGCCTTGACCTGAGCAGGGGTCTTTCCGACCATCAGAGCCTCGGATTGAGCAAGGAAGTTAGCAGCCAGCATGCGCTGGTGCTTGCCACCCTCGACGGGGTTGTGCGACTCAGCCGCCATCAAGAAATCAGCGGGGATGAGCTTGGTGCCTTGGTGCAGAAGCTGGAAGAAGCTGTGCTGGGCGTTGGTGGCGGGCTCACCGAACAGGATGGGTCCAGTGGTGTACTTGACATATTCACCAGTGCGGGTGATGGCCTTTCCGTTGCTCTCCATGGACAGCTGCTGCAGGTAGGCGGGGAAGCGGTGCAGGTACTGATCGAAGGGAGCAACCAGGTGGGTCTGGGCACCGAAGAAGTCGCTGTACCAGACGCTCAGCAAACCACCAAGAGCGGGGATGTTCTTCTCGAGGGGGTCTCCCGGAAGTGCTTGTCCATGGCCTGGGCACCAGCCAGGAACTGGTGGAAGTTGTCGTAACCGATGTACAGAGCGACAGACAGGCCAATGGCACTCCATACGGAGTAACGTCCACCCACCCACGACTCGAATCCGAACATGTTCTTGGCATCAATGCCAAACTTGGTGACCTCGGACTCGTTGGTCGACAGAGCCACGAAGTGCTTCGCAATGTGTGAATCTTCCTTGGCAGACTTGAGGAACCAAGACTTGGCGGTGTTGGCGTTGGTACAGGTCTCTGCGGTAGTGAAGGTCTTGGAGGCAATCAGGAAAAGAGTGGTCTCCGGGTCGGAGTCCTTGAGCGCCTCAGCGATGTGGGTGCCGTCAATGTTGGAGACAAAGTGGAGCTTAATGTCGGGGTGGCCGTAAGGCTTGAGAGCCTCGGTGACCATTACAGGGCCGCTAGTTGCAGATGTCAGCTACAATTCCTGCTGAACAAGCACAAGAAAGCTTACAGATCGGAACCACCGATACCAATGTTGACGATGGTGTTGATCTTCTTGCCGGTGTAACCCTTCCACTCGCCGCTGCGGACCTGCTCGGAGAACTCCTTCATGTGCTCCAGCACGGAGTTGACCTCCTCAACCACGCTCTTGCCATCAACCTGCATAGGCTCATTGGCAACATTACGCAGAGCAGCGTGGTAGACAGCACGGTCCTCGGTGAAGTTGATGTGTTCACCACGGAACATGGCATCACGGAGCTCCTCAACGTTGGCCTCCTTGGCGAGTTGGACCAGAAGAGATACAGTCTCCTGGGTCAGGAAGTTCTTGGAGAAATCGAAAAGGATCTCGGTGTTATCTACTGTGTTGGCGAACTTGTGGCTGAAGTTCTCGAAGCGCTTAGGGTCTTTCTGGAACTGATCCTTGAGGACTAGGTTGCGTCCCAGGGTAGTGTGGTGCTCCTGGAGCTCCTTCCAGGCAGGAAGGTCGCTGGTTTGCGAAAAGCCGGGCATGATGACGATGAGGGGTTCTATGGAGTGTCAGTGCGGGGGCAAGTGGGATATGAAGGCTATGATGAAAGTGAAGTTCAAGATATAAAAGAATTGTAAACGTACAGAGGTAAATGTGGTAAAGAGAAGAGTGAAGAAACAAAAGAAGAAAAGCGAATGGCGTCAGTTGCATCCGGCGCGTTGGGGTCCGAGGGGGTCGTGGGGCAACATCATCATTGCCGCATTCGGCTTGTTATTTCAATTTCATTTTTACTTGTTTTGATCGCTTTACGGAGAGTACTGGTACTGTTATTCTTCTTATTGGAGCCTTTTAAATTATTATGTTTCTCCTATTCTCCGATACTGAAATATACCCGGTATACCAATTGGGTCATTTGTAATGTAGGCTATTGCTTTTACTATTCTAGGCCCCGGACCAATTCGATTCCAGAACCTTTTCTTGTATAGCGGGGCATTGGAAATTGAACGGCTATAGCCTTTTTCAGTTGAAATGGTCCTATTCTCAAGGAAACTAATGCGTTAAAAACTTGTCAAGATACTAGCAACATTGGGAGATTTATTTCAACCCTCCTGCATTCCACATAGATGAGGATTCCTGATGTTATGTGGATTTTTTTGTTTTTTTTTGAGAGTAAACAGAACCTTTCAGGTCTCGAGCACAAGATAAAAGCTGTGCATAAAATGTCCTAAGCAAGGTGGGCATTCGCAGTACAAATGGCCAGTGCACGTGCTGCATGTCTAGGTGTTCGGGACAATTCACCGCGGATCTCACCGCCCGTGCTTTTTGGGCAACCAAATCTTTGAATTGAGCCTTGATCGACCTCACTTTCTTAGTACGACCTGACACCATGTACAATCCTTACCAAGGTGAGCACTGCTTTCTCTTTGGTCTTTAAGGAGGCCTTGATGTCTTGAAGAAACTAACTCTTACATAGCTCCAGGTCTTTATGGACGCGCTCCTGACTATGGTGCCTATGGTGCGCCTCCAGGCATGGGTGAGTTCGCTCCTTTCCGATGGTCTCATTTTTAATTTAGGCTGACTAGCTCCAGCACCTCCTCCAGGGATGGCTGCTCCAGGCACTGCTGCTCCTCCCGGCATGCAGCAAGCAAATACCCATCCAGGAAGCTTCCCGCCCAACTTCCAGCCGCCTGCGAACATGCCAAACATCAATTTCTCTGCACCAGTGATTCGCTTGGGTACCTCGGGCCCAGCCAAACCTGTAGCTCAAGAGAGCGGCCGGGAACGCGGGTCCGATGCTCCTGGCCGCCGCAGTGGCCTGGGGTCAATGGGAATTGATACCCAGCGCCATCATGGTCGCGATACCATGATGCAGCTCCAACCACCTACTCGTGATGAGATCGTGCGCACACTTTTTATCGGCGGTATCACAGAAGGCGCAGGTGGTGATGATGGCATTGAGCGTATTCTACGATCTACTGGTATCTTGCGTCGCTGGATTCGCGCCACAGATGCTGATGAGAAACCTTGCCGGTTTGGCTTTGCCGAGTATGACGACCCGGAGAGTCTTGAGATCGCAGTTGAAACCTTGAAGAACGTGGAAGTGCCGGTCAAGAGACAGACACCCCGCGCCGAGGGTGAAGAGGAACAAGAGGTCGAAAAGAGCATGCTTCTGGTGCGTACAAGTTATCTACCCTGTCCTCACATAGGTCTTCTAACTTGCTTGGTAGGTCGTTGTCGATGAAGGTACCCTCACCTACCTAGAGCAATTCGAGTCTAGCCGAGCAGAACAAGATCCCGAGGAACGCCAGGCACGTTTCACCGCTGCCCGCAAAAACCTTGATAAAGTCTTGTCGAGCCTTTTCCACCCCGTGGCTCCCCTTACAAAGGAGGAGGTCTCGGCCCTTGATCGGGAAGGTGACAGTGAAATGAAGGATGCCGAGCTTGCGAAGGATGGGGAAGTGGTCACCATTCCCATTACAATTGAAGACGAGCTAGCCGATATCCCACCTGAGATGCGCGCCAATGTGGCCAAGGAGATCTCAGCTTTCCGTGAACGAAGCACCCGCCGCGACATCGAGCGTATGAAACGCGAGGAAGAGATCGAGTCAATGGAGCGTGCACGCAATTCTGGGTCTCGGATCAATCGACTTGCTTCGCCTCCGGTATCTGCTCCCAGTGGTCCTGCTGCCGGTATTAACGGTATTCCATTGGGCCCGCGGGATCGCAATGTGTTGAACGCACCTTCTGGCCCGAAGGCGTTCGGTGTACAGATTCCCAAGGATTATCAGAAGGGAGTTTCTTTTGTCAATGGTGGGGCCCTTAATGGAGTCTCCATTGACCGCGAAGGCGAGGATTCCGATGCCAGCGACGAGGAAATTGAACGCCGCAGACAGGATCGGCTTGAGGCTGAGCAAGAGAAGCAATTCTCAGACCAAGAGCGCCGCTGGCTTAGTCGTGAGCGCAGCCGAACCGCTGCCCTGGAACGAGAGAAGAAGCGCGAGGATGAGGAAGATGGAAAGTTGCAAGCTGCGCACGATGAGATGGAAGCACGACTTGGCGCTTGGAACGACGATATCGAGGACAGCCGGAAGGCGGTCGATTACTACGCAGACCGTGGTGCCTGGCTCCGAAACCGTGCAAGCTTCCGTGCTCGCGAGGCTAACATCGACGATGCCGATCGCGCCGCTGAGGATCGCGAACGTGTGCAATCTGCCAAGCAGCAAGAGCAGGCTCGCGGTATGGCCGATGACTTCCTCGCCCGCCAGGCAAAGGAGCTCGAGACACGTCCCCAGGAGGCACCGCGCGAACCTCAACGCTTCAAGCTCTCTCTTGGAGCCGCTGCGCAGAAGGCCCAGGCTGCGACCAGCCGCCGCGCAATGGCCGATGTGGAAGGTCTGCTGGAGGACGAGGAGGAGCCTGTTGCTACAACCCGTCGCCCACTTATTCCGATCAAATTCGATTCTGCAGCCGAAGCTGCAGGTCTCACGGACGAGGAACGTGCTCAGGCGGCCCGTCAACTCGCCGCAGAGATTCCAGCCGAGAAGGAAGGCCTGTGGAACTGGGCGGTCAAGTGGGAATTTGTGGACGATGCTGTCATCACTGACCAGCTCAAGCCGTTCGTTGAGAAGAAGATCGTCGAATATCTTGGCGTACAGGAGCAAATGTTGGTCGATGTGGTGGAGGAACATGTGCGGAAGCATGGATCGCCTCAAGAGTTGGTGGAACAGCTGGCCGAAGTGAGTATTTATCCCTTCTTCTTTGTGAGACAAGTTACTGACCGCAGTTCCCTACGTATAGGCATTGGATGAAGAGGCCGAAGTCCTTGTTCGCAAGCTTTGGCGGATGATCATTTTCTGTTCCGAGAGCGAGAAACGAGGCCTGTCCTCTTGATAAGGGTTGCATATCCCAGGGCCCTGATGTCTCTTAAGCTTCACTGAAATACGTGTACACAAAGGAATATATCATTCCATCTAAAATCGCATGTCCTCCGAGCCTTTTCCAACATAATCTAGTCTAGTCTACATGTAGATGCAACCTTCCACGTAGCATGGGATAAATCACGGAGTAGCTCCGGATATACCACCTGCACTGTGATTGGTGGAATAACGTAATTTCCCGGCATCTGTAATTCTCCGCCAATGAGAACGCGTCGACGGCAAATGACAGAGGACGAGGAGGGGCGCGGGATAAACTGGAGATGGCGCGGGGGAAATATATTTTGCTGTATATACGAGGTGGAATCCTTTTCGGTCTTTGAAATCTTTTCTCAATATTTCTCTTCTCTACATCTTCTTTGCGTCTTTGAGCTGCTAAAAATAGGTTGAAATCGAACCCTCGACTCTATACCCCGGATCTATACACCCCGCATTTCTAGATTGACCACCGTGTTTCTCTAGAACTGACTACCAGCATTATTGCTAGCCATTGACAGAAGTAAAACCTATTTCTACCACAAGTAACTACTCACAATGGTCAAAATCACTGGCTTCACCACGCGGGACGTGCGGTTCCCGGTACGTCAATCTTGCCTCAAAATACCCAATGCACCCAATACTGACAAGCCCGCTATAGACTTCGCTTGATAAGACCGGCTCAGATGCTATGAACGCGGCAGGTGATTACTCTTCCGCCTACTGCATCATCACCACAGACTCAGAATACACCGGACATGGCATGGTACGTGACACCACATCACCCACCCGCAACACTCCAATTAACCCAATCCCCTACAGACCTTCACAATCGGCCGTGGCAATGAGATTGTCTGCGCAGCAATCTCTCTGCTCGCCCCCATGGTAGTTGGCAAAGATCTGGATGAGATGACCGCAGACTGGGGCAAGACCTGGCGCTACCTCGTCTCCGACAGCCAGCTGCGCTGGATCGGCCCCGAAAAGGGTGTGATGCATCTCGCCCTCGGCGCTGTCGTCAATGCCCTCTGGGATCTGTGGGCTAAGACCCTCGGCAAGCCCGTCTGGCGCATCGTTGCCGACATGACCCCAGAGGAGTTCGTCCGTTGCATTGATTTCCGCTACATTACTGATGCCATCACCCCTGAGGAGGCTATCAGTCTTCTGAAGGAGGTTGAGTCTGGAAAGCAGGAGCGTATTAAGGAGGCCGAGGCTAGCAAGGCTGTCCCTGCTTACACTACCAGTGCCGGATGGTTGGGATACAGCAAGGATAAGCTCAAGTCGTTGTTGCAGCAGAGTGTAGAGCAGGGGTACAAGCACTTCAAGCTTAAGGTTGGAGCTGATTTGGAAGATGACAAGACTCGCTTGCGTATTGCGCGTGAGGCTATTGGATATGACAAGGGTAATATTTTGATGGTTGATGCCAACCAGGTACGTTATTCTCCCCAAGACCGATTCCGTTACACATTCGAGTCATACTAACGCTGAGGGAAATGAATAGGTCTGGTCCGTCCCCGAGGCTATCACCTGGATGCAAGAACTTGCCGAGTTCAAGCCCTGGTTCATCGAAGAGCCTACCTCCCCCGATGACATTCTCGGCCACGCCGCCATCCGCAAGGCCCTGGCCGACACTCCTTACGGCCCCGTTGGCGTCGCCACAGGCGAGATGTGCCAGAACCGTGTGATCTTCAAGCAGCTTCTGCAAGCCGGTGCTTTGACTGTCCTTCAGCCCGACGCCTGCCGTGTCGGTGGTGTGAACGAGGTCTTGGCTATTCTCCTGCTTGCACGCAAGTTCGGTGTCCCTATCGTGCCACACTCCGGTGGTGTCGGTCTGCCCGAGTACACTCAGCACCTGAGCACGATCGATTATGTTGTCGTAACTGGCAAGAAGAGTGTCCTTGAGTACGTGGATCACCTCCACGAGCACTTCATCCACCCATCCAGCGTTAAGGATGGTTACTATTCTACCCCCTTGGAGCCTGGATACAGTGTTGAGATGAAGGCTGAGAGTATGGATGCTTTCGAGTACCCCGGTCAGGAGGGAAAGAGTTGGTGGAGAACGGAGGAGGCTAAGGCCATTATTGATGGGCCCAGAGTTGTATAGATTTGGTGATGGGCTTGGGTGTGCGGTGTGTTTTAGATGATCATGTGTTTGTGTATTCATGTCAATAGCATTCAAAATTTGTTTTACATATAGTACTCACTCGGTCTGAATTGAGTAGATGTAGATACGCGACTGTCTTCCAATACGCCGCAAATTCTCAATGAGCCCTAGCCATGTTCTAAGCCAAGACTGCCTTTGGATATAAGGGTGGTCCAAACAATGGAACACATGCCTCGGTCCCTCCACATCATGCAATCGAACATACATCGGAGACAGGCTAGTATGGTGGGTTAGTATGGTGGAGTTGCTCCTTGAATATGGAGCTTTGCAAATTCATCAACAGATATGGATCCCCAGGATCATTTCAAATTGTTGAGTAAACGTGGGACAACTAAGCGCAGTTAAGTTAGAATCCCAAATAGCTATGATACATGTTACAGGTCATCATAAGAGCCTGGGTGGACGGCCAGTGGCCCGGTCCTAGAAAATACAAGGGAAGCGCCTTGTCTAAACTGTTACAGAACAGCCTGGAGTGAGCGCCAAGGACAAAAGCTCAGAGGCCATGAATCTCAAATGCTCATCACAGATGAAGGCGTAGAACCTAGATGGTGTGTTTGGAGGTGGAGGGGTATAATGAGAAGTTGGCGTCATTGCCAGATCAGCGCCACTGAATACCGAAAAGCTTCAAGGCGCTAGTCACATTAGCCTTCTCTGAGGCTTTTTCGAGGACGATGCGAGAGTGTCCTTTCACATCCAACGCGAGAAGCTGGTACTCGAAATTGCTCTTGTCCAAAGGCTTCATCATGTGCACGACGACTACGCCGGAGTTGAGAGGACCTTCGACCTAAAAATATGGTTAGTATGCGTATCCCAAATTGACCGGAATTGGTGCCATACATGGAAATGCATGCGAAGGTGCTCACGACCCAATCGATCCTTTTCAGTTGATGATCTAGTCATTGTCAGCATTTCGGTTCTATGGCATATATTATGCAGAACGATAGAACCTACGCAATAGGCTTGTTCCGCGCCCACCGGCTGGAGGTCTGCTCGCCATATGCCTTGATCTCTCTTCGATCGCCGAGTAATTTTATGCACTCGGGGTCATCCTTAATGCGCCCTACCGCTGTTTCGAATTGCCATGTCTTGCTGTTTGGTGACAAAACCTCTTGATAGAAAAGTACACAGACTCCACCCTAATAGGATCATGTAGTCAGCAATTATCTCCCAAATCCTCATAAATGAATACAGTTCATACCGTCAGTACTGCTCCAACCAGCACGATAACGAAGTTAAAAGATTGTTGTGTTGTCCGCGCAACCTTCTCTCCACGACTCAAATCGCCCCACTTAACTCTCCCATCGTCGGACAAGACTGTGATGGCTTTTTTCCTTGGTGAAAGGATGTGAGGCCCGCTGCCTATGTTGTTTTGCGTGGCGTAGAGCCGAATGATCTGTGTCTGTATGCGGGGAGAGGGGCGGAGAACAAGAGATGCCGGCGATAGTCGGGGAAGAGCGCGTAGTTGGAAAGAACTCATTGTGAAGGATCAAAACCGAGTGTCTTGGAACTTGTTGGAGTATTTTAAGTCGAATACTGAACTCGATCTGCTGGCAACCTTGAAAGGTTGCTATCGATCTTCATTATCGGCAGCACGTGATTATAATACGGTAATACAATACGCCCGATAGGAGAAAATGGCCCGGCCAAATGGGAGGCGTTGTATGACGATTACACCAGGCACAGGGTCTACAGAGTCCACGTTCGCCGTTCCCGACTCGGGATGCTTTTTGCCTTACCTGAGCCCTCACATTCTCGCCCAAACCCCCTTTTTCTTTTTCTCTCTCTCTTTCCCATTGATCTCTCCTCGGTACCATCATGAGTGCCACAAAGGCGCAGTCTCAAAAGATCTTTGAGAAGGCCAAGCTGAAGCCCGCGAACAAGGTGCGCACCCCCACCCCGTACGCTGTGTGATTGTGGCACTCGATTCTGATGTTTCTGCTTTCAGGTGTGCTTCGACTGCGGCACTAAGAACCCGACATGGTCTTCAGTTCCATTCGGTATCTACCTATGCCTTGATTGTTCGGCTCACCACCGTAATCTCGGCGTGCACATCTCCTTTGTTCGATCAACAAACCTCGACCGTACGTACACTGCCACACAATTCCTTTACACGCCAAATATACCGGTAGCCCAACACTGACATTTCATGCAGAGTGGCAATGGGAGCAACTGCGAGTGATGAAGGTTGGTGGAAATGAGTCTGCGACCAAGTATTTCCAATCGCACGGAGGTTCTGCTGCGCTGGCAAGCAAGGACACCAAGGTCAAATACACATGCAATGCGGCCGTCAAGTATAAGGAGGAACTCAAGAGGCGCGCTGCGCTGGATGCGCAACAGTCAGTGCATTCAATCCTGGTGGAACTACCACGACTACATGCTAACCAGTGTTATTGTTTCATTTAGGTACCCTGGAGAAGTCGTCATCACAGATGTCCCCGCTGGCACTCCTTCAGATGGCTCGAACACCCCTGCTGGCGACGGTGAGGACGATTTCTTCTCCTCTTGGGACAAGCCCTCGATCAAGCGCCCGAGCAACCCCCCATCGCGCACTAGTACTCCCCCCGTCGTCAGCCGGAACAGCTCTCCTTTCCTGAACGCCGGTGCCAACTCAAACGGATCCCGCTCGAAATCTCCTTTGTCTTCTTCGGAAGAAAAGAGCACCTCTCCCGCGCCGTCTGCTATCCGGCCCACCAGTGTTACCCGGAAGACCTCTACAGCTAGCGCTGCAAAGAAGGGCAGTGTCCTCGGTGCCAAGAAGGCACCCAAGCTCGGAGCTAAGAAGGTTGCTGCTGCGGATATCATTGATTTCGAGGAGGCAGAGCGCAAGGCCAAGGAAGAGGCTGAGCGCATTGAAAAGCTTGGCTACGACCCCGAGGCTGAGCAGGCGGAAGCCGAGGCCAAGAAGGCCGCCACTACTGCCGCTGTCCCAATCGCTTCTCCTATCCCAGTCAGCCCTGCTGGCAAGGCTAATGATAGAAACTCGGGTGATGTGGAGCGACTAGGCATGGGTGTGAGCAGACTTGGCTTTGGCCAGGTGTCGAAGCCCGTTGCCCCCAAGAAGCCAACCTTTGGTTCTGTTGGCCCTGCCAAGCCCAACCCTGCTGATGGTAAATTTTCCTTGGTTGTTCAATATATGAAAGATAAGCTGACACTCGACACAGAGGCGGAACTCACCCAGACCAGAACCCGATTCGGCACTCAGAAGGGTATCTCGTCCGATGAATTCTTCGGACGGGATCGTTTTGATCCCGCTGCCCAGTCGGAGGCCAAGGATCGTCTCCGCCAATTCGATAGCGCTACATCCATTTCCAGCAACTCCTACTTCGGCCGGCCCGAGGATGAACTTAACTCACTTGACGATGGTTATGGTGATATGGAGGTTGCCGCTAAAGATTTCATTCGCCGCTTTGGTATCACAGCTGGAGATGATCTTGAGAACCTGTCGCATCTTGTCGGCGAAGGTGCAACTAAACTACAAGGTGAGCAAGTCTTTGTTTGGGCATGTAACCACTTTTCGCTAACTGAATATCACCAGGTGCCATCCGCAACTATCTGAACAACTAGGCTAGTCGCCCATGTTCATCGGATATTACGCCTTCTATCACTCCAAGTACCTTAGCAAGCAACACTGTTCCCTGACTACCCCCAGTCCTGTCCGCGACGTATATTGTGTCTCCCCTGCCCACCTCGCTCCCTGACAATCTTTCTTTACCTGGAAAACCATTGCGATCAGCAGTCGGCCAAAAATTTGGGTTTCATACCATTCTGGTTTGCAATACGGCGTGTGATTGACGATAATTGTTTTTCTCCCTTGCTTCTTCGCATTCTTACACAGTAACACAGGATGATCGAGGAGGTCTTTTATTTTATTTTGCTCAATGCTTTGATATGGTTTAGGATACTCGAGAAATTCATGATTTGATTATTGATAGACAAGAATTTTTGACAAAAGCACAACTCCAATCTCTCAGTCGTGCACCGCTCAACCAAAACTCCATGATGAATGAAGAGAACACAGTAGTACATATAGTACAAGTCACACCCAAGTGTTGAATACAAAAAAGGCCCCATATATAAAGCAGCAGGGCAAGGCTATACAATAAGTGATGCAGCGGCCCGAACTCAATCAACACGATAAATCGCATCCGCAACCTTCGTCACCTGCCACATCTCATGCACATCATGAACACGAACAATATCCGCCCCACCAGCCACACTGGCAGAGACAGTAGCAGCGGTACCCCAAACGCGCTCTTGCGGCGTCTTTACCCCAGTAAGATGACCAATGAATCTCTTCCGACTAGGTCCCATCAGCCAAGGGAAGCATTCAAGCCCAGGCATCGCACGCAGTCTCGGCAGCTCTCGCAAAATCTCCAGATCATGCGGCTGGATCTTCGCAAAGCCGAGACCGGGATCGAGGATGATGCGCCAGCGTCTGATGCCCACGTCTTCGGCAGCCGCAATGCGCGCGCGCAGCTCAGCAGCCACTTCCGGGATAACGCCGGAAGGATACTCATGCAGGGTTGTCATTGTCTGCGGTGTGCCGCGCATGTGCATCAGAATCACGGACTTGCCGATCCGCGCTACTGTCGGCAGCATTTCTGGGTCGAGGAGGCCGGCTGAGATGTCGTTGATGATGTCTGCACCAGCAGCGCAGGCCGCTTCCGCTACGCTAGCGCGGTAGGTGTCGATACTGATGGCGATGTTGGCAGCTTCTGGGATGGCGGTTCGGATGTGTTTGATTGCTGGCACTACGCGGGCGATCTCTTCGGCGGCGCCGACTGGTGTTGAGCCTGGGCGGGTACTTTCGCCGCCGATGTCAATGATTGTTGCGCCGGAGGCGATGAAGTTGCGCACTGTTTCTGTTATGTAGGTTAGGTCTTTTGGGGAGTGTTTGCCGCCGTCGGAGAAGGAGTCTGGCGTTAGGTTGAGGATTGCCATGACGTGAGTACTGCGCTTTGGATCTGTTGCGCGCAGGGATGGGAATAGTGGTGAGATCGGGGTCGTTGACATTGGTGTTGGTTCTGGTGGCGGGAGAGCCTTTAGATGTGTGCTGTAAGTTTGCGTGTCCTTTCCTGGCAGTGGAGGGTATTCTTTCGGAATTAATCTAGATTTATATGGTCAGTTTACTCTTTGTGTGCCGGTATGGCATATTTAAAGTCATTGGGGGGCGTACTGGCTGAGAGGTCGCAATACAAAATCTCGCTCGAGCATCAGATTATGTGGGATGTTGAGACGCTCGTGACAGACGATCTCCTGATCATATAGTAGGATGTCCAAGTCAATAGAGCGGGGGCCTTTGTCGATGAGCTTCTTTCTACCCATCTCAATCTCAATGGATTGAATAGTGTCCAAAAGATCCAGAGGCGCAAGTGTTGTTTCCACCTGAGATGAATTAACAACTTGCAACCATATTGAGAATTCAAGTTCGCTAACATACCTCGCATACACCATTGATGAATGGATCTTGATCAAGCACATACATCGGTGCGGTCTCGAATAATGAACTTGTTCTTTTCACTTTGATCCCAACTCGGTCCATTTCAAGACAAGCTTGCTCAATCATTTCTACACGGTCTCCAACATTGCTTCCCAGGGCAATAAAAGCCCGGTGGATTTCTAGACTGGGGAACTTCAAATTCATCTTGGAGTCAACTGCTTGCGCAGTGGAGAAATTCCTCACAGGCGGGGTCAGATGCGACGACGTTATTGAACGTCGTGATAGACCATTTCTAGTGAGAAGTCCCGATGCCTCTTGGGCTGTATATACCAATTTGGATTGATAAGATGATCCTATTGAATATTAGTCCTGTTGGATCAAAGCGCAGCAAATCAAAAGAAGAAAAAAAATGCGGGACACGCATATTTCCCCATTTGGATGATACGCCGATAAGCGTGCGAGGGGCTTCTATGAAGCAGCCAAGTACATACCCAGGTTATGCTGCGAGGATATACTGTAACTGTAAGAGGTTGTTAGATTCGCCACAGCCAATTGATTATTTGGGGGTTTTACCCTGTATGCAATGGTCGATAATCAGCCCTTATGGCCGAAGCTGCAACCAATGGCGCAAGTCTTCGTGACCTCCCAATTTGCCGTAATTGAGGGGTTAAAGATGCTGACGGACAGGCTCTCCGGATTGCCCGGGCACTCATTCTGATTTGAAAAGGGAGGCAAATGTATGAACAGTCGAGAGCTTCGAGTCAGCTCTGATAAGCTTCACGTGGTTTGCCTGCTTCTTGGCGTTGACGTGTCGATGCCTTGACACCTTGATGCCTTCATGCCTTAATATTCACATCCAATTCACATTCCCTACGACCTTGGTCGATTGCAATACGCTGGGGAACAGACCCCCACGGGTGTTTGCCCAACATCTCGGCTCTTTCCGAAGCTCATTTCTTAGATGGCCCTAGGCTCTAAAGGGAGATCAGTACGGAGTAAACAATACACGAAGTAGTATATAAAGCCCATAGTTACCCAGTATATTTCATAGTGACTTACAAGTATACTATATAGTTATTATAACTACTCTATTTAGTCCCTTCCTCTAGCATCTTATTATGCCTTTACCCTTTTCACTCGAGTAAAAGAATACGAAATAAATAAGAAGCCGAGCGGACGAAGAAATGCCAAAAACATAATGGGACGAGCCGGGATCGAACTAGCGACTTTGCGAACTTCAGTCGCACGCTCTCCCTCCCAAATGATTTATCGTCCCATTTGGGATGAAGGTTACACCCCACAAAGATATTATCAAGGGGTAATACTTTTACCACCGTGTCTTCGATGGTGGTGCAATTAGATAACTATATAAGATCCGGGGGTGCTGGTGTGCACAGATGTGTATGAGAGGCGTACCTCACAGGGTTTTTGAATTGATTGCCTCACATGTCGATAATTCAGAGTTTGTTGTATGAAGAATGCGCCGAATTGAAAAAGCTTTCTGAGCTGCCGAATTAGGGTTCAAGAGGATGTGCTCCAACAGATATGTGAAGATATGCATAACATGTGTAATTATGAAGCTTCTCAATAAGTGCATCACCTTCCACTTCAATTAGGTAGTCATGCTCAGTAAAATTATTATTATTAATTCATCCTCAAATCTAGCAGACCCTAATTAGCGGCTTTTCGGTTCCTTTTTCATAGGCCACAAACTAGATAATAAAGCGAGGGGCTGATATTTTTAAATAAGCATTGACCCCCCTAATTTAAGCATCATTAATAAGATATTTAGCTTTATAATACTTACGTATCTGGGTATATCCAACTTGGGTATATTGCACTGGCAGCTAGACTATATCTATAAACTCTCTGGATGAATTGATATAGAATACTCACATCTAATAGTACATAAAACAAAATATCATCTACATTTGACAGTATTTCAAGGGTCGACGCCAGAAAAGAATGAGTGGGAGTATAGTCAGAATTATGCTGTGATATATATAATGATGGGCTATGAGGGGCATTCTGGTCGAGGCGAAATATATGAAAGACAAGCAGTGAATACAGATTTACACACCGATTTGTCCAATGGTGATGTATAGAAAAGTAGTTTCCTGTATATCAATTGATCCACCAGACTTGCCACGACATTGAGCATTTTTCCATGTCCATCATATCAAGCATGAAACGAAATAGCGGTGAGGACATTTACTTAAGGACTGCATCTGATTTCTCGTGGAACACACCCACCATTTCCCTTCAATTTCCACTACATCGAGATAACAATGGACTCCCCCATTACCGAGCTAGATGATATCTGGATCAACTCCAAGCCGGTGGATCTGACTAGTGAAAGACCACCTGATTGCTTTACGTCTCGACCGGTGCGAATAAACAAGTACGACGATATTATGAATCTCCACACCACGAATGCAACAAACGACTGGACAACAGCAATGTGCGATGATGCAGACCGTAAAGTTGGGCATGCTTTCTCACCAGTGGGGAATGTATCGAGCCTTCTTTTTCCCGAGTGTTCATCAGATAAGGCACATATTCTGGGATACTTCACACAGCTTTCATTCATACATGACGGTATGTCACTGTGCAATGGGCCTCAAATAAACGAACGTTAACTAGAACGTCAAGCCAGATATCACGGATGTGTTATCCTCAAAAGATGCCAAGGAAGAGAACAGACATTTATCCCATGCGCTAGACCCCAAGGACAACCACCCCGGCACGTCGGAAAGGGGAAAAGCCATGAAGAAGTTTCTATCGCAGAAAGTTCTTGAAATGATTGACATGGATACTGATGAAGGACGAGAATTTGTTAAGCTTCTCAAAGTCTGGGCTGATGACGAGATTGGGTTGAAAAATCCCCAAACGATCGAATCTGTTGACGAATACCTCCGCTTTCGGCAACTTGACGGAGGGGTAAGGTATGATGCTCTACCCTATTAACATCTGCAGAATACAAGTGGTGCTGATTCGTCTAGGGCATATTGGTATTGGTTAGCATTCTCCCACAGGGATAGCTTCGCACAAGCAGATTGGGATTCGATAGAATATCTTCTGAAATCTGCCAACAGGGTCTTTATATGGACCAATGACTACTTCAGTTGGCCCCGGGAACGCTCTTATGAACAAGGCAGGATTGCAAATGTGATTGAGTTCTATATGAGAACCGAGGGGCTTTCCGAGGAAGAAGCCAAGAAGAAAACGAAGGAAGAAATTTTGCAAGGCGAACACCGTTTCCATGACATGTGCGTTGAAAGATTTGCACGAGAGCCGAGCATTCCTCGCCACGTAAAGAAATTGCTCTTGGTTGCCGAGATAGTTATGGGTGGATATAACTACTGGGCATCGACATGTCCTAGGCTGAACTCTTGGAAAGAACAAGGTCTAACTGCAGAGACTGTCTTCCATGGACCAAAAAATGACGAAGTTTTCAATCATGGAGAAAAAGCTCAGCTCGTCAAGTCAGTCAATGTAACCCAAACTTCCAACAAAACTCCGGAGAACACGAAAATTCAGTTTCAACCTTCAGTATCCCATTTGGACTCGGCGACATGTACATCTGTTCTTGATGACTCGGCTCTCCTAGCTCCAGCTCGTTACATTGAGTCTCTGTCATCAAAAAATACGCTTTCCAAACTTGCCGATGCATTCAACGTCTGGATGCAGGTGTCCCCTATACCACTGGCATCGATCAAGGATGTCATCAATGGTCTGCATAACTCATCCCTAATCTTGGACGACATCCAAGATAACTCACCACTCCGACGAGAGAGAACAGCCACCCATCTCATCTTCGGACCTGCGCAATCGATCAACAGCGCTACATACATGTTTGTCAAAGCGGCTAAAGTAGTAGACGCACTGGGTACTCCTCAAATGATGACCGCCCTTTTGCAGAATCTCGAGATGCTCTTCATTGGTCAGAGTTGGGATATAAGCTGGAGACATAGTTTCTATTGCCCTACGGAATCCGAATACCTCACTATGGTGGACAAGAAGACTGGTGCCTCGTTGACCATGATGGTTGAGCTCATGCAAGCCAACGGCAAAACAACACCCTTCTCATATCGACTTTCACCGCTGGCCCGACTTTTCGGCCGATGGTATCAGATCCGCGATGACTACATGAATCTCCAAGGGGCAGATTATTCGAAACAGAAGGGGTTCTGCGAAGATTTCGATGAGGGGAAATTGTCCTACCCAATTGTCAAGTGCTGTCAGAAGAGCGAGGCAATTAAAAACATCATTCTCGGCATATTCCAGCAAACGCGAATGACAAACACAAAAATGATGCGTGAGAGTAAATTGCAGATTTTGGATCTTATGTCGAGTGTTATGGCCCTTGAGGATACGTACGATTATCTTCAGCAGCTGCAACAGGAAATTGAACAGGACATTCGAGAGATTGAGGTCTTGACAGGCGAATCTAATCCAGAGCTATTGCTCGTGGTGAAGGTCTTAGGTGTGATTCCCAAGCCTGGTGGAAAGGGGCATTGAACCGCCTAATTTCTCTGTCCGCTATCCAATTGAAATTTCCTTTTCTTTCTTCCCATTTGTATAAACTTGTTTGGATCTACTTCGGCAGGGAGTCATTGCTAGCCTGGGTTGCCTATGAAAAGCAGAGTAGGGCAGTTCAGGATACGGGTTGAGAAATAATCCTTGGGTGTCTGAAGGAGAACTGTTTTCCTATGCCGAATCTTGGAAGTTACCTGAGTGGACTTCACCGTTCTGGGAGACGTCAAATCCAGGCAGTCTTGGAATATATTCTTCACGACTGGACTGGGCGAGGAAGGTGCGAGACCAAGGAAAGAAGGGGAGAGCATAGGCGTATGGCACCTACTGCTATGATTTATGAGGTAGATACGTAAAACATACGAGACTGTGGGCTTTGACTCGATAATGCACTTCTTAATTTTTGTGGATCTTTTTGGGTAGCTCATCGGATTTCCATAATAGGATGTTGGAAACGGTATATACTCCTACATCTACGTTTTGGCAGACTATTTTACTCCTTTGACTTGAAAAGGAAGCTAAAAGTCTTCAACCAATTGGTAACTCATTTTTTTAGGTTCTAGGAAAAAGAAAATGTTTCGTCCTAATGGCCACATTTAGAGAAGACCAGAATTATTAGTTACCTACGGTATATCCGAATGGTTGGGAGACAGTAAATAATGTCGAGGAAGATGACCCAAACGATTGCCACCAAGTGTATATAAAATGTGAAGCAGGGCTCAGCCCTCCCAATGAACATCAAGAAAATTGTATTGATCTTGATTTGAGAAAAAATCTAGTTTAGGTCCTGCTTAATGATATCTGCCGCCTTCTCAGCAACTGCAAACACGGTCGCCTGGATATTACCCCTTGGCTCCAAGGGGAAGATACTGGCATCGACAACACGGATATTAGCCGAACCGTACACCTTCAGGTGAGAATCCACAACACCGCCATCTTCCAGCGGCATCATCGTACAGGTACCGCTGACATGGTACATAGACAAGATGAGCTCTCTGCATAGCTCCTTTGCCTTCTCGAGGTCCGTCAGAGGCTCCGGTGTGTGGAGGCGCTCGCCACCCTTCTTCAGCAGCGATGCCATTGGCGCCGTCTCAGCAATCTTCTCCATCCACATACTATGCCGGGCCTGTAGCTCGACATCAACTGGGTGACGGAGAATTCCGTGATCAATGAGAGGAGGAGCCTTGGGATCGGAAGATTGGATATGGACCGATCCCCGTGATAGAGGGTAGCTGAGCAGAGAAACAAGACTGATAAAGAAACCCGGGTGCCCGAGACCGAAAAGACGCCGTGGGTATTCTCCTTCGCGGGGCAGAAGCTGGAATGGCGCTAGAATAAATTGAGCAGTAGGCTCATCGGGATTCTTGAGTAGGGTGTGCAATGCTTCATATTGCTTCTTGTGTGTCCGCGAGATGTCGGGGCTCTCCACCGCAGCTTGCAGCTTCTGGAGCAATTGAGCTCGTTCATCTTCGGGAGTGTCTACAAGCGGCATGAATGCAGAGACCAGGGGAACCATACCAAGAGGTCCCGAGCCATCCTTCTGATAAGCGGCCATAGCAGCACCGGCAACGGCGGGGTCTCTCGCCATGTCGCCTGACGGCATACCATCGGCTACTTCATATCCAAATGAGACAATACCGTGATCCTGCAGGTTCTCGCCAACACCGGGGTTGTTGATGATTGTCGGGATCCCGTGGGACTGGAGGAGTGCTTCGTCTCCCACACCTGATAGTTCGAGGATCTGAGAGGACTGGGTTGTTCCGGCGGCAAGAATAACCTCTTTCACGACTGAAACGGTATACACATCCGAGTCCTTGCCAAAGCGAACACCAGTAGCGACGGCATTATCACCGTTGCTTCCCTTCTCCATGATAATCTTTTCAACCCAGGCCCCAGTCACGACCCGGAGGTTCGAGCGAGCTTGTACTTCCGGCCCCAGATACGCAGCTGCAGCGTGGCTTCTGGTGTGGGTAGCGGGATCCACAGCACCGGGGGTTACAAAGGGACCTATACAGGCGCCATTGATTGGATCCTCATCCTGCGGGTATCCAAGGGCTTTGAAGGTGTCCATCCACGCCGCATGGTACGGCATGTACTGATCTCCAAATGAGACCTGAACGGGACCTGTGCTACCCTGGTCCTGCTGGTCGTATTTCATCCCGTTGAAGAATTCACGGTTATCATCCGATGGGGGAGCAGCCGTGTGAAACTTGCGAATATATGGGGACAGGCCATCCCAGCCCCAGCCGGGGTTGCCCAAAGTTTCCCAGGCATTTAATCCGGAGCGAGAGGGATAGATGACCATTCCCAAATTGATCGCCGAGGAGCCTCCCAAAGTACGACCTTTGTTGGCTAAGAGCTTGCGGCCATTGAGTTGTTCCTATTGTATACGGATAAGGCCACTGGCAATAATTATGGGCTTTGAGACAATAACGTACCTGGGGACAGGATCGGAAATTCCAATCAAAGTCCTCGTCTTCAAATGTCGCCGGCCCTAAGCCAGGAACAATAATTCGAGGGTCATTGAGACGGTTTGTTCCAGCTTCCAGGACGAGTACGCTAATATTGGGATTTTCGGTCAGTCGGTTGGCGACCACGAGGCCAGCAGTACCTCCTCCGACAATTACAAAGTCATAAGCTGCGTTTTCAAGTCCTGCTGAGGACTCGGTGTCAAAAGATGCCATGGCGTATTATGTCAATGGAAGTGATTTGCAACCTGCATGAGACTAATTTATAGAAAAAAAAAGCAAATATATTAGGGGTTGCTCTCTGGGGATGGCCAGATGGAGGGGTTCTTAATTGAGGGGCGTCCAACTGCCACATCTTCATTATTATTATGAAGTGTTGTACAGAATATGGAATGTGCACAATAATACACTCAATCAAGCCCCTGAATATCTCAAAATATGGTCTAGAGCCAACCGAAATTAACCAGTATCTGATCATGGTTAACGCGGCGACAGGGGGTAGGCCGCGTTATGCAGAGGGGGAAGTGCAGACCGAGCTAGCGTTAGCCTGTGCAACAAAGGCACTGTACTGCAATTGATGGGGGATGTGTATGCCAAGTCCTCGGTTAGGGTAATAGGACAACTACCTTGTTCCTTCGGGATGAAACGTGCAGGGGTTGAGGGCTGGGCGTGAGTAGTGCGTATTTTGTTTTTTTTTTTTCTCCCCGTACCCTGTTAAGTATCAAGCATCAAATTTGTACGGAATGAACACTCAATGCATACCATATATGTACTCACACTCTTAGGAAATCTCCCAGATTGAAAGACCAAGTACGTTGGGACCGGGAGGGGCCGGTGCGGGACTCCACTTACAACTTAAAGGGGATTGGTTGCTATAAACCGATGTGCTAACTAGAGATGGCTCATGTCAAGCAACCCTAGAGATTAGCGTATATTAGTGTGGATTGGATAGGAAAGTGGATCTTGATGTTCTTCTATTACTCCTCCTTTTCTATTTAGATGGCGAAGTTGGCGACACGATATCAGACTGGAAAGGAAGTCCACAATGGGCAACTATGGACTGAAAGCAAAGGAAGGCAGGGAGATCGTGATCGTGATGCTCATTTTTGGGGCAATCTCCCTGAGTTCCACGATTCTTCGGGTCGTGTCTCGGAGAATGAGAGACGTCAGCTTAGGCTTGGATGATTATTGCATGATCAGTGCGACAGTATGCTCATCGAACCGTCTTTCTAGCATGGCGTGAGACTAATGAAGCTTACAGCTTTTGGTAATGGCGTGTACTGTGGTTGTGATATTGAGTATGACATATGTTCCAGAATGAATCAAGAGGCAGCGCTAATATATCGCTCAGTGGTGACAATGGGAGGCGTTGGGTTACATGCAACCACGGGCGAAGTTGCCTTCACCGATATAGAATTTAACCTCAAGGTATGTGAAGCGTAATGGCCCTTCCAACCGGCGGATGAAGCTCACCACAACACGGAGCAGATGATTATCGTCTGCCAGATTCTCTATGGAATCGGCCTTTCTCTTGTCAAAACGTCGATGATGGTCCTTTATCACAAGCTCTTTGGTACCAAAGCCAGCATGCGGATTGCCATTTATGCCACCGGTGCCATAGTGTGGGCTTGGGGACTGAGTATCGTCCTCGAGTCATTTCTTATTTGCCACCCTGTCGCGTTCAACTGGAATCCGACGCTACCGGGAGGCGGATGTGGAAATCGCAACGCAGCTTTCGTGGTAGCCGGGGTACTCAACATGGTGACCGATTTCATGGTAATGATACTTCCAATCCCATATATTTGGAAGCTGCAGCTACGAGTGGGCCGGAAGATTGGTTTATCGGTGGCGTTTTCCTTGGGCCTATTGTAAGTGAATCCGCCGGTCTGCTCGGATCTCCATTGCGCAGTCAATGGCTAACCTTTATTGGATCACAGTGTCAGCGCAATCAGCATGGTCCGCGTCGTCAGTCTCATGAACATCGACTTCAATGACCTCACATATACCCTCCCCATCCCATTGATGTGGAGTGTTATCGAACAGCAACTCGCCCTCGTCGCGGCCAATCTGCCCCTTCTCCGTCGCGTATTCTCCGAGGTGCTTCCTAAAGGTTGGCTGGGCTCGTCTTCTCGCGGGACGGGAACACCGTCGGGGGAGCTCAGTGCAAAAAAGCGCTCAGTACAGGAATATTCTCTCACTCGCATGGATGCCGGTGCCAATCAGAGTGAGATCACGTCAGACAGCCCCAAAGCTGCGACTCACAATATTCAGACAAGGTGGAGTGACGACGAGGGGCAATCGGATACGGAGTTGACTGTGAATGCCATGCCACCAGATGGGATCCAGATATGGAAGGACTTTCGGGTCGACTCGACTAGATACCTAGAACCGATATCTGATAGAAAATGATACGAAGCCACGCATGTTATGATGACTTGTCCCTTGTCACGACACGCTTTCTAAAAAGGCGTGTAGCATGGTGGTAGGGTTAATATTGTAGGAGTAAACCACCTTAAAATGTGGCGATGCATAAATTTGCATCGTACTAAAAGCTTCATTTGATGGGTTCACCGGACCGAATTATTGGTATAAAAAGCGGTCTAACTTCAGGTCAAATTCAAGCATTCAGGTAATCGACTGCATATGACCCTAAGTCATACCCCCACGAGGTTTTCGTACAAGCTGATGCGCAGATCTGCTCCTTCCTCCTCTCACATCTCTATCTCGCAAACAAAGACGTTTCCCGAGGTCCTTCTTTTTCTCTCTCATCAACTCCCATAACATCGGCCCATACTCCAAAGGGCTTCTACCCTTCTTCTTTTCCAATTTAAAGCCATGGCTTTGGCACTCCATCTACTAGACTTGATCACTGAATCTTCATATCAGCATCCTAAGGTTAACAGGTTCGTTGGTCTCTTCCATTTTCTTCCTCTTTCTTCTCCTATCTTTCTCTAATCACATTATGTTTTTCTTTCAACAGACTTCTGCCCTTCCCATAAGTTGTGATACTACATTGCGCGATTCAACCACACTTGACATCCTCAATGCCAAATTCGGATTTGGTGATCCAAACACGCATGTGGCCACCTTAAAGCAGTGGCGACAGGAAAACCCCTTGCGAGGATGGGTCTACTTAGTTACGAGAGAAGATACCGGCCGTGTTCCTAGACGTGGACAAAAGCAAGTTTGGTCGATGCCAGAAAATCTTAATCGTCGACGCCTATCTATTAAACGCATGGTATATGGAGGTTGTTCTGCATGCTGCTCTTATCGACCCGCAAGATGTGCACGGCTCTTAAGCCAATCGAGCTGATATTCTAGTGAGCCAATTAAACGATCCTGGCAGTGCATCCTGATAACCACCTATGCTGTGGACTCTGTGGGCCTCAACTTGCACAAAGCCTGCAATAAAGTCATCCTCACATTCCCCGGCCGTAACTGGGCGTGTTATCCGGGTATGTCAAAAGTCATTTTGATCCTTGGTCTACGCCTGTGCAGCACTAGCTCCAGATTGAGATACTGACTTGACAAACTCTCTATAGATCAGATCAGCGTTTTCATTGACTGTGGCTTGGGTGGCTATTGTCAGGTCACACGACCAATTTCGAAACGCGAAGCAAAGCAAACTCGGGCCCATTGAGTTCCCATGTGACTTCCCCGGATGTAGCAAGTCATATATAGCTCAAAAGCTCTCTTGACAAACACAAAAGGGAGAAGCACAGATTGGTCAGACCTCTCTCTTTCCATGGTTTTGTGTCCATGGGCTATATAGGTAGCTCCATGGTAATAGGTAGATTCAGCATTTGCATCCACTCTTATTGATAGCATTTGCATCCACTCTTATTGATTATATTGCTCCATCACTGTAGACATAGCAGTGCATATTTTTTGCACTCTCCTAGATCTCGTCAACAATCGATGAAGAGGTTACAACTAAGGTTACTTTAAGATTGGAAAGAAGCGCCTGTATGGCTACTAGATACTACTTAGGCTCTAAAGAGTTCATAGACCTCTGATTGATTGACGAATCGATTTATTCTAGATGAGGCGGTTTATATATTACAGTTCGCTAAAGGGCTATGATACATCTATCTTCAATCTCAAACTATGTGTTGAATGTCCCGAGGCAGAGTGGTAACACCCAAGTGCCTGCCTTTCACAGGAGTCTTCGCTTCAACGAGAATACAAAATTCTGATCCCTATCCCCGTTTAATTTGATGTCTCTCGTTTCAAGAGGACTTTGGGCAGAGTCGCCCATTGTTATTCCACGAGTAGGGCAGCGGGTCAACAGTCCGAACCTCCCAGTCCTCAGCACCAACGGCAGTCAGAGCAAAGAAAACACCACTAGGGTCATACTTCTGCTTGAGAGAGTAAAGGCGCGGGTAATTGGCGCCGTAGAAGGCTTCTTGGAGGTTCGGCTCGATGAGATCGCCCTCACTCATGTAGGAGCCTGAGTCCGGGGCAATCTCACGTAGAACGTCCATCCACTCAGTCACGAAGAGCGAGGTGCTCTTCACCACATCCCAGGAGGAGGTGAAGTTCCACTGGGAGCCGACAATAACGTGTGAGAGGGCATCACGCCATGCAGGGAGCACGGAATTGTCTGTGGGGGGCTTAGCGGCAATGCCTGTACCTCTGATGTGGAAGCCGGCAATGAAAAGACCCTATAATATGTCAGCACTATCCAAAAGAAGAGAGCCGGGAGTATATCTATGTATTTGTGTATACATATACGACATACTTGATTGACAGCGTCCCTGTAGGCAGCCCATGTTTGTTTGCGGAGATCATCGCTCTGGAAGACATTACGGGGGAGCAGGCGAGAAGCAGTCTTGACGACATCAGTTCCAACGTATTCCTGAGGGAAGGCCTGTTCCCAGGCATCATGGCTGGAAGAAAGTGTTAGCTGGGATTCAGAAGCACAAATTCCAGAAAAGAACGGGGAGAATTCAGACGCACAAGTTATCCGCGTGGTTGTACCACGGATTGTAGGAGATACCCAGGCTTTTGAGAGTATCAAACCACGGAGCCAGGAGTGCCTTGGTCTGTGCAACGTTCATGTTGGGTGCGACGAATGAATGCATACGGAAGTAGAGGTTAGGATCACCGGCATATGTCGTACCGATCATGGCATCTGAAGCACCAATGTAGAAGTAACCGTAGGTACCAGCATCGACAAAGGTCTCAAAGTGGTCGAGATAGGACCCAACAGCAGCCCAGAAGGCGTCTGGACCAGGAGTGTCGTTGATCGTGAAATTGAAAGTCACAGTAGTGGTCTCCAGCTTAGGCAGGGCCTTGACTGTTAAAGAAGTGACGACTCCAATGGTGCTGCCACCACCACCACGAAGCATCCAGAAAACTTCCGAGTTCTCAGTAGAGCTGGCGGTGATGAACCTACCATCTGCCAGAACAACTAAGGAGAATTATTAGGGAGGTACTCCGAGCAAATCCGAGATTGTAAAAAAGAGACGTACCTTGCATAGCCAGAACCTGATCGGCCGCCATACCGTACATACTGGAAAGGGGAGAGTGGCCACCACCAGCAGTGTAGCCACCACCCAAGCCAACGGTGACGGCTTCTCCACCGACAACCGAGTGGCCGTGGGTCTTAGCAAACTCATAAGCCTCCCAGACCTGAGTACCCGAGCCAAACTTAATGGCCGGACCGACATAACCATTGGCAGCCTTAAAGGTCGGGAGATACTCCTTGTCCTTGAGGTAGTGGGTCCAAATGGAGAGGGCACCCTTGCCGGAGGCCTTGCCATTGAAATCATGTCCGGTATTCTTGACCACTAGTCGCAAGTTCAAGTTACGGGCAAAGTTGACCGCTAGCTGGATCTGAGCCACGGTGGATACGTTCACAGCATACGTCGGATAGGCGCCCTGAGTGCAGCTAGCAGTATGGTTAAACGGTGATGGTAGACATGAGCGGCCTTCGTACAGCGGTAGCATGATCGACGCAGGGTCAGCCATGTGCAGGTTCGAGCTAAGCCAGTCTGCTGAAATTCTTGCGCACTTAGTGGGATTGTACTGCGGCCAGTCCGGATAGCAGGAGGACGCCAGGGGCACCGTCTTGATCAGGCTGCCGCCGAGCAAGATATCGAAGACGTCCCATATCAGATCTACGGGCCACCAGGAGTCCCCGGGCATCACCTTGCAGCTATGACGGACACTTCTCTTGGGTACCGTGGATTCGCTCGCAAATGCGAACATGTTAGCGACAGTGTTATTCTGCAAGGCCGCCGACACATCAGAGAGCACGCCTTCGGTCAACTGCACTTTCTCATTGGGGAACAATGAAGGTGCCGAATTAGCCGTGGCAGCCACTGTAGTTGCTGCTTCTGTGAGTGATGTAGTCGACATCGCGCCAGCGAGCGAAGCGCTTGCGATGAGAGTAACTCCCCACATGCCCTTCATCCTGGAGGATATTCACCAAGACAATTTTGAGGAACAAAAAAAAAAGAGACGAACAAGAGCTGATGAGCACTTAAGACAGAATATATGACCAAGCCCTTGCGAACAATGTGGACAAAGGTGGTACTTAAATGTACCCGCCGTCGTAGGCTAGCCACGAAGCCCTAAGCAAAACGTTCCGGCACAACCGAAGACACCACCGAGCTTTAAAAGATTTCGCGACTATTGGTGCTATATTTTAATTAAATTTCCTTGGTATATTTATTTTGGTGCTACGTACGGAGTATAAGCCGACAGAATAAAAAGCTTTATGCACTAATCAACTAGTTGCATGCGTTAGCCAACTAGGCGTGTTAATATATTCTTGGAGAAATAGTCACCATCAAGCTTCCCACAAAACAAATATTATTAAATTTGTCCTCTGCTTCCGGGGGTTTTCCCATTTGATTTTAAGATGATACATTGTACAAGCAAGGTGTTATATACATTGTATCGTCCCATCTGTTTTCAGACACCTGTCCCCGGATCCACTTAAGTGAACGACCTCGGCACATTCCGATATTAGCCCCCAATTTAGTGCCCTGACTCCAACCTAGTCTCATACTGAAACTACGGAGTAGGCTCGACCATATTGAGTGTCAATGACTCCCAACCTCGTACACGCTAGTCTATAGGTCCTCTAGCCGCATATTATGTAAGAAAGACGGCTCATTAACTATTGGAATCACCATTAGTCGAAGTCTTACCCTGGGCTCTTAATAAGACTTACCGGAAGAAAGGGGGCGCCCCAAACGCCACTTTATAGGAGGATGCCATCTAATTTACGCGGGGTGCGAATCGAATCAAACTCCCATCGCAGGGGCCCCAGACCGCGGGATTGATACTTATGTAACCCTGGGCGCTGCCCAGGCGAGTCAGGTTTTCATTGTCAGAACTGCAGGTGACAGGCGTTGTTTATTTGGATAGAAGACGAGTATCCTGGGAGATATGGGCTCGAGTGACAATTTACAGTCGCAGGCCATCGGCCTGATCTTTGGCTTTCCGTGCTTCGCGAGCTTGGCTGTGGCTCTGCGGCTTTACAGCCGCTCGTTGACGAAGTCGTTTGCCGCAGGTCAGTTCAATGTTCCAATTCCTGTTTGCTCACAAGGTTGATGAATCTAATAGAGAATAGATGACTGGGTTATTTGTGCCGCGATAGTGAGTACCGCAGCCATTCCAAGAACGAGCCTAGAGGATTGACAGAGATTGGCAGATCATGTATTGGGCGGAGACATTTACGTCTTATAAAGGTAAGACTAGAACAACAAGAATAGTCTCGTTCGTCTTTGGTTCGTGAAGTTAATCATCCCTTAGTGATCATATACACGTACATCGGATATAACGTCTGGGAGATACCCAAAGACCACCCCGCCATTCTTGGTAACAAATATACCTACGCGGTGGGTAGCACATATTCTTTCTCATCTTGTTCGCGCTTTCTAACGAAATAGACCGAGCTCATCTACAATCCCATTTTAGCCCTTGTCAAGACCTCCATCCTACTATTCCTACTACGTTTAACCGGCCAAAAAAATACAGTGCGCCTGGCCATCTGGGGACTCTTAATTCTCAACGGCATCGCCGCTATCATCACATTTTTCCTCACTGTTTTTCGATGTGTGCCCGTCGCCGCTAATTGGGATCTGGCTTCATATCCCAATGCGACGTGTCTTGACTTTGCAAATTTTGTCACCGGCACGGCCTCGGTCTCTATTCTCACGGACATCCTTGCTTTAATGCTGCCTACCTGGATCGTATATCGCCTACAGATGCAATGGAATCAGAAGTTGATGCTGATTGGCATTCTGTCCTTGGGCCTTTTGTGAGTAGCTCAGCTAAACGTCTTCTTTTCCCCATCAATTTGATACTAATAAATAAAGAACGGTGGTAGCTGGCATTGTTCGCCTCATCCTCCTTGACGATTTCGACCGTCATATGCCGGAGAATTACACACACTCGGTCCTATTTTGTGTGTCCACCATCGAAGTTGGCCTGTCGTTTGTCGCTGCGTGCGCTCCCTCGTTCAAGCCGCTCGTTACTCGGCTCGTTCCGAGGCTCTTCGGCTCCACCCGCACCGGGCCGTATAATGGCTCGACCAACCGCAGCGGTCGGACCCGGCTGGGATACAAACTCGAGGAAACGTCAAATTTCACAAATCGTACACAGGATCAGACTGTCACTACCGTTGAAGCTGGCGATAGCGAGATCAGCCACGGCCCCACGAAATTGAAAGCCGATAATATGATCACCATGACCACAGAAATGGAGGTTACTTGGGTTCAAGCCAATTCCGAGGAGCAGCATACTAGTAGTACAGAGAGTCTTGTCTACGGGGGAGGTAGCAACAGACGTTCTAAATAATTTCAAAAAGAGAGCCACTCTGTTTATTCTAAAGATACATATTTGACCTTCGAAGGACAACCCCCGAAAGAATATAAGCCTAATAGACCTCAGCCCCTTTCCGTGTAAGCCAACTTGAAAGAGGTTAGCTGCGCAGCGCATAAAAATATTCAATAATACTATATAGTACGTAACCATAGAGATGAGCTGGATAATTCCATACAACTTCCATATTTCCTCGCGTTGGTAGCAGCCTTATCTCGGAGTCCTGGTCACATTTTCTTGAAAGTATCCCATTTGGATGGGGATGAGTTCATCAGAACTCCCCAAAGAACGAAGGTCCGGCAGTATCACACCAGTGCGCCATATCGGATTTTCCCATGGTAAATTTTGACCTGGCCCACTGTCGGTTTTCTATGCTATATAAAATTCAAGTACCATAAGAATCGCCGGCTGCTCAAGTCTTTTTAGTAGTCTTAAATAGAGAATTGGTGTGACATGAGTGTATTCAGATGTAGAAAATACTCGTATTAGACAGCATACTATAGGGAAAATCTGTTATGGCGCAGTGGCAGAGACTGCCGTAAACGAAGGAACTGAATCTTGATCTAAATCGTACATAGGTTATTGTTAGCGAGAATTTACTGAAGCTGCTGCAAGATTTCGATTTGATTCTAGGCGCCGGAGACATATTTAGTGAGTAAGGAACCCAAAATAAGTATAACGACTGTAAACTCGACTTTTGCTAATACTTCTTACGCGACTTCACAGGGACTGGGCAGCGTCCCGAGTGCAATAATGCCTACGTATTCAACGTAGAAGTGTTTAGTGTGTATGAATATGCTTTGTAGAAGGTTAGTTTGTACAGTATCTCTAATTGTAGGTATGTGTAGATACCTAGAAATCGACAAGTTGTAGAGTCAACAGATTATATATTATTTTACACCAACTTCATGAAGAAGAGTGTCCACTCCTGGAGTCAGAGCGGATGTCAAACTCGCGAGTACAGTAAATCCGATCGCGAAGAGGCACCTCCGCCCTGTGATCCCGTTGTTCAAACTTTGCGGTGGATTCCTGGATCACGAGGTTTTCAACATCGGTACCTCTTTCGCTACCCTTGCCCCAAATCGGCAGTGGAATATTGTCCACGCGATCTAGATCCTCCATGATCCCACCCGTAGACTGATTTATCGCCTCTTGGCTAGAGTGTCCTGCATTGATGTGCCCAGGGAGTGTGTTACCATTTCCCGTGTTCCGGAAACTGGACCGAGAGAGACGAAATGGTCGGTTTAATGAGAAGGATGAACGAGACTGCGAGCCAGCGGGGTTTGAGTAGGGCTTGCTTTCCTTGTTGTCAGTACCCCGGGATGGCCGTCCAGGGGTGCTGTGGTACTGGAAGGCTCCCATACCGAACAGCTTCCTGAGAAGCGGCCACCAGCACATCATATTGGCGACAAAGACGGCAGTGCTTGCCTCACGTATATACCAGATCTGGTATACGGTGGTCATGGGGGAGGCAAAGTTGAAGTATTTATTCAGGATGGCGGCAACGACCGTGAAAAGACCCAGGCTCATGATGCAGACTATCAGCATCTTCCGGCGCAGTGGAAGCTTAGCCTTGACGATGAGCGGTATCGGAATGGCAAACATAAATGCGTCCGATGAGATGTTGAAAACCGCCTGGGTGATTGAATAGTGTTGGTACGTGGCGCACTGTAAATTCGACACTGGCAACGCCCAATATTGCGAGAAGGGTCTGCAGTACACGGCGTAGTAGGTGATCATTATGACGACGAAACCAAGCGCCACATAAGCGGCGAGAATCTTGACATAGAGGTTCGAGGGCAGGTTCTTGGTGATCCGCCAGTAGAGTATCAACAGGCAGACTTTCACGCCCCAGGTCACAAAGAGCATACACTGTTCCAGCGCAACAACAATTTTGCTTCCAAGGATGCGCTCATGAACTTGTTGGGAGTCGGAGAGTACCTCATCATACTCGCTCGGATCCATCAGATTCGTCGCGTATTTTGCCGAGACTTGAATCAAAATTAATAAGGACGTATATATTATCTATCGGAATCGGATCAGCAGTCAGTTGAGTGTTACAAATCCGACCACAGCAGGGGACTCACAAATGTTGCTGTCATCACATAATCGTCCCCTAAAATATGCGATTGAGCTGGTGAGTTATGGCTAGTCAAGCGGAAGGGAGAAATTCTGCGTACATGATATCCCCTGGATTGATACGTTTGCCATTAACCGGGAGGCTCTGTCCATAAAGTTAGAATCTCCTGCGGCTCTCATCAATGCCCGGGCGCAGATAGTTCACACATACATTCGGCCAATGTAGAGTATCGCTCCAATAGTCCAAAAGACCACGGCTTCTACTAGCAGTTGGTGGGGGGTGGGCGATACGTTCCCCATTGTGGCGGGTAAATCACTGCCTTCCTCGTTGCAACTCTACCTCACAAGGTCGCAGGAGTAATCATTGAGCCTGCCATCGGAGGTTCTGGGAATGTGAGAGTTGAAGATATCATCGACGGTCTTCAGGAATGGAACTAGGCTCGGAATAACCGGAGAATTTTCAGCCAGCCGAAGGATCGATAGATTTTTGCTCCGATCTAAGCTAACCGAAATACTAATTATTGGATGGGGGCCATAATAAAATTTTCATGGAATCCATCTAAGGCTGTGCGCAAAGCTATGCGGACCCCGATCGTTGTAGGAGAAACATTCCCCACACCCCCAACCCCAGCCCCCCGAGGGATCTGACAACGGGGGATTAATGAGGCTATAGGAGAAATGAGATAAGACGGGCTTTGAGGAGAGTGTCCTTGGATCATATAGCTCTTGGGCCAAGCAACATTGTGCAAGCATCCATGGATTTGGTACAGATTGACTAGGCGGGCCGCGGACACCGCTGCCGCAGGCCCCACACTGATCGTCAGAACCAATAGGAGCCCCTAATGCTATCCCGACCCTTGTCCCGATCTGCATTCAAGCTAGAGATCGTGGGGGCCATTTCGCCTCGTGGCTAATGCACGCCGTTTTATTTCTGCATAGTCTAATCATAGAAGAATTTAGCAAGGTAAGTCAAACGACTTACTTCCTCGCTTGTCCCCCCCTAGGGGTTCTGGGCCATCGTACGAATATTATTCCCTAGAACCGAATCCTAAGCCCGCTCGTCGCCCCTAAACGCTAATAAATGGGCCATTACAGTGGAGTTTCATTTATCTTAGATTGGGCTGTGGCCTGTTAATTCCAACCAGTTCGAGACCATGCCCCAGCTAGAATAGGGGTGAAGATTTCAAAGGGTTGGGATTGCATTGCACCCTCACGATCACCGCACTGTACCCACCGGCCCTCGACGAATGGGGAAGCTTTTGCACCAAATTTCTGGGAGACTAGCGGTAGCGGGGCACTATATCTTCCTATTTTTCTCGTCTCTCTCTCATTTTCTATCTCACTCCGTACCTAGCTCGCACCTGTCATCCTTGTTGACCCCATTCGATATTATTTGACAGATGACACTATGGTGGTCGCTGAGAAGCAAACTGCCGAGGTCGGCGAGACTAAGCTGAGGAACAGCACGGAGATAGACACGGTACGCCAGGAGGCTGCTCTGGGCCACAAACAGGAACTGAAGCGAAATTTCGGGCTCTGGAGTGTGACAAGCTTGGGAATTGTGATTGCAAAGTCAGTGGTTTGAACCTTTCCCGTCCATGGCCTCGACTAACATGAATGCGTATTAGTTCCTGGGCCGCAACTGGTGGCACAATTGTGACTGCACTCATGAATGGAGGCCCGATGGCTCTTCTCTATGGCTTGATCCTCGTCAGCATCTTCTATACCGCAATTTCGGCCTCATTGGCCGAATTGGCGTCCTCCATGCCCTCCGCAGGTGGAGTATATTACTGGTCCACGGTGCTAAGTGGGAAGCATGGCCGCGCCGCCGGCTTCTTCACGGGCTATCTCAATGCCTGCGCCTGGCTCCTGTCGGCCTCGTCAATGAGTTCCATGTTAGGCAATGAAGCGGTGGCCATGTATTTACTTCGGCATTCTGACGTCACCTGGCATTCATGGCAGGTGTTTATTGTGTTCCAACTTGTCAATTGGACCTGCTGCGCAATCGTATGTCTAGGGAACCGGTTTATACCTATGATTAATCGAGTCGCACTAATCCTATCCATGACCGGACTTTTTGCAACCGTGGTGGTCCTCGCGGCGATGCCAAAGACACATGCGAGCTCTTCGCAAGTGTGGACGCAATACTATAATATGACTGGTGGCTGGTCTGATGGGGTGTGCTTTATTACTGGCCTGCTTAATGCTGCCTTCGCCGTGGGAGTTCCTGATTGTATCAGTCATTTATCTGAAGAGGGTATGTTAAATGTGTTAAATTCAGCACATCTCCTAAGTGGCAAGTGAAAATCAATAGATTCTAACTAGCGATGTTATTTTAGTTCCTAAGCCACAGGTCAAGGTCCCCCAGGGCATCATGATACAGATGTTGACGGCCTTTGCTACCTCCTTTGTTTATCTGATCGCCCTTTTCTATTCAATCCAGGATATCGATGCAGTTTTCAACACCAGCGTGGGTTACTTTCCTACTGCTGAAATTTACCGACAAGCTACGGGATCCACTACCGGTGCTATCGGACTCATTGCGGTGCTCTTTCTGGCTACCTTCCCAACCCTGATCGGCACGTTCGTGACAGGAGGACGCATGTGGTGGAGCTTAGCGCGGGACAACGCAACGCCTTTCTCGAGCTATTTTGCCCAGGTGCATCCTACATTAAACGCTCCCGTCCGTGCCACCGTCGCCATGAGTGCACTCGTTACCTGTATCGGCTGTATTTACGTCGGCAGCACAACGGCATTCCAGGCCCTCATCTCATCCTTTATCGTGCTAAGCACTCTATCCTACTTCGGGGCTATCCTCCCCCATGTGTTGACTGGCCGCCGGAACATAGTCCCCGGGCCCTTCCATATGGGCAAGACCCTAGGAATGGTGGTGAATATCGTCTCGTTGGTCTATATCATAGTCACTGTGGTATTTTTCTGCTTCCCATTCGTAATGCCTGCCACCGTTGGAAGCATGAATTACACGAGTGTCATCACTGTCGGTTTGATGGCATTGACAGCATTGTGGTGGTTTGCCCGCGGGAGGACCGAGTACCGAGGCCCACACTACAGCTTCGATGTTGCCATGCAATTGACGTCTGTTCAAGGAGGTAAGGATATTAGCAGTCCTGTGATTGCGCCTATGGAGAAGTCTACGGCAGCTGCCATTGATGAGCGTGGGCAGGCGGAATGAATGCTCTTCCTGCGATGAGCATGAGAAAAGTGGGCGATTACGGGTAGACAGTGACCAGACAGTGGTATGTGAGATATGTACCAGGACCGAGACTTTTTGTTTGGTGGGTCCTCAATATTTGAAGTACCTGCTTCAATTTGTACACGAAGACATGTATATAAAGCCTTGAAGCTTCAAGACGAAGGGTGCGCAACAAACACTACAAAATATAACATAACATAATTTATACTTGGGAAGAATTGATATTTTCTTCTATAGAATGCTGCACAAAGAATTGTGTTCATTTATAAGAGAAAGAGAGGACGACCTATCTGACTATCTAGGTCCCGACCACACGCCGTCCAACAATCCCATTCCTACTGAATTTCCTCAGAAGGGATAGTTTCATCGGGGTTTTTGGATCCTAAGAAGGACATGACAAGGATAGCGAGGATAAGATATAGAAGACCTTCCAGGATTAGCGATGTGAGACAGGGAAGACATTGAAATACTTACTCCATGTCCAACTCATATAGTCGTAGCCAACCATTTCCTTCAGATAGCCGCCAATAATCGGGCCAATTGTCATGCCAAGGGAAGCAGCAACCTCCATCATAGAAAATACACGGGACAAGCCGCCTTTGGGTCCAAAGATGCCTGGATTCTTTTCTTGGTGGGATTTGACCGCAACTGCAATAGGGAATCAATATAGCTATAGTCATCACAGAGAAGCAGCACTTACCAGTCAACTCGGTTGGTCCTATGCCTGTCATAAATGGTCTCGTTGCACCAATAGCCATAATAGAAGCTACATAGATTGTTTCCCCCCAATTTTGAGCGTTAGCCCAGGAGAAACGGTTGCTCCCGGCAATACCCAGTAGGCCTTGTAGTACGGCCTGAAGTATTAGAGCAACCACAGCAGGAGGTCGTATTCCGACACGATCGCGAATCCAGCCAGCGAGGGGTCCGAGAAGGAGGCCCGGGGCAATAAGACAGGAGAATAAGAACCCAGTCTTTCCTGGGCCCCATCCAAAAGTCTCTCGTACGTGCAGTGGAAGCGTCGCATGAAAACTTGTACCCACAGTTGTGCCAGAGATAATGACAAGTAGAACTGTCAATACACGGGCATCACATAACATAATACGCCAAAAGTTGGCCGCAATGCTTGGAATTTGAGAATCTTGGCGTGGGGAAAGCAGACTTGTTGTCTCTGAGGTCTCCAATGTCTCTTCCACATCTGCCTCCAATTGAGATGAGGGTTTAGACTGAGAGGGGGAATCCTTGGGGGTGTTCTCAATTGGCGGGCTCTCAAGCATCACTAGACGTGCAATAAGGTCGACAGTCAGAATCAGAAGTGGTGTCAACCATGTTACCCAGTATCCTGTAGCCTCTAAGAGCAAGCCGGAGACAGCAGGTCCGCCGATCATTCCCAAATTAACAATTGACATCGTTAAGCCCATCACGGTCCCGATATTCGCCTCATCCACAGTATCTGCAATGGTTGCAAATCCGACAATCCACACTGCAGAGGCTGCAATGCCCTGCATCACACGGCCTATAAAGAGTATAGGGACCGAAGGAGCGCCAGCAATCATCACGGTCCCTATAATACATGCGAGGAGAGATAGTAGCAATGGGGCCTTGCGATTCGGGCTCTTATCAGCAAAATGGCCGATGATAGGGCCCGAGATGACGGAGACAGCGCCATGAAGGGCGAGGACAGCAGAAGTAAACTTTTGGGTCTCAGAGGGATCAATATGTAGGCGACTCTGGAACATGTAACCTAGGATGGGAACGAGGAACCCGTAAAGGAAGGTCTCTAAATGGTATTAGCGAGGAGATTCAAGTGCAAAAATGTGGGTAGACGAACCAGCAAACAAGGCGATCGTGATAGTTGAGAGGATGAACCATTTGGAAGAGCGCCATTTGTAGCCTATTGGTGTAGGCTCTGAATAGAAGTCATTCATATTGGTATAAATTGGCTCAATGTAAGAGGGTAATAATCTTGAAACTGGCTGGAGTTTTCAAGCGATGCTGGCTCTTGTGGCTCAAGATGCACTTCGTCTGGAAGAATCCTCTGGGGGATCGACCTTTGCGTGAAATTCGATTAGAATTCCGATCTGAATTTTCGATATGTATTATATGTATTGTACTCGGTATGCTTCAATCCCTCAATCCCCCCACTCATATGCCGTCTGCGGGTCTGGGCTGAATGATTCATGTGGGGGCATCAGCCGAAGAGGAAAAGGACGAAAAGGAGGAAAAGGAGGAAAAACACTTGGCTTGTATGTACTCTGTACGAAGTAAATATGTATGTATCCAATGTAATAGACTAGTTCTGCTGAGAAAAGTGGATAGACCCCAGAGCTGTCAAAGATTCCCGAGCTCCCGACGAGCATAGCTCGTGGGACACTTTGATTCGATGATTGGGGAATCCATTTTAGTCCCGCATTAGTGGCAAATATCGGACTTGATCGGCGAACAGGTTCATCTAAACCTGTTTTGACAGCCCGTCCGAATCGAAGAAAGAGTTTAAGCCTAAAAAACCCTAAAGGGGTTTGATCGGCGTTGAGTGGAACCAACTGAAGACTATAACCTTCTACGTACTCCGTATGTCTCAATCTTAGTCTGCATTAGCGCTGTGTGGGGCGTATTCGGACACAGATCGAATAGATCGCGAGATGCTATGGAAAGTTAGCCCGGTGACAAGTCCACGGGTGGAGCCTAAAGGTGAAAATTATTTTCCTTACACTAGGTAGTAGGTATTCTAGGAATGCTTTGTTATAGCTCCCGGAACTCTTTTACGGGACATACATAGGGTACAGAGCTGTCCTGTCCCCAGACATTGGTCATTTATACTACAAATTATCCTGTAATGGCCAGGGTCTCAAAAGAAAGGCTTGTAGTGAAAGGAAAGTGTTATACTATGAAGCTCTATCAGTAGCCAAAAAAAAAGGGCCTAACATCAAGCCTAGAAAATATTTTCAAAAAAGACATCTAAACAGAATATCTAAACAGAATAACAACCAACCATCCAAAAATCAAAGTATTATCATATTAGCTCGCAGAAGTAGATGAAAGTGCCTCCATACAGGTTTTGCGACAATATCATCTCCCATCCCGACAAAGGCTGCCAAGAGGAAGCTCATGATGTAGCCAGACATTTGGCTCCAAGTAGACACAACGTTGTTCAGCAACGTAATACCGCAGGGGAACGAGTCCCTTCGGAAAGGCAACTTCTAAGTACATCTTGTCGGAGCTGGCTTCCTGTTTCAGAGGGGTATCTTTGCGCCCAATCAGCCGGCTAAAATCGACACCAGTCCACTGCTGCCACTCCTCGACACTGCCCTCCACGTACATACTCCGCGGAGCCACTTTTACCACCCTAGCTCCCAGCCTAATATGTTTCCGCAGCCAGGGATCGAAAGGGAGGTTTGGGTCCGTCTTCCTCAAAGTCTTGGAAATCCCCTGATTCGGGACCGCCGTCGCTGGCCATGATAGATAATCCGCCATTTTAGTCATCGGGAAGTCGGATTTTCGTGTTGGCCGAAGGGGCACCACCAGCGTGTCAAAACCTTGATCCATTGCTGTTTGTTTCATAGCCATAATCAATATATCGGCTAATCCCCGAGAACGGTGTTCTGGAGACACCGTGATTGAGATAGCGGATAGGGCATTGGGTGACTCTGTTCTCGTCATGGCGGGATCGGATAAAGGCCTGAGTCCAGTCGAATCTTGGACAATACCTTCTCGCGCGAGCTGCTGCTCAACGGCCCGAGAGAGAATCCCATCATAGCCTTCGTCTGGGAGAGTATGTAATACTTCGGGATGTTGACGGAGCCCCTTTTTGCCTCCGATTCTGTCCAGGTCAGGCCAGTAAAATGGGACAGAACGTCCACAAGCAATGATATGTTCCCCTCCGCAGATATCGACTTCGACAATGGCAAACTGCATGGGAGAAAAGGCTTCGAATTTGTCGAGTTGGGTGCAGTAATGTTGAAAATATTCGTCTTGGTCGATAAACATTGGCCAAGCGGCATTCAATGGATGTGTGGGAAGTTTGAGGATTTCCCAGAGATCAGGCCTGCTTTGAGCAGTATGGAGGCGATAGTTTTCCATGGTCGTACTGGAATTTGGGAGTCGATCAAAGAGAAAAGGAAGTTATTCTGCGAAGGGAAATGCGTTTGGAATATAGTTGCGATATAATTTTCGCCTAGCCCCCTTTGCAATTATGTAGTAGGCTAGGGCAGCGTGAGAAAAGCTGTGAAGCTATAAAGTAGAAAAATACCAAAGCAAATAAGGTGCCGAAACCTGTTACGTACATGCATACACATTTGTCTTTTCTCTTTTCTCTTTCCACTTTAGCTTCAGCCATGGACACCCATATTCAGCCGTGCCCATGCCCAATTAAGAGAAGCTTCAGCTGAAGCCACTGACCCTCGTGTCCTCCAGCCGTGTCCACTCCCGAAGTAAGAGACCATGTCCAAGTTTCGTGTAATCTTATACAGTACACATCAGACTGTCGAATTACTACTCGGTCTTCTTTGAGACCTTTGTGAGAGCTATCCATTTCCGAAGAAGTAGTGGGTTGCTAGGAGAGGTCTGCAGACAGGGAGACATTGCAGCATATGGTACAATATGAGTTGAAGAATCGAGAAAACCGAAAGGCTCTAGCTTGTGGAAACAGAGATATTATACAATACGGAGTATTTGTCAGTCTTGAGTAGAGGATGTAGATCCGATCTGTCCGATCAAGGAACGAGTCCCAGTTGGGATAAAGATCGTCGAATACGTGAAGTACGGATCCACCCGTATAATGAACCTATTTCAGTGGGGCCCGAAGGTATCGTGAAGAATATCTTTCGGCAGGATACTCGTACTGCGTAGCAGCGTCGACCCTCAACAAATGGAATTTCCCCTTTAACCGTCTCTCCTCTTCCAACACAAAAGACATATATTTCCTCCCTTCCAAGCCAACTTTTCAAATATCCCACCATGACACTAAGTACGATGTCAACAAAAATTGGAAGTGAGGAGGTTCTTCATCCAACTCCAGATCATCTCAATCAGACTACCCAAAATGGCATCTTGGCCCACCAGGAACCTATCATTCCCTCCTTTTCTCTGCTCGCTGGAAGCGATGGCTCAAAACATATTCTGCCAACAGTCGCCAAACTATGCGGCACCGTCGCAGATGATATCGAGGATGCTTACCCTTGTACGGTAGTGCAGGAAGCCCTGGTAGCATTATCTGTCAAAACTCCACGCATGTATGTGGCGCGGTACGTGTATCGTTTAAAGAACGGTATCCCCTTTGAGCAGTTCCGCACTGCGTGGGATGCCACCGTCAAAGCTCATACAATCATGCGTACGAGAGTCGTGCAGCTCGGCTCAAGGGGCGTGGTGCAAGTTGTCTGTCGCCAGGGAATCGAGTGTCAGAAGAGCGATAATCTCCAAGAATATCTCGCAGAGGACTGCCAGAAGGAGATGCCACTGGGAGCACCGCTAGCACGAGCAGGTTTCATTCAGGATTTGGACCCAGAAAGTCCTGCTCATCTTGTCATCACACTGCACCATGCCTTGTATGACGACTGGTCGTTGGCCTTGATCCTGAAACATATCGAGGCGGCGTACGCTGAACAACGAGTGCCAGATCAGCATTTTTCCCGGTTCACTGAATACTGTCTGAAGGCGTCCAACGAGGAGTCAGAGAAGTTCTGGTCCAATGAGCTCACACGCATGAGTCCGACCTCGTTCCCGGCTGTGCCAGCCGAGTCCTACACGCCAGCAGCGACCAAGTCATTCATCCTTGAAACAAAATTGGCTCAATCTATGGATTTCGACAGTTTATCCACGACAGTGAAGATGGCTTGGGCAATCCTCATTTCGCGTCATACAGCATCCGAAGAAGTTGTATTCGGTGTCACTGACACTGGAAGACGCGCTACAATGCCAGCAGTTGATCTGATGAGTGGACCAACGATCGCCACGTTCCCCTTCCAGGTTTTGGTGCAAGGCGACCAATCAATTGGCGAGACTTGGAGGCAACTGCACCATCGTCGGGCAGAGATGGTCCAGCATGAGCAGTTCGGCCTCAACCAGATGCGCATATTGTCCTCAGACGCTGCGGCTTTGTGCAAATTCCAGAGTCTTATTGTCTTGCAGCCGAAGAGACGTGATGACTATTCGCTGTTTAGCGAGGTCACTCAAACACAGGATCTTGAAAACCATGCCACATTCGGAACATACCCCATTACACTGGTTGTCGAACCTGACGGGAACACAATCAGCGTGCAGGCTGTGTACGATCATCACATTGTCCCCGAGGTCCAGATGAAAAGAATACTTCAACAGCACTCGCATATCATGAAGTGGATCAGCCGTGCAGAGAATTCATGCGTGGATGATATTGAGGGCTTATGCCCAGAGGATCAGATGGATTTGAAGACATGGAATAGTCTCAGAACTCCTGAAAATGTCCAATCTTGCGTTCACGATTTGATCTCAGAAATGTCCCGATCTCAACCACAAGTCACAGCTGTCTGTGCTTGGAATGGAGAGCTCTCATACGAAAGACTCGAAACCCTTTCGAGTGGATTTGCCGTGCAGTTGTTGGAGGAAGGTCTCATTAGACCAGACACGGTTGTTCCGCTCTATTTCGAGAAATCCAAATGGACTGCCGTGGCCATTCTGGGTGTCATCAAAGCAGGTGGTGCATTTGCCTTGTTGGATCCCGCCATTCCATTGAAACGATTACAGATGATCTGTGAGGATACTAGAGCACCGTTCGTGGTTTGCCCTCCAGAATTGGCATCGAATGCAAAGGACCTCACAGGGAGCGTCATCGTGATAGACACCGATGATAGCCACGACAGTGGACTTGCGGTGCGTGCTCTCAAGTATCACGGATCCGAGGTCAGTCCATCGAATATTCTCTATGTCGTTTATACTTCTGGGTCCACGGGACAGCCAAAGGGAGTGGTAATCGAACATGGAGCATTCTGTTCAAGTGCGTTGGCCTACATCAAGGTTGCCGAAATGGATAGGGAAACAAGAGCTTTACAGTTTGCCTCGTACTCATTTGATGTGAGCGTGACAGATCATCTGGCAACCTTGCTTGCCGGTGGCACCATCTGCATTCCTTCCCCTGATGATCGGATGAACGACATCATCAGTGTCGTTAGTAGATTCAACATCAACTATGCAGACTTTACGCCATCCTTCCTTCGTTCACTGCGCCCTGAAGATATGCCAAGTCTGAGAGCTATTGCTGTTGGCGGAGAGGCACTGTCCCGAGCAGTGATCGACATCTGGGGAAGCCACGTTCGGCTGATCAATATCTACGGACCAGCCGAGTGCTGTGTGCTTACCACCATTCAGTCTCAAGTTACCTTGGATTCCGATCCACTCAACATTGGATTTGGTACAGGAGCCGTATGCTGGGTAGCCGATAGCAAAAATCACAATCGGCTAGTACCCATCGGTGCCATCGGCGAGCTTTTAGTCGGAGGACCCATCGTGGGGCGTGGATATTTGAATGATCCCCAAAAGACGGCAGCTGCTTTTGTTGATACTCCCGATTTTCTCCATAAAATGCCAGCCTCATCACCCCACAATCGAGTCTACAAGACAGGTGATCTCGTACAATATGCGCCCGATGGGTCTATACGCTTCCTGGGTCGAAAGGATATGCAAGTCAAGCTTCGGGGTCAGAGAATCGAGCTTGGGGAAATCGAACATTGTTTGAATCAATGCTTAGAAGTTGCTGGTTTGGTGGTGGATGTGATCAAGCCCAGAAACAACAGTGAATTGTTGGTTGCCTTCATTTTGCGAGGCCAAGTGGAGAAAAGAGATCCAACCAAGCTTCTGCGTGACCCCGAAGATGACTTCCGGTCCAGCATTATCCAGGCAGAGGCACACCTACGAAGCCAACTTCCGGGTTACATGGTCCCCAATCTGTTTTTCCAGCTCGAGACAATGCCTACCACTGCATCAGGGAAAATAGACCGAAAAAGACTGAGAGAGCATACCTCATCGCTTCCTCTTGAAGATCTACAGAGATACGCAGCCGCAAAACAGGATAAAAGATATCCTTCGACTCCGCAGGAGAAGGTTCTCCATAGCTTGGTGACCCATCTCCTTGGGCTGAAACCTGAGGCGGCCGGTATGGATGATACCATGTTCAGCTTGGGAGGAGACTCAATCACCGCTATGCGGCTTGCTGGTTTAGCCTTGGAGAAGGGCAAGAGGCTGACTGTTGCTGATATATTTGCACACCCAAAACTTTGTGATATGGCGTTGGTGATGGAAGACTCCGATCTGGATTCTGCCCACAAACAATACGGGTCGTTCTCCCTCATCCAAACTCCCAACGCCGAGCAAAATGACTGTGATTACATCAAACGCGAGGCAATGAATCAATGCAATGTCACAAGTGACTCCATTGAAGACGTATATCCCTGTACAGCTTTACAGGAAGGTATGATGTTTCTTTCCATCGCCAACCCTGGTACCTACCAATGTCGCTATCTCTACACAATTCCGCCCGAGATGACAGAAGAACAACTTCAGCAGGCTTGGAGACAGACCACGGAAGCAAACACCATCCTCCGTACCCGCCTCTTCCAAGCCGGTTCTAGTTTGTATCAGGCAGTCATTAAAGACGACAATGTGGTATGGGACAGCCCAGATAATCTGGACGATTATATCGTCACTGACATGCAACGGCATGTGGATGTTGGCGGACAGCTTGTCCGAATGGCTATTGCCCCGGCCACACCCGATCGACTTCGAGTTTGGGTTTTGTCATTGCACCACTCCCTGTGTGACGGGTGGACAGTTCGACAACTTCTGGAGCAGACAGCGGCGGCGTACAGAGGACAGACTTTGGGAGTTCGTCCTTTCAGCTCATTTGTCGAATACGTCGTGGGAAAAGAGGGCGACGAAGCAAAGGCTTTCTGGCAGACCGAGCTCGAAAACCTCGACCCGCGAGCTGCAGCCTTCCCATCAGTTCCTTCGTCCCAATACTCCCCTACGGCAGGGGCTCCGTTGACATACCCTGTCATGGGCCTGTCAAATAAACGCACCGGCCATACTTTGACAACAGTCATTCGTCTAGCTATCGCCAGTGTGATTTCGCGATTTACCGGGTCCTCTGATGTCGTCGTTGGTGTCACAACATCAGGACGTAGTGCTTCTCTTTCTGGTATTCTCTCCGTCACCGGTCCGACTTTATCTTCCTATCCTATGCGTATCCAACTAAACCCGTTGCAAAGCATTGAAGCGGTGTTGTCACAAATTCAATCAACGTCTATCCGAGTGCTCGATTTCGAACATTTCGGTCTTCAGAATATCCGCAAAGTCAGCCCGGAAGCCACTCGCGCCTGTCAGTTCCAGACCTACTTGAATATTTGGCCACTCGACGAATCTGAAGCTCCAGACCCGTTCGTCCAACTGGATGATGCTGCTGGCCGTACAGAGTTTGGTGGCTTTGCCCTTGCTATGAGTTGCATGTTGGAGTCCCAGAACAGTGGCTTTACCGTGGTGGCAAACTATGACCCCGAAATTATCTCAGAAGATCAGTTGACATCACTTCTCTCCCTCGTCGAGCAAGCAGTTCGTCAGATCTGGTCAGATGATTCCATTGCCCTCGGTCAAATCCAGGCAGAAGATTCGGAGACTGGGATCAAGGAGCCACTACTCATAAGTTCCCAGCCATCTGATGAGATGGCCTGGCAAAAGCCAAACGTTGATCCAGCCACACCAGTTGCTAAGCGGCTTCCATCGACTCCGGTCGAGATACAGATGCACAAACTCTGGGCCCAGGTCTTGAACCTCAATTCAGACCAAATTGGCATGGACGACAGCTTCTTCCAACTTGGTGGGGATTCCATCGGTGCAATGAGACTAGTATCTTGTGCTCGAACAGATGGTCTCTCTTTGACAGTCGCCAACATTTTCAAAAACCCCGTGCTGGCCTCCTTGGCGCTATCTAGCCAACCGTACACAGGGGTAACATCTTCAATCGTTCCTCGTTCGGATGACTTGAGGCATCACTTAGAGACGAAAGCAATTTTGCAGGAACTGTATCTCAAGAAAGCCCCATTCAACCAAGATGATGTCGTGGATATTGCTCCCACAACTGAGGTCCAAGCAGACCTAGCAGGAAGACCTCATGTATATTGGCTCCTGGAGATCAAGGGCACGCTGGATACTACACAGTTGAATCATGCTTGTGCCACGTGGAGCCAAAAACACAGTATCCTCCGCACGGCCTTCCTTGATCACCGGAAGCAGCTGGTTCAGGTCGTTTTGCGAGAACATAATCCGAGTCTGGTCCCAAATATCACCGAAAAGAATCCCATGGATGTTGCGATAGCCTGGTCGAAGGAAGACTCTTCAACAACTCCGATCCTTGGCATTCCCTCACTTTCATTAGCGCTAGTGCAGCAGGATCCATCAAATTCCGTATTAGTGGTGAGACTCTCCCACGCACAGTACGATGGCTTATGCATACAAAGGCTGCTGGAAGATCTTCTCGACCTATACCATGGCAAGGAGGTCGCAGCGTCGGCGGACTTCGCAAAGTATGTGCACCACTGTCGCGACCATGAGTCTGAGGCGTTTGGGTTCTGGAAAAGCCTCCTCATGGGCGCCGAGATGACGCCGCCCATGCTCCCTAAGGAACTGTCTGTCACCTGCGAGCCATCTATCATTGAATCTGTACAGCAGGTGCCTCTCATGACCTTGCCGCCTGGGATTACAATGGCAACAGTTGTGAAGGCAGCATGGGCTATGGTGCAGTTCCAGTTCCATCAGACCAATGATGTCGTGTTCGGTCAACTAGTCGTGAGCCGGAACACGGGTGTCGAGGAGTTGGATCAAGTGGTCGGACCCTGTATCAACCGCATTCCTGTGCGCGTCCAGAGGGTCGCAGGGGAGTCACCCCTTCGATTCCTGCAGCGAATCCAGCAGCAACACGCAGACTCGTTGCAATTTGACACTCCAGGTCTCAAGGCCATAGTCAAGGGCTGTACCGATGGGTGGTCCCCAGATACTATGTTTGGGTCGTTCATTAATCACATACCCAAGGACTCCGCCGATGATGAGTTCGAATCTGGAGGCTTGACTTGCAGACTAGACGCCTGGACCAAAAACGCACCTCCTCCAAACATCCGGTTGACCTCGACCGAGGGAGAAATGTTGAAGATCAGGATCAACGCTTCCAGTGAGATCTCAACCAAGGCCCATCTGGATGAGCTCAACGCTAGGGTTTGTAAAATGATATTGGAATTGTTGCATGATGTGTATACTCCCTTTGCCGGCATCTGATCTGTAAATTATTTTTTTTGCTTAGTTTCCATCGTTTATTCTTTGTGTATGTGGCATTCGTTGATTTCTGCCCCATTTTGCATAGAATATCTATATTTGAAATTTGATTTGTTGTTCAGTAAGCTCTTTTTGACTTGGTGTTGTATGTAGGACATGAAGGAATATGATGTGTAGGGAAGGAAGTACGTGATGAGCTGTTTACAATTGACCTCGGGAGGAAGGAGTGTCGAATGACGTAAGGTAAAATCCACAAATTATGCCTGAGGCATAAGTTATATGCAAACCTTGCAAAGTTATCAGGGGACATTTTTTCAAGGTCACGTGTACCCCATCTGGAATTTCTTGAGCCATTGATCCTCCACCTTATCTCGTGTCACCGCTGGGTTTATTGCCATTTACAAATCCTCGACCTTTACCACTCTCGCGCCTTTCACACCTGATCTCGTCCCGGTGACCCGCCTTTTCCTCCCGACTCTCCCCCCGTCCACCTCATTCACACATCATGGATCACACGCGCGATCCTTGTCCTTGGGTTGCCCTGAGCGACTTTGGCGGTGCCTTCGCCATGGGTGCTATTGGTGGCGCTGTCTGGCACGGTGTTAAGGGGTTCCGCAACAGTCCTTACGGCGAGCGCCGGATAGGCGCGCTCACAGCAATCAAGGCGCGCGCCCCCGTTCTCGGCGGTAACTTCGGCTGCTGGGGAGGTCTTTTCAGTATCTACGACTGTTCAATTAAGGGTATCCGCAAGAAGGAAGATCCCTATAACGCTATCATTGCTGGTTTCTTTACCGGTGGCTCCCTTGCTATCCGTGGTGGTTATAAGGCCGCCCGCAACTCCGCTATTATGTGTGCCGTCTTCCTCGCTGTCATCGAGGGTGTCGGTATTGGTTTCCAGCGCATGATGGCCGATAACACAAAGCTCGAGGTACGTCGAATTTGTCACCTTCGAGTTGATCCATATGCAATTAGATGTGTTTGCTAACCATGAACATTATTAGCTTCCTCCCCTTCCTCCGTCGGAGCAGAAGGCCCACGCTTGAATACCCTCCTTTCGGTCCATATCCTCCTTCAATCGCCGTCAAACTATCCTCCCTTCTATCTCTGTCTTCATATAACAACATCTTCACATCAAGTCTCTCTTCTCAGGCGTTCGGTTGATGTCATTATTCCTAAACATAGCACAGAGGCTCCCGTTTTGTTTCTACTTCCCTCCCCTCGCTTTTAATACCGCCTCCCACGGCCTGTGTCGAAGCATTGTACATTAAAGACGGCGAATTCATCCTCATGGCTGGTTCTAAGACCGGTGTATGTCTTTTCATGGCCGCATGGCTTAACCACAAAATTATGATGACATTTTTTTTCTTCTTCCTTTATACCTTATGAAATAGACATCGAAAAGCGCATATAAAATGGAACCCTGCTAATAATTCGTGGACTGAATAGTCTATCCTTACCCCCCCTCTCGAGAAGCTCTCAAACACTACCATGTAGATCGAGACGCCAACTGTATATGGCCTATGGACCCACTTATAGTATGTGCGATTGTACTCCCAGGCTGAGGTCGCGAGGCTCTTCACTGGCTTGTCGAAGCCGTTCCCTTACAGTAATTCAATATTACAATCGAATTTGAGATACACAATGCTATGACCAGCGACCCAGCACGCACTAGCGCGTACCGGAAATCCACCTGACACCGGCCTTTCTCAACGGCACGTCCGCCTTGATCTTAGAAAAAGGCCTCATGACGCAATGTGAATGGTATAGCTATTCCCTTCTATATTTTACTGAAGACTTACGTCCAGCTCTAGCTGATACCCGAGGGAAAATTATGGGCGTATCACAATAAAGAATGATTGGTCTAAGGAGAAGATAATGGCGAAGCAAAAGCCAGGCTACAAGAGTACGCAATAGAGGAAGAAAGGATAGGAACACGACTCTGGTTTCTTTCGCTTGGAAATGAGTGTGGTGAAGTAAAGATGGGAGTTGCTCAGTATCTCCCCGACACATTACCTCCGGTCTACAACACTGAACATATCCCAGCTGCTATCTCTTAGATATTGGAAGTCTTTGATATCCTGAAATAGTGCCTAGTCAGCCTTGCTTATATAAAAAGCCACTAGTTCCCCGGCCCCGGGGGCCAAGGACCAAGGTTGCTCCTGGGCAGCCCCACAGCTACCCGAACCCAAGGACCTTACTATCACGACTATCACAACTTTGGAACAACATCTTTTCTCCATGGAGCCCGTCAGCTTTGCTGTCGGAATTATAGGACTCGCGGGTCTCTTTAGTACTTGTTTGGAGGCCGTTGCAAGATTCGATTCATGGAAAGAGTACGATTCCGAGTTTGGTTCTCTTGTTGCCCAATTTAAAGCCCAAAAGCTTCGACTGATAAGGTGGGGTCTGGCCGTGGGCCTGGAAGACGACGAAATATCATATGAGCACAACCCTCTTCTTGATGATCCAAAGATTGAGTCAACAATTAAAGATCTCCTCTCGGCAATCAATGCTGTTTGCCGTGATGAAGATAAAGCGTTCTTGACGCCAATGCTAGGGAAAGATGAAAACCCCACCAAAGACCAACTAACTCCTCGCCATGCTCCCCGTGAATCCAAACGCCAGAGACTTGGCTGGGTGCTGAGAACCAAAGCTAAGCGAGTCGCCCAAGTTGACCATTTCTCCAAATTGGTAGAAACTCTTCATGACTTGATACCAATCGAGGACCCAAAGGGGCACAAGGGCAGAAAGCCCACCGGTGGTAGGTGATCATGCACCACTATGTAGAATATTTGAAAAGCTCATCAACTTTCCTTTTCTAGACAAAGTGTCGGAGGCAGATGCATGGCAAACCGAGCTCAAAAATATCTTGAAGAGCATAGAGACTCAGATCGAAGGTCATACCTACCCCATTATCCACTCATAGTCTTTAGCTTATGGTTCATGATTTCAGATGAGTATAAAAGAGATCTACATGCATGGCTGCTCGGCTCTGCCTCTACGAATGATCTGTATGAGATATTTTCTGAAAGGAAAATTGTAGGCACTTGCGAGTGGGTTTTGGACCAGCCCTGGTTCCTCAACTGGACCTCGCCAGACTTCCCAACGGGGCGTGCGAAGGTCCTCTGGATCAATGGCCCTGCGGGGTTTGGGAAGTCAGTCATATGTGCAAGAGTCATTGACTACCTTTCTTCCAATTCGAAGGATCCCATTGCTCATTTCTTCTTCTCGGCCGACTTTGAAAGCAGAAGGGACCCATTTGTTGCTATTAGATCATGGTTATCCCAGATGATTCGTCACCCTGTCTTTTTTCTTTAGCCCGCGACAGATTGACAACTCAACAAGGACACAAAGCAACCCGTGGCGATACGCTAAGACTTCTACGTGACCTTGTCATGGGGATACCACGGTGTACATTTGTTCTGGACGGTCTCGATGAATGTAGATGGGCTGGACAGGACCAAACCCCCAACGATGGGGCCTCGATCGTTGACTTTCTGGAGGCATTGAGACAATCAGTTGCTGGTACATCTACTCGCATTTTGATTGTTAGCCGTGATGAGCCAGAGATCCGGGCTTGTCTGTTTAACGAGGCTTCTATCAATGATGCCAGTGTGATCCAGCACAGCATCTCACCCGAGGACGTCCGGCCCGATCTTGAGATATTTTCTCGAAGAATAGTGAACAAAAAGCTACCAACAAAAACAGAGGCAATAAAAGGGGATATTACCCAAAAATTGGCCGAACGCTGTAACGGACAGTTCCTCTGGGTCCAGATGCAGGAGAGTCAGCTGCGCGACGGGAAAAGTCAAAAACAGCTTGAGAAAACAATCAATTCCACTCCGCCTGGTCTTGAAAAATCATACGACCGAGAATGGATGGGAATCTCGCATCTACCGGAGTATGAGCGAGAACGAGCTATCTCCCTACTACGGTGGGCCGCGTTTGCCCTTCGACCTCTTTCAGTCTGTGAACTGACCGGGGCTCTCTTGGTCAGCGCAGATTGTGATGAGGTCAGATTTGATGGGGTCCCGGACAGCATCAACGAGGGTTATATCAAAACAGAAATAATGGAACTTTGTGGGTCATTGATTGACATTCGAAGTCCCCAGGCAGAATGTGATCTTGGGTCGAGAACGGTGCATTTGGCGCATTTCTCTGTCAAGGAATACTTGCTATGTAATCTTCCGACGCAAGGGAGACTACTACAACTCAACTCGAGTTTGAAATCCCCAAGTGAAGGAATTGAGAACACCTTGGCTGCTAAGATGTGTCTTTGCTATGTGGACTGCCAAGAAGTTTGGCAAGAGACTCCTGAGGAGGGAAGGAACCAGATCCTAGGCTCTTTCCGGGATTATGCAGCCAGCTCATGGTATCAGCACGCCTCTTTTGGAGATGTGCGTGACTCGGAGCTAGTGAAATTTGTGAGCCGACTTTTTGACATCGAAAATCCAAACTGGGCCTCGTGGAAAAAATGGTTCGACTTCAATGATGAGTCACGAGGGATACAGTGTACCAACTTCACAGAGGATTCAGACTCATCGGTCTCTGAAGAAGGACGAATTATCCAAACCACCTCCATGAGCCCTTTGTACTACGCAACATGGCTTGGCCTGACTGATACCATGGACCTCCTCCTGCGAAGCAAAGAATGCCCCATTGACGAGCAAGGGAACTTGGGACAGACGCCGTTAATAGCAGCCTGTGAAAGAGGAGACCTAGAGGCTACGAAGAAGCTCTTGGACAATCATGCGAATGTCGAAATCGCTAGTGATAACAAGCACACTCCTCTTCACACTGCCGCGTGCAATGGGCATGACGAAGTAGTGAAACTGCTACTTGAGAAGGACGCCAAGCTGCGCAACGTATTCGATGGTTCGACAATGCCACTTTTCTGTGCATGCATGAACGGTCATTATCAGGTAGCCCAAGTACTCCTTCAATGGGAACCTGATATGATCGTTGGACGTGGGGATATACCTCTGGTTGCTGCTTCCTACGGAGGGTTTTTGGACATTGTTCAGCTCCTTATTCAGAAAGGAGCACATGTTGGTGCATCTAATACGTCCGGAAGGACAGCTCTATATACCGCTTGCGACAGAGGTCATGTTGATGTTGTGCGCCTATTGATTGACAACGGTGCAGAACTCAACATTCAGGGCCCATTTGGATGGACGCAAGTAAATATCGCCGCTGACCGGGGATTTTTAGACATTGTTCTACTTCTTATTGAGAAAGGGGCAGATATCCATATCCCAAACGAGAATGGGGATACACCCCTCTATTCCGCTTGCAATGGAGGTTTTATTGAGGTCGTGCGCCTATTGCTTGACAAAGGGGCAGACATCCACCAGCAGAACCAATTTGGATGGACACCAGTAAATGGTGCCGCTGATGAAGGTTTTTTCGACGTTGTTCAACTTCTTATTGAGAGAGGGGCAGATATCCACATCGTAAACAAGGGGGGAGGGACCTCTCTATAACGCTTGCTACGGAGGTCATATCGAGGTCGTGCGCCTATTACTTGACGAGGGTGCGGATATCCACCATCAGAACCGATTTGGATGGACGCCAGTACAAGTGGCCTCAGATAAAGGGTTTTCAGACATTGTTCTGCTTCTTATCGAGAGAGGGGCAGAGGCAGATATCAACCTCCCGGACCAGGATGGGGAGACAACTCTCTATAATGCGTGCTACAGTGGCCGCGTTGAAGTTGTCAAAGAGCTTGTTGCAAATGGAGCAGACCTTGAATTTGCAAATGAAAGTGGCGTGACGCCGCTAAACATCGCTTCTCTGCATGGATTTTTGGACGTCATTGCTGTACTGCTCGAGAAGGGGGCCGCCATTGAAACCACGGACATTGTTGGCAGGACACCCATATACATGGCTTCACTCAAAGGCTATGTGGAAGTTATTAATTTGCTACTCGAGAAGGGGGCAAACATTTCTACCATTGTCGACGGTGGTCTCACGCCTCTATATGCTGCTTCATCCAATGGCCACACAGAAGTTGTCATTCTTTTGCTCGAGAAGGGGGCATGCATTTCTACCATTGCCGACGGTGGTCTCACGCCTCTCCTTGCTGCTTCATCCAATGGCCACACAGAAGTTGTCATTCTTTTGCTCGAGAAGGGGGCATGCATTTCTACCATTGCCGACGGTGGTTTCACGCCTCTATATGCTGCTTCATCCAATGGCCACACGGAAGTTGTTAATCTTTTGCTCGAGAAGGGGGCAAGCATTTCTACCATTGCCGACGGTGGTTTCACGCCTCTATATGCTGCTTCATCCAATGGCCACACGGAAGTTGTCAATCTTTTGCTCGAGAGGGGGGCAAATACTGCTAGTATGACTAACGGTGGCCACACGCCTCTACATGCTGCTTCATCTAGTGGCTACTTAGAAGTTGTCAATCTTTTACTCGAGAAGGGGGCAAACATCGCTAGTATTACATACGATGGCTCTACGCCTCTACATAATGCTTCGTTAAATGGCTATATAGAAGTTATCAATCTTTTACTCGAGAAGGGTGCAAACATTGCTAGTGTTGCCGAAGGTGGTGTCACGCCTTTACATGATGCTTCATTGGATGGCTGTATAGAAGTTGTCAATCTTTTGCTCGAGAAAGGGGCAATTATTGAAAGCGTGACGAAAGGTGGTGCCACACCTTTACATTTTGCTTCATTGGATGACTCGCTAGACGTCGTCAATCTGTTGCTCGACAAAGGAGCAGCGATCGAAAGTTTAGATGTCCGTCTGGGGACACCGCTACATATAGCTTCAGCTTCTGGTCATACCGAAATTGTGAATCTGCTGCTAAAGAGGGGCGCGGCCGTCGAGAGTGGGAATTTTGATGACAGGACGCTCTTGCACTATATCTCACCACGTGGCCAACTAGAAGTCATCAACAATTTCCTCCATTCTGAAAATCTCAGGATCGATATTCGAGTTGGAAGCTGCACACCACTGTTTTATGTTGTCGCGCGAGGCCGCAGCAAAGTGGTGAAGCTTCTTCTTCTTCCACCCCTCTCTGAAAATGCGAGGGATTGGTATAGCGTGATGCGACTTTTAGCTGCTGCGAGAAACGGGTACGAAGAAGTCATCGACCAGTTGGTCAGGTTGGCAGGGCTGAAGTCGAGCCTAGACAGATTTGGTCGAGACTTGATGTGGTGGGCGATAGGGATTGGGCGTGGTCGAATCTTTAGTCTGATACGCCAGTGGTACTACACAGAAAACCTTGGTGCTCGAATCCCTCGAGCTAGTGACGATAAGCTATGGTCTTTGGTCAATTTGAATCTGGGGCGGATTTGCGACGTCTGCACTCGGCCTATACTGGTTAATACTCCATATCGCAGATGTGAAGGTTGCAACAATTTCAGCATTTGCCTACATTGTTCAGGGTTCAAGGTGATATGCCTGGACACTGCTCATGAGTGGTCCTCCTGCGGGCCTGATGGTTCTGGTGACAGTGAGACGGATAAGAAGGATGAGAGGGGGGACAGTAACTAAGGCCTTCATACAACTTTTATTTTAATGGTTTACTTCTAGCACTGTTCAGGGGTGATATATAAACGCTTTCTTGATGACCCCTAGTGAAGATTTTGCATCACGATGGCCTTCGTAAAACTAAATCTTTCCCCTAGGACCTCAGAAGCTGGAGATGACCAGTTCTGAATGAGAGCAGCTCTATCTGTGAGTTCCAACAAAGACTGCAACAGAGTGGTTGTAAAGAAAAGGGCTGCCGAGAGCGGTATAGAAGTAGCAGGTATTCGTTCCGAATTGAACATGAAAGGCAGGCTGGTGTAGATCTCCTGTAACAGGAGGGAAATGACCTCATATGACTGGTCATGTTGTAGTTTGAAATTATCGCCTGCCAACATTGCGGGTGACAGTATGTCAAAATTGTCGATGATTATCCGGTTGGCTAGAATGCGGGCTAAACGATAGTAGTTCCACATTCGAGCATACCAAACGTCCTGATAAATATATTGCGGTCCTTCGAGAAACTCGTGATAAGTCCACGATGCAGGAAGTGAAGTTGCCCAGTTTTGGAGGGATTGGTCACTTTGTACGGCCAGTTCAACTAGCTTGCTGGGTGTAAAAAAGCTCTGATTGCCTAAGTCACGAATATTCACCAAGGTACCCATGATAGCAAAGAGTCTAATTGCCGATAACAAGGGATCCTCGTCGTCTTGTAGGGTATTTGATGGCGCTCCAAAGTGACTTGGTAGTTCCAGTAAGAAGCGCGGAACCGTTTTGCCACTAATAAGACACGCCAGTGTCTGGAAAGTATGAGTAATTAGTAAGATTCTTCTTCTTCAATGGCATACCAACGTACTGTGGTATAGCAGATCTCTATGATTTCTTTCACCGGTGAGGCTGGTAGACCATTGGCAGAACACAAATAGCCCAAGAATGCAGCAGCGCCGTGGACATGCTTTTGCCAAGCATGTGAAGAGGATTGGTTATCGCAGGTTATCATCTGAAACGTCAACCATCTGTCAGTCCGGTGGTCAAATTTGGATCAGCGGGACATCAGAGCACAGAACCTCGAAGATAGACAAAATGAAACTTCCAGCGATAGATTGTTCAATCCCAGAGCCGTGATGGGCAATAATTGCTTTATTAAGGACCCTTATAGCAAAGGTATATTTTCTTCGCGCCAGATCCATCATATTGGGATCTTTGTGGACAACGGCGAGTGCAGCGAGACCAACAGAGGTAAGGCTTATAGTGGCGGAAGATGGGTGCTCCGCACCGGAATCCATCCAGTGCCTACACCCATCGCCTAGGATCCCAAAGTTGTCGGTAAATACTTTTTGAGCAAGTTCTTCGATATTGAAAGTGGGTTTCATTGCGACTAGGCTCCAACAAGCGGCGTGCTTGTTCGCCGTGATTACCCTGCTACTTGAAGCATGCAACTTTCGAATTGTCGACTTGGTCTGATCTCGAAAGAGTAGATCTGACTGAGACCTATAACCAGTGCAGTCTAACCCGGCTCGAGCGCACTGGCTGCATCTTGGTCTGAGGAGATTGCACTTTCGAGATGTTAGTATGGTCAACAAGGCTGGCCAGAATTTTGTGGAAATTAAAAGCCAACCTTGATTCTCCTAGACCTGCAGTTCCCACAAGCCGGGCTAGCTCTGATAGATCCCATGGGCGGCGCAGCGTGCGTAATTGAGATAATCCAGTCAACGCACGTTGCAATAGGAGTAACACTGCTGCTTGGGCACCAAAACTCTGTTTCTGGGTAGCTGAAAAAATGTCTCACAATGTATCCATTTTTGTGGCCACCAAGGCAATAGAGATATGGTTGGAGATCCTGTGAGCTTGGAGTTGTCCCATTGACCCAGATGAGTGGGGGGAAGACATCCTTAAACGGCCTCTCATTGGTTCATAATCCGGCGCTAATCCACGACTGACTTACCCAAATGGGAATAGCGCGAACATTCGTATTGATTTGCCCTTGATCTCCAACACAGCCATATAAGTGGGATTGTAAGGCACTATACCACGACGGACTTGTCTAATTCGGAATAGAGCTTACGGTGCCGTCAAATTACTTTTCAACTCATGAATGAGTTGCCTAATGTAGATACCGCCGATAATTCCACGTAGGACCATAATCATATTTTTATCTATAAAAGGAGGACCAGACTGTGTTCGTTATTGTTATCTTAAAACAAGATATTTCTCTTTCGATTCACTCCAATTTCTGCTTGCTCTCTTCATCCTAGGATTGCTCTATATAACTTCACTTTCAACCATACTTTCATCTAATATGGAGCCTATTCGGAACGTCGCACTCTTGGGGGTTAGTTGACTGACAATAAAATGGCGATGTTTGTTATACTAATATGCGATTAACAGAAAGGATGGCTGGGATCCACAGTATTGGAGCACCTTGTGAATACTGGCTTTCAAGTCACGGTGCTGAGTCGCACAGCTGGCTCAATGGACGAACCCTCTTCTAGCGTCAAGACTGTGCAAGTCGATTATTCGTCTATCGACAGTCTTGTAGCTGCTCTCAAGGGCCAGGATGCTGTGGTGTCTACCGTCGGCGCGCCCGGTATTAGCGCACAGAAGACGGTCATCGATGCCAGTATTCAGGCTGGCGTCCGACGCTTCATCCCTTCTGATTTTGGAGCACTCACGACCAGGCCTGGAGCAGAGTCCCTTCCGCTGAACGCTTTGTGGATAGAAATCCAGAATTATCTCAAAGAAAAGGCGCTGAGCGGTCAGATCGAGTACACACTCTTTGCTGTTGGGCCGTTCTTGGAATTTGTCATGTCGATGCCGTTTTTGACCGACCTGCAGACCCAGACTGTCCCACTGTATGACAATGGTGTGCATACTTTCAGCTCAACTAGTGTGTCAAGTGTTGGGAAAGCTGTCGCTGGTGCTTTGAAGAATGCCGCAGCGACCAAAAACCGCTTGGTTAGCGTTCACGACATTGTTCTGACTCAAAACAAAATTTTGAATCTGGCAAAGAAGTACTCAGGGCCTGATGTCAAATGGATGGAGAGTCCAGTGGACGCAGCGGCTGAGCTTGAAACAATTCTTGAAAACACCAAGCAGAGCGACCTGGACCTCTTCAAAACACTTGCACTGCTGAAATCTGCGCTCTTGGGTGGCAAGTTCGAAGCTGAGTTCAAGATTTTGGATAATGACCTTGTCGGAGTGAGCCTTCTTTCCGATGATGAATTTGAGAAGATATTTGCCACGGCCTTTAAGCCAAGCCAGATGATTGCACAGGAGGACCTCCAGGCAAATATTGAAGGGATTCAAGGCGAGGCCTAGCAATAAGATAGCAAGATCTTGCAGTCAATGTTGTTACATGGTGTCTTTCATTTTGTGTGTGTTTCCTGTGTGTTCGAGTGTTCTTCAAAGAATTTGATTTGGCATTATTTCCAATTGACAAAACCAGCTAATATTCTCGATTTTGATCAATGTAGCCACCAGTAATTATGCGAAGGATTAAGATAACCAGGAAAGGCGAGAAAGACTCCAATTCATTATCCGACCCAAGCCGAGCTTGACCGAAGGAGGCAAAATACTCCGCATGCGCTTACTCTTCTGATATTATTGAACAAGACTCAAGGGGTTGTGAAACAAGCACCAACTAATCATTTTGGCGCGCTCTGTCAAAATGGCAGCCCCACAGAATATCGTGGCAAAAAGGCGTGGCTGTGTTAGTGGGTTATAGGAGCAGATTTGGAGCCTTGAAATGGATAGAATTCTCATGCTGGACAAAGAACTTGAAACTTGAACTACCAAAAGTAAGAATACATATTTTGGTGGGAAATTATTTTGCTCGTAGGTGGTATATAGCATCCCGGGATCATATTCATCAACATTTTAGTCGATTGCTTTCATTGTAGACTTCTCTATTCCAACTATGCCAAGTGAGAGGTTCCACAGAAATCTGACGTAGAATAAGAGTCTGTCCAGGTGCCGGACAGCTGCGGACCCATTTGAACAATCTTGGAAGAAGCCATAAAGAACTGATGTCATCCATTATGTTTTATTTCGGATGTATTGTGGATGGAAAGAAAAGTGCTTTATTCGATAACCAAACTGGTTGAATGATTGGATCGAACTGAACTTTCACGATGGAAATTCTAGAAAGGCAACTTACACTCGCAAGCTGATGACGAGGTCTGACGAGGTGTTCGAGACCAGATGTGGAAATATCAGCCGCATGTTATGATTGGCTGTGACTCTCTCAGAATTTAACCTTATTGACTGAATCCCCACATCTAGATCCACATCTATAATTGCAGTGTGTAGTCTATCCGTTCTTCACACTCTTTGGTCTGAGGGTTCCATCCTCATCCGGGCAAACTCCACCGAGTACAATAAAAAGATGGACATCCGCAGATATGGTCTCCTTTTTCTTTTTTTCTTCAAACACATTCTTTGAACTTCAAGTCACTCTTTTTCTTGAAGTCATTCATTCTTTAGAGGTTGATCCTCAATTACTGTCTCTGTAGTATCTCTGTTAAACCAGAAGATCATATTATCTTACCACTTTCATTCACTCTATTTACAATCTTCCATCATGATGACTTTCAACGTCTTCCTTACCGGCCTTCTCGCTGCCACCGCTGCGGCCCTCCCCCACTCTGCTCGATCCGGCGAATCCGGTACCGTTGAGACCCGCGATTCTAACGGCGGAGGCGGTCTTCAGATCGTCAACAACATGGGTACCGACCTCTATGTCTGGACCATCACCGACAACCCAGGCGAGATGAAGACTCTCAGCGCCGGAGGTGACTTCAGTGAGGAGTGGACCACCAACGACAACGGTGGTGGTGTCTCCATCAAGATCTCTGCCAGCGAAGACCGTGACAGCGTCCTTCAGTTCGAATATACCCAGGATGGTGATACCCTCTTCTGGGATATGTCCTCCATCGATCTTGACGAGACTTCCGCATTTGTCAAGTCGGGCTTCACCGTCCAGCCCAGTGACACAAGCTGCCGTACCGTCTCTTGTGCCCCTGGCGACGTTAACTGCAAGGATGCTTACCAGCTCCCCGATGACGTGAACACCTACTCTTGCTCATTGAGCTCCGGTTTCACTCTGACTCTGGGATAAATTTCCTGGCATGAATTTTTCTTTTTCTTTTCTTTTTGGAACCGGCTGGACCGATGGAACTTTGTACCTTTTTTTTCATGATTCGCAGAACACTAATACGTCCTTGTTGTGTTGAACATTGTGGATACACTCTTGGATATGTATATAAACTTCTGCAGAAGTGTTGTTATTTAGTATTTAGCAGTGAGCTAGCTTACCAAGTACCACTGGCAAATACATTCTAGAATGTGTTGAAAAAAAAAACCTCTCCTAACTATTTCAACGTGTAAGCATAATTTGATATTCGTATGATTCGCCTTGCGCATCTCAACATGGTTTCTTGCTATTGCCATTAACTTATCAGGGGTGTGGATTTAGATTTTATGACAACATGAGACTTACGAAGCTCCTAACTTGAGTTGCTGTTGAGGCTCTGCATTCATGATATACTATGACCTTGATCCTATCCTCTCCTCTCTAGGACTAGTCTCTTCTCCCTTCCAGCAGCAGATAGATCAAGCCATGGGGTTTCCTTGGCAGATACAGGTTAGATGACACTGTCGTTGGGAGTAAGAAACGGAAATTCTAAGCTAGATAAAGATATGTTAGGCTGGTGGGCTGGTGGCTCCCGGCAGACAGCATTATTCTCTGTAGATACATAGTTTGCTCCGAGTCTCTCCTTGTTTCTTCCTTCTTTACCTAAGTGTCTCGGTTTGCTGATGGCATCGGTCCGGTCCTGAAACTCAACCGTGTGAAATATAGCTGCCAAAAGTGACCTTTTGATCCTAAGGAGCAGTGGATTTGATCGGCTTTTCTTTCTGCAAGAAAAACTGTATCGGGCGATCCAGCCCAATCATAAAGCCCGAGGAGAATCCAAATACCAGAAATCCCTTGCTGCGTTACACGTAACACATGGTATCTATCCGATTTGATCACTTTGCCGATGTGGTTTACATATGTGGTTGCACTAGCATCGACACATCTATGTTACAGGGAATTAGCACTGATACGAACAGGATATCCCCAACGATGGTGTATAGAAGTCGTGGGCGAAATCCGCATATTGGGTAAACCTCACGTGCGATTTATGCCTCAGGTGTCAAACTGAAACCCCGCTGTTCCCCCAGACCTTGTGACTAATCTCTCGGCCAAATCGTTGGACCGAGGCTCATCGCGAGTCTGTGAACCACCGAGGTTGCTTTGCTTTATAGGTTGCCTGCACCCCATCTACACCTCCTCTTCCCCAGGTTTTCTTTTTCTATTACCTTCACTTCACACATCTTCATAATGGCTTCTCCTCGTAAGTGATTCCCCTATGTTTACTTTGCCTATGCCCGTTATTTTCATGTGATCCACTCCTTCATAGCCGATGGCTTCACGTGCATGGCCTCAACATCGATGCTAACCACCGTTGAACAGAGCAAATCCGTACCCCGATCACCGATCTTCTCAAGATCAACCACCCCGTCCTGCTGGCAGGCATGAACGTGGCTGCGGGGCCCAAGCTGGCTGCCGCTGTCACCAACGCTGGTGGCCTCGGAGTGATCGGCGGTCTTGGTTACACCCCTGAGATGCTCCGCGAACAAATCACTGAACTCAAGAGCTACTTGAACGACAAGAACGCTCCCTTCGGTGTCGACCTTCTCCTTCCCCAGGTTGGCGGCAATGCCCGCAAGACCAAGTAAGAAGACTCGATCGCTGCGATACATTTTCCATTGCGGACACCTTGCTAATCGCGTTTTGTTTCGGCAAATAGCTACGACTACACCAAGGGCAAGCTCGGTGAGCTCGTCGATATTATCATCCAGGAGAAGACTACCCTTTTCGTCTCCGCCGTCGGTGTGCCCCCCAAGGCTATTGTCGATAAGCTCCACAGTGCCGGCATCCTCTGCATGAACATGATCGGCCACCCCAAGCACGTCCAGAAGGCTCTGGATGTTGGCGTTGATATCATCTGCGCCCAGGGTGGTGAGGGCGGTGGCCACACCGGTGATGTCCCCACCACTGTCCTCATCCCCGCCGTTGCCAAGTTGGTCGAGGGCAAGAAGAGCCCTCTGACCGGTCAGCCCGTGCAGGTCATCGCGGCTGGTGGTTTGTACAGCGGTAGATCCGTTGCTGCTGCTCTCATGCTCGGCGCCTCTGCTGTCTGGATTGGTACCCGCTTCATCCTGTGTGATGAGGCCGGTGCCCCCGCCGCTCACCAAGAGGCTGTCCGTACTTCCAACTTCGAGGATAACATCCGTACCATTATCTTCACTGTATGTATCCACTGGCTTTGTTATTGTTAAAAAATACAGGTTGCTAACAAACGATATAGGGCCGTCCCCTCCGTGTTCGCAAGAACCCCTACATCGTCAACTGGGAGGAGAACCGTCACGAGGAGATCAAGCAGCTCACCTCCAAGGGTATCATCCCCGTCGAGCACGATATGGAGAACATGCCCGATGACGCCGATGAAGAGACTCTGGACAATGCCCGTCCTTTCCTGATGGGCAAGGTTGCCGCCGTTGTCAACGAGAAGAAGTCTGCCAAGGCTATTGTTGATGAGCTCGTCGACGATGCCGCTGTTCTGCTCAAGAGTGGCAGCAAGATGGTTTCTAAGCTGTAAATAAACTATTCCCACTATATTTCCATCTCTATAGTCATATTCAGCGTTAAAATAATCAAACTCGACTGGCGATATTCCCGGCCGATTTTTGGAACTTACTTGAAATTTCTCAATGTCGAATGTAGCTAGCACTCGTATAATCCCCTCTCAAGGCCGCTAGGGAATTACCCCTGCTATTTCCGAAAACCTTCCCTCCAAAAAAAGCACTTAAGCGCCTGGGTGGGTACTTGATCACCAACCACTGCTCCGTATTCCACGTGGAGATCACATCCATAATCTGTGTTACCGGCATTAGCTAGTCAATCTCTGATATAAATAGATTGTCGATCCTTGTTTTTCTCATGAGAGCTGACTTTCCTTCCCGTGTCTAGATATTCTTGTGAGCTGTAGATTGGTACTTTGCTCACCTCCTTTGCTTAATTAGATTAACGCACGAATACGAGCGAAGATGTCGAATCTTTAGAAGCTTGGTATAGCTCATGCTGTTATAGATATATATCAAATCTCGACTCAGGTTGTTCTATCACCGTCAAAGAGCTGGTTGTGAATGTGATTGGAAGTGGCTGAAACATATGTATGAACAGACTTTGAGTGATATCCCTGCAGAAGAGCCTACACCTGTTTCCTTCTTCCTCGCACGGACTGCCACGGAGGATATGACCCAAATGAATGACCACACGCGAGAGATGGGCAACAGGCAATTGGATCTCGGCATGCATCCGCTGCGACCCGACGAGATCTCCAAGATACGCACATTTGCACAACCAGTGAGACTAATCCAATGGTATCATAGTTTGATAACAGAAGACCTGATAGTGGAGAGTTCATCCAAGTGTAGACCATCTAGCCATTACATCCCAATCAGGAAGGAACCTGGAGAGACGGAAGTGGCTAGGTACCGAAATAGATCCATCCATCCATATCAAAACCAGTATCAGTAATTCATGGCAGCCCCCAGAGCTGAGCGCATCTCACTAACAATCTCTTTCAGTGTGATTCGCGCTTCGGTCAACTCTGAGCATTCCCGAGATCCTGCGCGAGTTCAGATTGTACATCTAGATACTAGGTCTCACTTGGTCATTTCAAGGTTGGCTCCTACGGAGTACACATAACTACTTCACAGGCTCCGCAAAGACGGAAGCAGTTGCCAGGTCCTTTGGCCTCCTAAACTGCCTCAATGACACATCTGCTTATCCACCTAATTATGGATTGATCTAACTATAAGTCGCGCACGCACCGTCAAGTACTAAATTGAGCCTGAGAATCCACGCCCACCGAATGCTCTGCTCCCACATGATGAGGTGCTTCCTGTACGTATTGCATCTGTGCCGCCTTGCAGGACGGAGAGATTCTGGCCAATGATGCACTATATCTGACTATATGGTACTTTTGTCTCTTTGGTCATGGCATTGAGTTGTGGAGATCGGAAAATGCTTCCCAGTCTTTGGCATAGACTCGAAGGGCGCCGTGATATCAATCATCTTCTCAGCCTCTGAGCAAGGCCCTCGGTACCAGTCTGAGAGCCCCAGAGAGACCAACAAGTCAATTGTCATGTTTGCTTATTGATGCGTTGTTTGTGTGCGCCAAAGAATAGTCTCTCATCTATCGAGGTCTGGTGGCCGGGCCGGGCCGGTCTCCATAGCGAACCATGGGAAGTGAACATATGGGCAACCCCCAAAGCTGGTATAGGTAGACTTCAGGTAAATTGTATTGATGTTGAAGTTGGATGAATATCGAGATCAATCTGGTACGATTTCTCACTGTTGGGTGTTGATGTGGCATGACTCGGTCGTACGTTGGGGCAGCCGTTCTTACCCGAGTAATACCGCCGACTGGGCGAGATACAAGCCTGACACACCCCGTGGACGTCACCAAGATACCAAGTCCTTTTCAATTAGATATAATGTCGATCAAGTTTTGTGTACCACCTCAATTTTAACCTTGGAACATCCAAGATGGAATATCAAAAGTGAGCACTAAAGCGGAAAGGGAAAGGTCCTGAAGTGTATATATATAGCCTTGTGGAGAGAGCGTCGGCCTCAGGGACCTATGTCTCCAGGTCTATGGAGTATCAACTCACTATGAAGTTTTCTTCTCACACTCATAGCGAGCTGAGGATCGATACACTCAGGCCCTATACTCTAAATAAAGCACTGCAAGCGCCGTGGCGGGGAATGAATTGACGTGACAGGGGGCCCGAGGACCAATGAATCACCGATTCCCACGCGATAGACCAGATTCAAATTTCAAGAGAAAAATCCCCGCATCAGACGCCTTTGTGATGGATCATCTCAGTTCAACAGAATTAAAAGTGCCAAAGTCCCAAAGTCCAAGCCCATGAAAATGTGTGTTTAACTTATATCACAATATACTGTTAAAAAATCTGCCCACTCACAGGCTCGGTCCTATGAAAACCCTTCTGTGAGATCCTATTGATTGAGAGGTGCATAATTACTGCAGCAAAGCGGGTTATTTTTGTCCCATCACTTTTCTCTCGGTCAAAGTAGCCTTTCTAGTTAGATCTTTTGCCCCCCCTTTGCTTCTAAGATTTGGACTCTTTGCTTTTTTATATTTTTTTTTTTTATTCTTTTCTCTTTACAATCATCTTTTCTTTTCTTTTTTTTCTGTTCCTCCTATCCCCGCTAATCCTGGCAAATCCTTCTGGGGTCCAAGTTGCTGGGTCACCCCTCCATCTCCACCCAACAAAGGAGGTTAAACCAATTACTTCTGTGATATCAATTTCTATAAATACATTTCAACGGATATCCAGCCTTTGCACTTCAAGGGGACTATCGAGGGATTACTCGACTTCAACCCGTATTTCTCCCCGCTTCCGCCCCGACGGTTCTTGGCCCCTTTATCGAACCCGAAGGTTTTTTCGTCACACCGACTTGGTCATTGGCGATTATATTACTCGCGCTTTTCCGGCTTTACGCTGGTGAGCGACAAACTGGCGGACAACGACGGAAAATTGTGCCCTAGAGTGTTGGACGGAAAGTACTCTAGTCTTTCCCCAATCTATATCATCTAGGCACAGGAGACCCCGAATAATATTTGCTTGAATTCTGGGACAATGTCGCTCAAACAAGTAAGTACATGATGTCTCGGAATATTAATCATACTGACCTTTTGGCCGAAAAAGGAAATCGAAACATGGGTGCAGGCCCTGGATGCCTACGACAATCAAGAATTTGAGGTGTCCCTGCGATGCTTCGATCAGATTGCCGATACATCAAAGATCTTGTTCAACTGCGGAGTGATCTATGCAACGCTAGGCGAACACCCTAAAGCAGTAAGTGAACTCATGAGATCTTGTTCCCGACAGCTAATTGATTTTGGTACAGGTAGAATGCTACCAACGTGCTGTCAGCCTAGACCGGTATCTGGCAATCGCTTACTTCCAGCAAGGTGTATCTAATTTCTTGCTTGGGGACTTTGAAGAAGCGTTGGCCAACTTTAATGACACTTTGCTGTATCTGCGAGGGAATACTTCCATCGACTATGAACAGTTAGGTCTTCTGTTCCGTCTCTTTTCATGCGAAGTCCTGTTCAATCGGGGTCTCTGCTATATCTACCTCCGGCAAATGAACCCAGGCATCCAGGACCTTGAGTATGCAGCCAAGGAAAAGGTTACCGCGGACCACGATGTGATTGACGATGCTATTCGTGAGAATGCAGATGTATGTGTTCTCGATTAATCTGCTGCGATACGAGCTAATCCAGATATAGGGCTATACTGTCTTCTCAATTCCCGTGGGAGTTCTCTATCGTCCCAACGCAGCTAAAGTCAAGAATCTCAAGACAAAAGACTACCTGGGCAAGGCTCGACTGGTTGCCGCATCGGACCGCAATCAATCATCAGATCACCAATGGAATCCAATAGCCGTTAATAAAGAGGACCTCCAAGGTCGCGAAGGAGTCTCCTTTGCCGCATCCCACTTAGTCCGCCAAAACCTCAGCAGCCGCACTCGTCAACAATCTGAACCACCCCTAAACCGCAACGCGTTCCCCCCAACGCCACCACCAGACGACCGATCAGTCAGCACAGCATCTGGATCAGGAAGCCAATCAGCATCCGGACACCACCGAACATCATCTCTCCGAAATGTCCGCCCACCACGTCTAGACTTAGATCGCGCAGGTGCCAGCCTAGACCGCCGACCATGCCAACCAGAACAAGCATTACCACCCATCGAGAAGCCACGGATAGGCACAACGCGAACAGCATCAGAACCACGCGGGCCATCCTCACGACAAAACAATATGCGTGGATATCAACCGGAAAGCAGCCGAAGCGCCTTGGCCCGCGAACAAGCCGGCCACCGCAGAAACCTCAGCGACACAAACCAGAACTACCCACCAGAACAAGACTACGGCCACACAGACCCCTACGACCCCTACTCAAGTCAGCGCAACCTAGCAAATACAGGCTGGGGCCGCGGATCCCGCCACCAACCACCCCAATACATTGATGAAGAGGAAGAATATGCCAGCGACGCATGCGATGCAACAACCCTCAACGACGGCGCTTTCGAGCTCGTCGCCGCTCCCCAGGCTGGTCCAAGCCATTCACCCCAACAACGTCGTACTCGTTCTCCGGCGCGATACTCTCGCCATGCGAACCCGCGAAGACCGGATATCCAGAAATTTAGAACGAAAGTACACGCTCCCGATGATACCAGATATATCATGATTGGGCCGAAGATTGAGTTTGGGGAATTTGAAAATCGAATTCGTGAAAAGTTCGGCTTTAAGTGTCCTTTGAAGATGAAGGTGCAGGATGATGGGGATATGATTACTATGGTAGATCAGGAAGATCTGGATCTGCTGGTTAGTTCGGCGAAGGAGGTTGCTCGGCGGGAAGGAAGTGAGATGGGGAAGATCGAGGTAAGTCTATGCTTGATCCTTTGAGAACATTTCCTGACTGATGTGTTGTTTAGATTTGGGTGGAAGAACGTGCAATGATTTGATGCATGGCGACTGGATTTCTTGTTAATATTAGCATCGTGATTTTGTCTATACCCTGTTTTGCGTATTTAGCATGGAGATACCAATGCATGAGAAATACTAATGTAATTCTTTTCCAATTTGGGTTTATAACCGTAAGATAAAATTGCAGGTACTACTACTACTACTACTACTACTACTACCTGATCGGGAGGAAGAGAGGGTATAAAATGCCTAATTATAGCTGTGAGATAACCCCTAATATATCAGGATGACAACGTTTATAATGGATCCCTTTTCCCTCACAGGCCCAATATTCACTGGACAATCAAAAATGAACAACGAGAAACATTGCCACAATTCAATTGGCTGGCCAACAAAGAAGTCTGTGGCCCGTGGGTTGGTATCAGCGCCGCTGCTCGGCAACTTAGTCTACAATACGCTATGATCTACTAATAATCATTTACCGTGGTGGCAACAGGAAAAGCCATAGACTTTAATTCTTGGACTAGTGGTACATTTAAAATAGCATAGTTCGCCTAGCAGGACATGCACTGAGCGAATGTCTCCGTTGTTTTCGCATATCTTGCTCGTTTTCCAACAATATCTTCTGCACACAACGGCTTCCACTGGGATTATGCTTCATTCGGTCGTCATTGAGAATGTTTGTGAGAGTTGCTTTGACTTGGTGATGGTAATCGCGGATTTTGTCATTTGTGGCATCGGTGGCGTTGCCAAAGCTCGACACTAGGGGGTCTTTTTGGCGAGGCATGGAGTACGAGGTGATTGACCTTTTGATGGAAGGTGTCCAGTGTAGGGTGGGCAGCTCAGTAGATGTTGCTGCTGGATGCTTATTTTGAGATGGGCGAGCCATTTTGGATATGTGTATGGAAGTGGTAGATTTGATAGACTGTTAGAAAAGGAGGTGAGGTCCCTTTTAAGCAAGAAATATATCTCATACAATACTAACAAACAACCGGGCCGTGTCACGAAGGTGACGTCTGGCCGACATATCTGAAACCTGGCTGGTTCCTTGTCCGCCATGAAACGATACGTTTAACGTTATAGGTATAGACATGGTTGTTTCAGCCAATCGCAGGCTGATTCATGATTGATCTTTGTCTAGAACGTAGATCCTTGTCAAAGGACGTATCTATGACCTATCAAGTATGTGATGCTAGTCTAGCGTGTAGGTTTGTCGCCACTTGCGGACTTGTACAATTACAAGGATGGGCTATATCAAACTCTAGTTTTGTGGCTATAACTCCCCTGGTGGTCATCCGTTGATACACTCAAGCCCCAGAATTAAACAGACAAGTAATAAGTCGATACGTGTCAATGTGTTGGATTTGTTTCAATTCAGACTTGCTTAAGGCGCTGGTTAGATGTTCATACCAAAATCACCCCATGTCTCTCCAGTCTCTACCAAGCATCAGTCTCCTAGGTCTTTGCCTTTCCAGCCTCTCTCTCCTCGGTCTCAAACTTGGCAGTGCCTCCAATCCAACAGCCAACGACCTCACTCCCCCATTTCCAAAACCTCAAATTAATCTCACCACGACGGTCCCTGGTCCAACCCTGCCTAATCCTAATTGTCCGATGAGGGTTGGGGAGGAAGTTGTTCAGCAGCAGCACAAAAGCCAAAGCAGTCGCAGTATCCTCCCAATGACCATAATCTTTAGGAAACTCCCTTGCTTCGTACATCTGCAATTCGCGATTGGTGACGACATAGGCGTACAAACCAGTGCTCTTAACCTTGTCACACACCTTCTTGGCGCGACGATAATCCAGGTTCATATCATTCAATTTCTCAATCGATTCGAGCGGAATCATCGTCTTCACCTTGCTCATGCCAGCATTCTGGATTCTTAATCCAGGTGCCAGTTCATCTCTCGAAATATCCAGATCGGACAACATGGCGTCAGCGTGTCCCTTACTCACATCATCCATGAATGTAACTTTCGGGTGGGAGATTTCTACCCAGATGTCCCAGATAACATTTTTTGTGCTGTCTGTATTCTCTGCAGCCTTCGTGACCCTTGCTTCCATAAGACCGCTCTTGGTCACGATGCGGAGGTCGTCCTGTGGTGTCATCCCAAGCTTCGACAGTAGCCACACAGTTCCGATCATGGCATGGCTGCACCTCTCTAGCTCATAGCGTGGGGTCCAGAAGCGCATCTCATAGTGACAGAACTCGAAGCCTGCCGGTGCGGGGAAGACGAACCCGCTCGTGTGGCCGTGGTTTAAGGCAACTAGTTGCATTTCTTGGTTGGACATGCCCTTGGAGGTACGACTGCGATAGTATCTTCACCTTCTGGGGATGCGGGAGAGACCCGTACAAGGTGGACCTTGGCTTCCTCCATCGTAGATGGATGTGATGTAGGTTATGTAGTGTGGTGGTTGGATAGATGGGTTAGTTCTGTGTAGATACAATACCACTTGAAAAGTGATGAGCTGCATGATGAAAAGTAAGAGAAGCAAATACCAAAAACTATTTTATATAGTTGGTGACATTCCTGATCCCATCTCTGTTCCAAGTATAAACAAATGCGGGGTGCGGGATAGACCACCAGCGCAGTGACGTTGAATGTTGATCGACAAGTGTACAGTTGTATAGCAACACTACACACATTTCAGACTATGCCACACCCACAATGACCGATCTAACACCCACCCTCAACAAGCTGCTTTCAAAGCAAGGCTCATCTATCCCCCAAATCAGAAAACCCTGCACAGAAACCGCGGACGAGTTCCTAAAGGAGGCATACCGAATCGTAAGCCAGCCCTGCGCACTCACACCAACTACCCTCAACCCCCATCAAAGTAGAAAGAAAATCTAACAAACCACCCCAGAACTCACACATCCACTCCCTCCTCCAATATCTCCAGTCAATCCGGCATGCCTACCTCTCAACAACGCAACCACAACGCCGCAACCAAAACACAAGAACACCCACCCCAAACCCGAAAAATGCACCCCCAACACCAACCTCACAAGCAAACCTCACAGACCCCGAACGCGACGCAGTGGACACATCAACAGCCCTACTCCTCCGCGACCTAGCAACCTCAATCGCAAACCTCTCCTCCGCCGAATCTCTCCGCCAAGAAACCTCCTCCACCCTCCTCCACAAGAAATACGGCCACTCCGCTGCCGGCGCCCTCCTCTGGCGCTGGGCCGGCGGCAGCGGCGCACTAGACAGCGCCAGCGCCGATGAAGGCAAATCCGCTGAACAAGTGCGCGCAGAGGAGAGCGCACGGTCGATAGCGACGATCCGCGAGAGCGTGCTTTGGTTCCTGCGGTGCGGGCTTGAGCGTGCTGTTAGTGTGCAGCGGAGGATGGTTGAGAAGAGGATTGAGAGGGTGCGGGAGAAGGAGAAGAGTGTGCTTTATAAGGTTAGTGCGGGGAAGGCTGCTGCTGGTGGGAATGGGGCTCGGAAGGGGTCTATTTCTGTGTCGGAGAGGACTGGAGCAGGGGCTGGGGGTGGGGGATTCAATCCTGCTTTCCAGGCTCCTGATGCGGCGGTTCTGAGTGAGGCGGATACGGCGCGGATCGAGGCGCAGCTTTCGCCGGAGCAGTTGCAGCTTTTTGCTGAGGAGAATGATTCTATGCTTAGGCATTATGAGGATACGTTAGGGAAGGTTCAGTATGTTTCTCTTTTTTGACGTTTCTAGTAGGGTTTGGGCTAATATGTGTGTGCTCTTTTAGAAATGCCGAGAAATCTCTCCTTGAGATATCCTCTTTGCAGGAAACTCTGGTTTCGCACCTCGCTACGCAGGAGGAGCATATTTCCCAGCTTATTTCGGATGTGGATACGACGCAGACGAATGTCGGGCAGGGAAATCGGGAGTTGAAGCGTGCTACGGAGCGACGGAGTACGGCTCAGGCTGTCTTCTGGGGTACTGTTGGGTTGTGTACCTGGCTTGTGGTTTGGGATTTGGTCTTTTAGTCCCGATACTACTGGACAGCTTCTTCTCATAAGGTTTTTTTGGAAAACCTTCTTATACGATACCATTATGTTTATTTCATTGAAATGTAGCATATTATCAAGGTCACTTTCTCAATTAGGATGTGGTAGGGGCTGTATACTTCCTATCGACCTTACTGTTGACAGTCCAGTCTGGCCAAGTGAATCGAAATCATATCTTCCAATGCGAATCGAACGAGGTTGACTCTACTAAAATACTGTAGACCATTGAGCAAAATAATTTAACAATTTCAATGCCGTATTGCTATATCTATGATTTACATGTGATGCATGTGATATTTAATGCAGACCCACAGTTAGGGTGTATCCAAAGAGATGCGAAAGCAAGACCGAAGTCCCAGAACTATGGTAAATTAATGCATCATGAAAGTCCTTCCGAACTTCCACAAAGGAAAAAAGTACATTCTTTAAAAAGCAAATAGAACGCCAGACCAAGGCTACTCGAGTGTTTCCACTATATTTGAGACCGGGGTATCAGGTAGGTATCACAACTTGGCAGAATCACGAACAACACTATCAACCGCCTCGGCGAAATAGTCGATGTTATTCGTGTTCAAACCGGCCATTGAGATGCGGCCGTTCTTTGTCTGGCAGGAAAAAACGAGTTAGCAACCGCAATTCTAGACGAGGTATACACCACCATGAAAGAAGGGAAAAACATACCATGTATACATGCCACTTGGAGCGCAGCGTCATAACCTGTTCCTCCGACAGACCGGTGAAACTAAACATTCCAATCTGCGAAGTAATATGATCCCATGAACCAGGGGTACCACGCTGTTCCAGACGATCCCGCAATCCCTTCCTCATCTCCAAAATACGACCACTCATCGTGCGCAGATCCGCCTCCCACTCCTTAAAGAGCACAGGATCATTCAAGACACGACTGGCAATGCGCGCACCGTAAGCAGGGGGGTTCGAGATCTCCGATCGCTGCAAGATAGCCAACTGGGAAGCGATGTGCGCCGACGCAGCAGCGGCGTCCGGACCGGGAGCTGAGACGAAGTGGAAAGCGCCCGTGCGCTCACCGTACAGACCGAAGTTCTTAGCGAAAGACTGCGCGACACACAGCTCGAAGCCCTGCTCGACGAAGTAGCGGATGGCCCATGAGTCACGGACCAGATCGCCGGATGCGAAGCCTTGGTAGGCAGTGTCGAAGAAGGGGAAGTGCGAGCGGGCGCGCATTAGCTCTGCGATTTGCTTCCATTGGTCTTCGGTGGGGTCGACGCCTGTTGGGTTGTGTGCGCAAGCGTGCAGGAGGATGACGGAGCCTTGGGGTGCGGCTTCTAGGGCGGAAATCATGCCGGTGAAGTCAAGGCCTTTTGTCTTGACGGAGAAGTAGGGGTACTTTGCTAGGGTGAGGCCGACATTTGAGAAGATTTGGTTGTGGTTCGCCCATGTTGGATTTGAGAGGTAGATTGAGGGCTTTTGAGGGTGGAATTTGGAGAGGAAGAGGCCGCCGAGGTGGACAGCGCCGGTGCCTGAGATTGTTTGCAGGGTGCAGATCTAGTGGGGGAGGGGTTAGTTGGGGGGAGGTTTGAGGGGGGGGTTATTGGGAGATATATGCGAGTATAGGGTACGTACTCGCTTTTCACTAATCGCGGGGCTGTCTGCGCCGACAATCAGTTTCTGGGCGGCGGAGGTGAACTCAGCGAGACCACCGATAGAGAGGTATTCATGGTTAAGGCTGGGATCATTGTGGATGGCATCGTCGGCCTATGTAGATGTCAGATAAATGCATATAAAGTAATAGAAGTATAGATATTTACCTTCTTCACGACAGGGAGAATCCAAGGCTTTGCGTTGTTGTCACGGTAGGCACCAATGCCGAGATCAACCTTCTTATCGGAGGGGTCTTCGCGATACGCCTTCATAAGACCAAACAAAGGATCTTCGGGGGCGGCGGCCACAGTGGCCGCGGTAAATACTGAAGGATTAGAGGAACCCATGATGTGTGATGATAGAGAGAAAAGACGATCTCTCGCGGATTGAATCGACATTGTCAATATTATATAAACCAAAAATACTGGTATGTTTCCCCGGAATCTGACACCGAAACGGGATATTCCTGCTTGCGTTCACCGGATGAGGGGGTGGAGTAATTGGAGTGAATCAGCGCACACTCTTTGTAATCGAAGAAAAATAAAATGATACACGGAGTACGGAGTATTTTCTAGCCTTCTTCTCTTATATTTTATCTTCAAGATCTATACCCTCGGCGCACAAGATACCGAGGGACTTTCCCGTATCTTTCTCGTTCTATGACCGAGTTCACATGCTAGTATATCAACAGAATTAGTTATATATCAAGTAGCCCACAGGTAATATTCCAGTGACACAGAGTCAAAACCAAAACATCTGATTGAAATCTCCAACGTATTCCCCTTCTCCGACAGGCTACATCCGCCGACCAGAAATCGTGTGTCATACAACTCCGACGAAAAAAAAAAAAAAGGCGCACTGTGGAGACCCTTCTGGAAGGAGGTCATTGCATGATGAAGTCTCGGCAGAAGGATTAGGCCACGGCTATATTCTTGCATACTATAAATATTGTTTAGATTCGGTATTCGGTATGTTCTACGTATTGCCGGTTTGAATTCTGTGCGGAGACACTTCTTCCCCAACGCAATTATATGTCACTCCCCCACACTAAAATAACTCATTAGGAGGATCCCGGGACTCCGGAGAATTTAAAAAAAGATGGATTGATAGGGCGGACTTGGTCCGATTTTATTCCCCACAGAACGGATAATATACCGATATTAGAGTGTTAAGGTAGGTGGATGTGTCAATTCTACTATTACGATTGTGATTTTATAAGGCTGGAGTAAACATAAACATAATATAATATACCCCTCACATACTCCAAATACGAAAAAAGAAAAAAAAAACGTATATGGACAAAGTACGGTGAAAAAGTGAAACCAGATTTGTGTCAGCCGCTGATGCAATCACCTGGGCATCAGCCAATCCCTATGGCCAGAAGATGGCTCGTCGTGCCTGGCGATCGTAACATTATGGGTACCCGTGGACCCTTGCCATATTTTACTAAGGCCACATATATCCCCTAGGCACCTCCAAGGCTGGGCATGCCTAGGCTGATGTAATGAAAAACATATCAAATCTGATGGTTGAAATAAACATGTGTAATCCATGGTATTGCTCCCTGCTGACCTAGCACAGCCTTAACTATATTCCTTGGGATGCCTCGTGGATGATGCCGATATCTGGTCTAGACCTTCCAAGACCTCGTGGCAATTATCTCTCATATTTGCATAAACTCAAATGTATGTAAATTGAAATGTATGTAAATTGAAATGTATGTAAATTGAAATGTATGTCACCCTATATCCATGATATACAAAAAAGTATATGTAGAGAAGAAAACAACAGATACAAGTCGAGAAATACCAGTCTCTCTTTTCCTCCAAACCCCCCCCTTCAAGTAAACGCCAATGCTCTTTCAAACCCATAAACAAGAAAGAAAAACGCCATATAGCCTCCTACCGAGGACCTGAGATCATCTGAATCGTAAATCGAAATATATGCAAAACGTAAAGGAGTGATATGTGATATGTGAATCATGCATCATGCAGTAGACGGCGTAAGATGGACGGCCGCCGGAGCCGCCGGAGAAGGCGCAGGATCCGCGTCAGATGTCTCACCGGCACCGTGAGCGCGCGTTCGGATGCGGAAGCGATCGCGTAGTCGGGTGGTCAGACCACGGTGTGGTCCTTCTTCCGGCACGGAGTCGACTTGGTTTGCTTCACGGACGCGTCGCAGCGCGGCGAGACGCTCCTCGACGGTAGCGTCGCGCATTCGTCGGGCGTTGAGGGGTCCGTGCAGGTAGTTGGTCAGACGGCGATGCGTGTGGCGGGCTTGCTGACGGGCTTGCTGGCGGGCGTCTTCCGTGGTTAGAACTGCCCCTTCTGGGTGTGGTTGGTCGGCTTGGTCGGCATTTTCATCGGTCTGCTCTGGATTTTCGGACTGGGGTGGGTTGAGGTCGATACGGCTGGAATATGGTTAGTGTGGTTCATGTATAGTTTGATACACTATCAATATCATCAAATGGAACGTACCAAAGGGGACAGGTGCCGGAAACATTCATCAACCATGGATCAATGCATTCCATGTGGAATTGGTGGTTACAGGGCAGTACACGTAGGTCTTGGCCCTTGATGAAGTCATCTGTACAAATCGGACACGAGAAGTTACCTGCATCGGGCATCTCGGTCTTGGCTTCGGGGGCTGTGGGAGTGGGGCGCTCGTTATCTGGGGTTGGCATCTCGGTTTCGCGGGGTGTCGATACCCCAGTGTTTCCATCGGCCTGTGAGTGGTCACGAGGAGCATCGTCACCCATGGACATCTCGACGTCTCTTTTAGCCGCCTCCACGTCATCATTTTTGTCATCAAACTTGACAACTGGGATGGTATCCAACATGGCTCGAGCTATACCTCGAGCTCGGCTTTGTCGGACTCGTCCGGCAATTCGGCGAGGGCCATATCGCTCTGGATGGCGATGAGCCCGGACTGCACCTGTGATGATGATTCCTAGGAACAGGGCGGTGATGATGCCGGTGATACTGTACAGGATGATCATGGCTAGGGGAAGGTCAACAGACTGGAAGGTAGAGAAAAGTCGGGAGACGAACCAGTGTTTGGACTGTCAGTCGTGCTACCGGCATCTTGGTCGGTAGGAACACCTCCAATGTAGTTGGACATTGAGGCGATGCTGATAGTTGTTGGTTGATCGAAAGCACGGAGTAGGGCAGAATAGCCGGTTCGGCTTGTAAATGTGAAGATATTGGGAAAGCGTGCAGCGGTCTGATCATCGGAAGTGAAATTACAGCCGGTAGCTGTTTTACTGTATAACAGAATGCCAGCAGCAGATTGAGCAGAGGTGACGTATTCAATTGTCTCGTCAGCTCGGATATTTCCGGTATAGTCGTCCTGGTCACAAGATATACAAGCAATCTGCGACCTTTGTAAATTGAGAGAATTGCCTGGAGTAACTTGAGTGGCAGTGCCAGAAAAATTAAAGGCCTGAGATGTTAGCAGTGCCCCATTCGAACAATGGGAGCGTCAAGCACCTTGAGTCGGGCCGTAGTCGCTTCAATCAGCAATGGGGTCAAGGGGACAAGCTTCTGGCCAGTCAAATTGGTTCCCTCAATACGAAATCCAGTGGATTGAATGTGGATGTCGGTAGTATTTGATGGCAACGAAACCACCAGTGCATTCACTGAAATGAACAAGAGAAAGAAAAGAGATAGCCCCATGACGGGAGACGGCGGATGGAATAATGTGGGGGTCACATTAGTCAAATGCAGAAGAAGAGAGAGAAACCGGGAAAACCGAAAAAGTGAGGGGAGATCGGCCCTAAATCTCCTTTGGGGGGATCAAAGCGGAGAAAAAAAGATTAGGATATCCTATTTATTCATATATTATAAATTGCATTGTCTGCTTACTTTTTATTATCTTTCAATTTGATTCAATTTGATTCAATTTGATTATGTGTATATGGCTATTCGGTTTGACTACTTTACTATATCCGTGGACCCTAAACTTATAATGCATCGACGATCGCTGTGGACAAATATTAACGTCATCGCTGGACCTACTCCATATTATTCACAATCGTGAATAATCGCTCTCGTATTCGTTCTACAAAGTATTCGCCCAACTTGCCCGTTTCACTTTCTCTTACGCTTCCATCCCCCCCCCCGGGAGACAGTTAATCTGATCATCCCCACGGTCACTAGATTTCTTCAACTCCAGGATTATCGTTGTACGATCAACGCTCCCCGCAGATACTACATAGTCGGATTGGACATTAAGTCGACGCAACCCCCGTGTACTTTTGACCCACCAAGGGAAAGAGAGGGAAAAAAAAGCAAAGAAGAGGGGGTGAGCTCTCAAAATGGACCAACAACCAAAACCTTATCAAGTTCTTTGATGTCTTTCTCTAATTCTCCAAACCGAGGATGAAACCTGGAGACGCGAACACCCGGGGAGAGGAGTGTTTTAAGTAAAGTGTGTCCAGAACTAGTCCCCGCTTTATATAGAGATAGACTGGTATAGAGTGATATATACTCTTTGGACTTGTTATTATACTCTATCTCTTATAACTTATGACTTATGACTTATAATATAACCCTATGTTCTATCAAATGTTTAGAATGTTACAAAATGTTCATTTTCCCCGGAGGGCCTCGGCTCTCATCAGGCCCGGAGTGCATTTCTTAGTCCGTACTGTGGGAGGAAAAAAAAAAAAACAAAAACAAAAACAGCAAAAAAACACAGAAAGGAAAAAAACCGAAAAATAAAGTGAAATAAACTCAGATAAGACATGCTCTAGAATCACCTTAACAGTAAAAAAAACCATACCAAAAAAAAAAAGTATTAATAGTAACATCTTTCTCTTCTCTTTTTAGCTTTTTAGCTCCCCCTCTCTCTTTCTAAGCGGTAAAACCCGCCTCTTCTTTTCCTTCCCTTTTCATCCTTTTTAGGACATGTCGTGAAAGAAACCACTTTGTCTTTATCCAAGTGGCATCATGCCTGAGACTGCGGCCTGGCAACACCGCTTTGACGGGAAGCCAATCTCAACGTAAGCCATAGACTTCGTGGCATATAGTCTCTCTAACCCCCGTATTCTCCCCCAGAATCCCCGCCATCGCCGAACTCGATATCGAACGGAATGAGTTGGCCCACACCTGGAAACGGTTTATCAGCCTCCTCCTACCCCAGGATCAGGTCCAATGGGAGGAACGGCCACAAACGGTACTCGATGTCCAGACCTTGCTCAGCAATATCAAAGCATTTTGGATGGCCCGGCCTCGACAACGGGTCTTTAGTGACTCCATGGACTTGTGTGATCGACTCCTCCCGACTGTCGACACTCACGCGACCCTCCTTTCTACCCTTCCAGACCCTATGGCCTATACCCCCTTATTCTACGGAGTCCTGCAATCAGTGATCAAGGTGTGTGGAATGATACACAGTTTTCTTCGTCGCTAACATACCGCTCAGGCATCGTCTCATTACCCACGGGTAATGGAGGGCTTAGCTACTGCCCTGCTAAATATTCACGATGCTCTAGGTCTTCCTAACGATTCGAGCGTACTATCCAACGCTGTCGAACATATTACGAAAACCTACGCTCTAATATTCTTCTTTTTGACCGAATTCATGGACTGGTATGTTCGAAGGTCCACGTGCCAGTTGCTTAATATGCACAGCCAGGATGTGTACTCGGAATTTCACCACCTGGTCCTCTATATACAACTGCAAGCACAGAACCTTCCATGGCAGCACGTGGCAATGGAAGTCGACGAGGAGGAGGAGGAGGACCCGGAGAGCCCTAGGGCACTTTGGGAGAAGTCCCGGCTCAGCCAAGTAGGACGCCGAGGGAAAGACCGTCGGATAGCGGCACAAAATACCATCACCCGACGGCTCATCTGGGAGATTCAGCAAGACGCAGAGGAGCGTATTCGGTATAGGGAGGGTCGGGATCGGTTGTTGGCAGAGACATTGAGTTCTGTGCGCGAGCAACTGGAGCCCGTCAGTGAACAAAGTGATGGCATTGTTTGCATAACCACGCCTCCAGCTCCAAATATAGGTAGGAAGCCAATACGCATTTTGCATACTTCCACCATCTAACGCAACTTGATAGACACATCCTCTTTCGAATGGTCGAGGGGATCCAAGCGTCGCCTCGCACGACTCGAAATCCAAAGCTCATCCAAACATCTCCAGGACTTCTTCGATAGTGACGATCAGATTTGCGACTACGAACCCGATGTCAAGGTCCTTGCCGAGGGTAGTATCGTTGCATCTCTACAACAATGGGCCACCAGTTCGCGATCTCAGGCCCTAGCCGTGGGAGGGACTCAACCTACCGCCTCCCTCGACCCGGTGGCTCTAATTTCAGCCTGCTACGCCTCCTTCGCACGTCAAGCTCGATTACCCGTCGTCTCTCATTTCTGCGCCCTTCCTGACCAGGAAGCCAAAGGGCTGAGTCTACAGGAGCAAGGCTTAGTCGCCCTCACCTACAGTATAATCCGGCAATTAATCGACTGGCTCCCTCCTCTAGTCGACAGCGACGCTGTACTGGATCTCAGCGCCGAGCGGTTCCGCCAACTAGACGGAACTCTCACCAGCTGGAAAGCCGCTCTATCGCTAGTCGACACCCTCTTACAATCCGCCCCACCACTCCTGGTCTTTATAATCGACGGCCTAGACGCCATCCACAATCCGTCTACGGACGCTGCAGTCCGCGACCTTGTCCGCGTCCTGCTCACACACACCCGGCGCCAACCACAAGGCGGTCTCAACGGCCAGGGCCCTACTCTCCTCCTGAAGGTTCTCTTCACCGTTACCGGAAGACCGAGTGCCCTGCTCGAGACCATGTCGGAACACACTCTCATCCTCACTGAAACCCAAACAAACCAACCCACACCGTCCGAATCGGTCCTCACATCGGATCTCGGAGCGGTCATGATGAATGCATGAATTGCCACGGATGGCCCAGTGGCCCAGTCACGCACCGTTTACGAAATTCTTTTCTGCTCCTGCTTTTCTGTTCTTAAAAAAGACGTTTGATTTTGAAATTCAAGCATAGATTTGCGTGGGTTGGGATTATTTGGATCTTATGAAACAGGCACACACACACGGATGCCATTTATTTTATGCATGAGCTTTTGTTTGGGTCTTTTTTACGAGACATGAAGGCTTTCCTGCGCGAGGCGTTCTCCTGTTGCTTTTTTGGCGTCCGGGAGGACTGAATGGTTTATTTGGCTTTTTTTTTTTTTTGTGCTTCAGTGGTAGCGGTAGACCTGTACTATACTGCTTAGCTGTGATACCCATCTAGGTCTAGAATTTTTTTTGCTATTATTTTCGACCTCACTCTTTTACGGAAACCCTTTTCCGAGTCACAACTCGGTGTCCAGTATCTCCGACTTAAAATGCGGGGAGCCGATGGACATTAATTTCCGCCCAAAAAATATTTAAACGGTAAATCGAAGGCACTGGGATACACATATTTACCCCCTAATATATGTGGTTTACGGAAGTACGATATAAGCAATCATGAACAGCCACCGAGTTTCCTCCCGTCTCTATTCCCCCTCCACCCCCCAACTCTCCGAATTCAAAGACATCTGCTCGCAAACCACAAACCCAGAAACCTACCCACTAGCCAGCGAAGTCCAATCCAACATCCCCATCTACGACCTCGCTGCCCTCGAATCCACAGGCCTAACAGCAGACTTAATCAACCGCCTCCAAGATGAATGGCACCACATCCTCCACACAGGCCCAGGCGTCTACGTGCTACGCTCAATGTACGCACCTACAAAATACGAAACAACCCTAAACAGCACAAACACCGCCTTCAACGCGATCATTGCCCGCGAAGCCGCACAATCAGACACCAAGAAAGGCGACCACTTCGCTGTAGGCGGCGCAAACGATCGTATCTGGAACGCGTTCTCAAAACACGGCCTCCAAGACCCATCCTCCTTCATCGACTACTACTCAAATCCATGGCTAGCAGCAGTCTCTGAGTCCTGGCTGGGTCCAGCATACCGCGTCACAGCCCAAGTCAACGCCGTGCACCCGGGCGGTGCTGCGCAGGAAGCACATCGCGACTACCATCTCGGTTTCCAGGAAGAAGTGGCCTGCAAGCGCTACCCGGCTGCGACGCAGCTCACATCGCAGTTCCTGACACTGCAGGGCGCGGTCGCGCATAGCGATATGCCCATCGAGAGCGGGCCAACTCGTTTCTTGCCTTTCAGTCAGACATACAGACCTGGGTATCTGGCGTGGCGCAAGCCTGAATTCCGTGCTTTCTTCCAGGAGAGTTATGTTGCGCTTCCGTTGAAGTTTGGGGATGGGTTGTTTTTTAATCCGGCGCTTTTCCATGCTGCTGGTGAGAACCAGATGGACCCTGAGGATGGGGGATTCCGACGTGTTGCAAATTTGCTGCAAATTAGTAGTGCGTTTGGGAAGCCTATGGAGACGGTTGATTCGGTGCCGCTTGTTGATGCCACTTGGGATCTGCTGGTTGCGCGGTTCCAGGTTGCTGGGGGTTTAGCGGGACAGGAACTTGATCCTGAGACACATTCGATGGAGCAGAGGGGGATTAGGGCTTTTGTGCAGGCTGTTGCGGAGGGGTATCCTTTCCCTACGAATTTAGATCAGAGGCCGCCGGGGCTGGGTGGTATGGCGCCGGAGAGTGAACAGGATATTGTTGTACGAGGGTTGGAGGGTGGTTGGGATAGGAAGCAGGTTGTTGCTGTGCTGGAGAAGATGCATGTTGACTCGCGAGCGTAATGGCGTAAAACAGGGTTTTCTCACCCCTGCGCACCATAAAATATATTAATCTGTGCATCTGATGCATCTAGAATGTGCTTCCCGTTGGCTAGCTGAATACTCCGTAGACTCGTTTGATCTCAAGCCACCCGCTGATTGGGGCTGTTCATTGGATGATCAGACACATCGAGATGTGGGGTTGTAGTGGACCTGCATCCATGTCGGCATTCGCGTTCCTGTTTGGGGGGGACAGATAGATTGCAGGTGTTAGGGGAACTTCGTATAGGGCGGAATGGAGAAGGTCCCCAGTTAATCTAGAGTCGATCGGGAATAAGGACATGGACTAAGAAAAGGGACAACGAATGATGAGGCTGGAAGGATTCCACAGGGGGGAAGAAGGCGGTCTCACATTTTTGCCCGTTCCCCCCAACGGGTCCTGCTGAAACACGGCATGTCCGATGAGTCCATGGGTTCGCGTTTTCTTCTTTTAAGTCTTTGGTCTTCCTTTCTCTTACTTGACACTCTTTTAGATTCAGTCATTCGTTTACTGTACATACATTTGCAGTTTTTGGATCATCTTACACTAATCCAATTCGATCTGCATCTCCACAAACTTCTTGACCATTGACATTGGACGATCAACTCCCGAAGTCCACACACACTGGTCCGGCAATCGTAGCCACCCATAGCCGGTAGCTATCACGAGAAAAAAAAAACTGCGGCTGCGGAGTTTTTTGATTTACCCGCCGAGGGGGAGGCGAAAAACGTCAGGGCTACGAACCGTTGTGTGCTATAACAGGTACTATTTTTTTCGCGTGTCTCCACCATAGACACGAAGGCCCCCCCAATCGAAACCATTGGTTTTAGGGGCGGATCTGCACCGACACAATAAAGGCCCTGCCTGCCCTCCGAGCTCCTTGCGATGGGAAGTTCGAGTCTTTCAACCAGGCGACTGACGGCTCATCGATTTGAGCAACTACACGACATGCCGGATCATGGCAATGGGATGTTGAATCCCAACGACGTCACCATTGACATCCCGTTAACGGAGACCACTTCCCGTGGTCAGACGGGCGCCCGTAAATGGAACACCAATACCAGCCCCGATGATGGTACCTCGCACGCCACGGAGAAGGAACCTATTGTTGGTCACCACCACCACCACCATCATCGTGGTCCTGGCGGCAGGCGTCGTACGGATACCGATATCAATGAATTGTCCGGAAAGCCTGCTGTAGCGCCCGAGGACGGCACTATCAACCGTATGGGTCGTTTCTACCAAGCTGTCCTGAATTACTCCCTCATCACTCGTTACCTGATTTATGTTATCCCCATTGCGATTTTGATCGCGATTCCAATCATTGTTGGCGCTACAGTTGCGCAGGACGCCAAAATTGGCGGTGTCCATATTTACTGGTTCTTTACTTGGATTGAGATCATCTGGTTCAGTCTATGGACGTCCAAGATCTTCGCCCGTTACATTCCTTATTTCTTCCAGTTCTTGTGCGGTATCGTCAGCTCTGGTACCCGCAAGTATGCCCTTATTCTGCGCGCCCTCGAGACCCCTATTGCGCTTTTGATCTGGGCTATTATTTCCCTTGTGACATTCCTGCCGGTTATGAACATGACTCCTGGTAAAAGGGCATCCGGCGATACGTCTCCCAATTCGTGGGAGAAAAGCGTCAAGAATATCTTGTTTGCGCTGCTCGTCTGCAGTCTCATCTACCTGGTCGAGAAAGCTCTTGTGCAGCTCATCTCGATCAGTTACCACCGCAAACAGTTCGACGCCAAGATTCAGATCTCCAAGCGCAATGTGCACTTGGTCACTCTTCTCTTCGATGCTTCGCGCAACATGTTCCCCGTGTACTGCCCTGAATTCAAGGAGGAGGACTCACTCATCTTCGACTCCATCTTGGCTCAGGCCGGCACCAAGGGTGGCAAGCGGTCTTCCGCTATGCCCCTCCGTATGCTACGTCATGTCGGCAAGAACGTCGGCCGTGTTGGCGACAAGGTCACCGCCGCCTTTGGACACGTGGCATCGGAGCTTACTGGTAAGCAAGTGTTTAACCCGACTGCGACCCACACCATGGTTATCGAGGCCCTTGAGCGCAAGCGCCATGCTGCTGCTCTGGCCCGCCGTATCTGGATGTCGTTTGTGGTCGAGGGCCGTGACGCCCTGTTCATGGATGACATCGTTGAGGTCCTGGGCGCTGAACACGAGGCTGAGGCCGAGGAGTGCTTTATGGCTCTTGACAAGGATGGCAACGGTGATATCAGTCTTGACGAGATGGTCCTGACCATAACTGAGTTTGGACGCATGAGAAAGGCCCTGAACCATAGCATGCACGATGTCGATCAGGCTATCCGTGTGCTTGACAACCTGCTCATGTGTGTTGCGGGCTTGGTTGGTGTTCTTGTCTTCATTTCTTTCGTCACCACTGGATTCGGTACCGTCATTGCAGCCGGCGCCACCTCGCTGCTCTCCCTTAGTTTCGTCTTCTCCGTTACCGCTCAAGAAGTCCTCGGTTCCTGTATCTTCCTCTTCGTTAAGCATCCCTTCGACATCGGCGACCGTGTCGAGGTCGGCGACAAGCCTTTCATCGTTGAGCGTATTTCGCTTCTTTTCACTGTCTTCCGCAATGTTACCGATGCCCGCATCACGCAGGTGCCTAACAACATCTTGAACAGTCTATGGGTTGACAACTTCACTCGCGCCAAGGCTATGCATGAACAGCTTATCATCCCCGTAGCGTTCGACACCACCTTCGCTGAGGTTCAATTACTGCGCCAGGAGATGGAGAACTTCGTTCGCGACAAGGATAACTGCCGTGACTTCCAGCGGGATGTCGACATTGAGCTTGATGGCGTTGGTGATATGGACAAGCTCCAGCTGCGTGTTGACATCCGTCACAAGTCCAACTGGTCTAACGAGACTATTCGCGCTGCCCGGCGATCCAAGTTCCTGTGTGCTTTGGTTCTAGCCGTCCGCAAGATCCAGGTTCGCGGTCCAGGTGTTGAAGTTCCCGCAGAAGAGACTGCCGACGCGGCAGATGGCGATGACAAGGGTGACGATGCTGGTGCCGGTGCAGGCGCAGGCCGCCGCAAGTCTACCCAGGGCGGCGGCGTCGACTCCACCAAGCCTGACCCCGCTGTCGCCGCTGCTGCTGCAGGTATCCTCAACTACGAGAACACAGCGCAATCAACAGGATATGACCAGGCCCGTTCAGGAACTGTCACCCACCGCGGATCCACCCACACCAACGCTGAGCGCGAAGCCGCCATCGTGGAAATGCTCAACGCTCGCCCCCCAACCGTTGATATCAGCCGTGACCACAACGGCAGCCACGAGGACGCCCTTCAACGCACTACTACCAACACCTCCAACCAAGGCAACCAGCTCAACGTGCACACCGGAGGTGAAGGCCTCAACCGCGGCCTGTCAACCGGCCACCGCAAGGCCGGTGATCGCGTCTCTTACAGCGAGCAGGATATCCACCCCGCGCACAGAAATGCCCCTCTCTCCCCTGTCCCCGCCGGCATGACCCCATCATCAAGCCAAGTGCCCATCCTCGAGACCCCCAAGCCAGGCTCCCGTGGCAGCGCGCGCTACGAGCCCCGTCCTCACTCAGGCCAGGATCAAAACCAGAGCACAGTCCAGATGGTGGGCTCCCCAGACCCAAACCCCTTCAACGGCTATTACGCCCATGACACGGGGTACAATCACATTCCGGTCGGCGGCTACAGTGCCGAGAACACACCGGGACGCGACCGTCGCGATTCGAACCCGAACATCTCCGGCGTGACGGCGAACAGCAACTACCAGCTCTCTGACCCCTATGACCCCGTCTCGCCACCATCCATCTACTCTCCACCACAGTCGACGGTCCCACAGCAGGCTGCGAATACCTACAACACTGCTCCGCTGAGGAAGAAGGATAAATCTCCTTATGGGGAGCATGAGGCTTGATTGTTTTCTTCTGTTTTTTTTTGTATCACTGATTCTCCTTGATTACCCAATCTTGGCTACCTACATTTTTTCCTTCTTCTTGGGTTGTTCATATTATGGTTGTGATGTCGATAGATTCTTTTCTCTGCGTTTTTTGAGCCGCATAAAAAATTCCGACCCTTCGTGGTGTGTGGTTACGAAGATATGCTATTCCCGATTTTTGGGGTTTTAACATCAAATCTACTTTCTTTTTTTTTTCCCTTCACTCTTCTGCTGTGACGGTTTTCACTCCATCACTATTGGATCTACTGATGCCTGGGGTTTAGTCTTCTTAACAGAGACAATAGGAACATATGATATTCGGGATGTATGCTTCCTATCAACAGAGAGCTGCGAAATACTACATAGTTGATAATGGCCGAACCATTTTAATGAAAATTTCGAGTAGAGAAACAGATAATATTCCCATAATCTAACACATATCGAACAGAATTCATATAATACAAGTCTGAGTCTAGGTAAAAGTCAAAGCCCAGCTATCCATCATCCAACGCTCCTAGCGAGCCTATTTACCTCCACTCTCCTTCCACGGATATCCAACAGGATCATCCTTCCGCGTCCAGATCTTAGTCTTCCTCTTATTAACCACATGCTCAACAAACACCTCACGCGTGTACTTGGCCTTGTACTTGCGTATCCAGCGCGGGTCCCACAATTCGCTCGCAATGCCTAGATCCTTGCAGCAGCGCACGAGCGCATTAGATCGACAGCCTTCGGTGGCGGTGGGGATTCCGTCTGGGGAGAAGTAGTCCTGTTCGCCACGGGCGACGGAGACGAGGCTGTAGTGAGAGAAATGTGTTAGCTGAGCGTTCTTGTTATAGTTCTAGTTCCCAATACAAGCGAGGCGGTATTTCGATCAAGTCTGGTAGACAAGATTCTGAAGAAAAAAAAAGGGGGAAATGTATATGTGCTTACCGTCCATTACAAACAAGAGCATACTCCCTCGTCACCGTCTTCGGCGTAACGATACTCTCACTCCGCGGCACGAGACCCCACCCACCAGGACCAAACGCGCGGTTGAGAATCCGTCGGTATTTGATTTCTGGTAGGTAGAGGATTCCATCGGGCTTGATCTCGATCTCGTCCGGATCCATCTCCGCCAGCAGGATATCGGCCGCTTCTTTGGGGAACGGTGTGGCAGACAGGCCATGGAATGAGCGCGTCCAGTCAATCTTATCTTCGACTGGGTTATCGAGCTCGAGGGGCTTGTCTGATAGGCCTGTTTTGGAGATGTTCTCGGTTGTTGCGCGGCTGGGGGTGGAGTTTGGGATGCGGGATGCGGGGACGCCGGTTGGGATAGGTGTTGAAGCTGAGAGGGAGGGCTTTGTGGCGGGAGATGCTGGTGAGGGTTTGGCGATGGGTTGGTTGGCCTGGTTTTTGGTGGTGTAGCTGATTGCTCTCTTGGTCATGGGGTTGGAGAGCTGGCTGGTCCGTAAACTGGGCGCTCTTGAGGAGCGCAAAAGCTGTGTCGCATTTTGGAGAGTCTCAATGGCCCGCCAGGACCGGATACGAAGAGGAGCTGACATCGTGGCTTGTATTATTGATAGTGGAAGGAGGAGGGAAGCCTTGCAACGAGGCGAATATATGTGGTCACGTGATATACTGTTGATAGCCTCGTTCTCGTCAATGCTGGGTTAATCGGGGAAATATTGAGTAGAATTGGTTGCAAGAAACTGTTTAAACATGGTATTATGGATGAGTAGAGTACATTATGCGTCTTTGGTCTGTGTTCGCTGGTCGTTGCCCTGGCGCTTCCAGCACTCGCGGAAAGCTTCCATCTGTGTTGATCAGAGTCAGTATGATAAGGCTAATTGAAGCTTTTTGCTAGTGCTTCGATTCATTGTGCTTTAAAGAAGTGGTATGATGATCATTGTAGAACTGGCCCTCCAATGGCTTCAGGTGGAATGATATATGTTCAGTTTGGTGGATATTGTAGCTCACCTCTTTTTTACATTCGCGCCAGTCTTTCTTTGCGAAGTAGCAGTCATTCATCTTATCCTGCTCAGCTGATACTTGTTAGTATGTCATTCGTGACTCGAATTGAGTATAACTTACTATGGCAGCCTGTGCTGAAGATCCGCTTGTCCCTGTCATTGTAGTTAGCACCGCGCAGACTATACAACTTCAAAATGCCTCACCAGTCATCTGGCTCATCGTCATCCGGAATAACAGCTGTCTTCTCCACGTTGTTCGACATGGTTGAGGTATGGTAAGGAAAGTTGGAGCAAGGCGGTTGGCCTCGGCGGATGGAACTATCTTATCGCACCGATTTCCCTCTGCAACGAAACAACAATGGCAACGCCAACGGGCAACAATGCCAATTTCGCTGGCAAAAAGCTCAATGTTCTAGTTTATACCGGTTCGCTCAATTTACTCAGCCTACCAGCTCAGCCATTTTCTGACCAACAACTTCTCCACAGGAAATGGAACGACCGTTGACTCAGTCCGGCACTGCCTCTACACCCTCCGCCGCCTGCTCTCTCACCACTATGCGGTCATCCCTGTAACGGGAGATATGCTCCTAAAGGAGCCATGGATGACTACGTGTGCTATGCTGGTCATGCCCGGCGGCGCGGATATGGGATACTGTACCACACTCAATGGTGCGGGGAACCGGCGCATCGCGCAATTTGTCCGCAACGGCGGGCGATACCTCGGTCTGTGTGCTGGTGGCTACTACGGAAGCAAGAGTTGCGAGTTCGAGGTCGGCGACAAGACAATGGAGGTTGTTGGAGATCGCGAATTGGCTTTCTATCCGGGCATCTGTCGGGGCGGGGCATTCCCGGGCTTCGTTTACCACAGCGAGGAGGGGGCACGCGCTGCAGGACTCGAAGTGGCCAAGGAGGCTTTGAGAATTGGCAATGTACCAACCAACTTTAAGTCGTACTACAATGGCGGTGGTGTCTTCGTTGATGCGCCCTTGCTCGCAGACAAAGGGGTAGAGGTTCTCGCGAGCTACACTGAAAAGCTGAATGTCGACCCAGGGGGAGGGTGCGGCTGCCGTTGTCTATTGCAAAGTCGGCAGTGGAGCAGCGGTCTTGACCGGACCTCATCCTGAGTATGTTTTGGATTTCAATTGGCAGGATTGAGTCACTGACATGTGAACTAGATTTGCGGCTGCCAATCTGGACCCGAAGGCGGGCGGGTCTGAATATGCGGACATGGTTGCGTCTCTCGCTGCCGATGACAAGGAACGGACGGACTTCTTGAAGGCTTGTCTGTCCAAACTTGGGCTTGAGGTCACACAGGACACGACAACAGTGCCTTCACTGTCGTCCTTGCACATGTCTGGAATCGATGCTGATGGTCCCATGGATATCCTTTCGGGCCTTGGAGCTTCATTCACCCAAGAGGGTCAGACAGAGTATCTCAAAGACGACCACGATACGTTCCGCATTGAACGCCCTGGAACATGGAATCTTGGTGAACTAGAAGAATCGCTCCCCGCAGCATCCTCGGAGCCCAGCGAGGGTATCGTTGATTACCAGGCAATCATCAAGCGACTTGTGTTCCACGATGATATCCCATCTTCGAAACTGACCCCATACTTCAACCATCATTCATTCTATGCTCACCTCCGCCAATACCAATCCGAGTCCAAGGGAGAAGCTACAACATTTGGCTCCAATCTCTTATATGGAGAGGTAGTGACTAGCACGAACACAGTTCTTGAAAAGTAAGCATTTCGTTCGATACGTCTGGTGTTGGTCGGCTCTAACAAGCAGCAGGAACATGAAGCTGCTTCGTCAGTTGCCACAAGGATTTACGGCTACGGCCACAGCACAAATCGCTGGACGGGGACGCGGGTCCAATGTCTGGGTCTCACCAGCAGGCTCTCTGATCTTTTCAACTGTAGTGCGACACCCAATGGACAAGATTCAGTCGGCACCAGTTCAGTTCCTCCAGTACCTATCAGCCATGGCGGTTGTCAGGGGAATCAAGAATTACGCCAAAGGCTACGAGAAGATCCCGGTCAAGCTAAAATGGCCAAACGATATCTGTACGTGCCGGGTGGTTTATTTTATCCATTTATAACTAGGGCCGTTTACTAATAACAAATCACTACAGATGCACTGGATCCAGATGACCCCGAACAGAAACGATACACGAAGATTTGCGGCATTCTTATCAACTCCCATTTCATGTCAAACGAGTACATCTCCGTCGTCGGTATCGGTGTCAATGCCACCAACGCCTCTCCGACAACCGCTTTGACCACCCTCGCGGCACGCTACGCATCCCCAGGCGCTGCTGCCGCCTCACCTGTCACGCTCGAGAGGCTGCTGGCTCGTATTTTGACTACTTTTGAAGCCTTGTATACCCGCTTCTTGCGCACAGGCTTTGATAGAGGCTTTGAGGCTATGTATTATGAAGACTGGCTACACATGCACCAGATTGTCACGCTGGAGGAGGAGGGCGGTGCTCGCGCTCGCATTCAGGGTATCACCCGTGACTTTGGTCTTTTGCTGGCTGAGGAGTTGGGGTGGAATGATCGTCCAACGGGACGTGTGTGGCAGTTGCAGAGTGATAGTAACAGCTTTGACTTCTTCCGTGGGTTGTTAAAGCGGAAGGTATAGATCAACCCAAAATAGGTAAATAGATCGAAATATTCATGTCTATAGATACTGATCTATTCTGATTTTCATCAACATTTTAGAGAATTGATTTCTTAGACATTCGACTTCTCATTTTTATATTAATGTGTGCATTGAGCCTCTGGTCTATCGTGATTGCAGATCAAGTGTTGGTTTCGGCAGCTAGCATCTCCGTTCCGACATTAACCCATCGAGCTTGTAGTCCGCGGGCCCTCATCAGCGCTTTGAGTCCCTTGCGAGCCATAAACCTCCAGGGCAGTAAACAACACATGCACCACGAAAACCTGGGATATTTGCAGCTGCTTTCGATTGCCGGGGGAACCAGTAAAGAGACTGGAAAAGGTTAAATGTCAACAAACTATGTGTTGAGACATAACTAGCAAGCACGGATTTGACAGGAAATTAGCTAGACAAAATAACCGTCAAGCAGTCGCAGCTCATGGGTTATGAACTTTGTCAGGCTCTCTTGAGAGGAGTCAAGACCAAATATTGCTAGTCGAAATCATAACACCAATATGCTTGATTGCACACGCATCCCCTATTCCACTGTTGACATAAAGATATGCCCACTCTCCGCAAGATACACAGTTTCTAGTCCGAGTTGTTGACCCTGGTAGTACCCAATTCCGATCTCCCATCTGGGGTCAGGTAGAGGCCCCGCTCTTTATAAATGACATCAAAGTCCCTTCAATATGAGCCTGCTTTCCCAGACAACTCCCCAATCGGGTTTGATATATAGAATGGTTATATGCACTCAAAAAGGATATGCGAGGTTGGTATATAAGACACAGTGTCAAGTCATCGACTCGGCCCAGGAGACCCATCGTCGAATACACTCATCCACCCTTTTTAGCGACTCCTTCGCCGCCTCGACCTCAAACCATTCCCGATGCTCCTTCCCACACTCAGGACACTGTCCTAAGTCTCGCACACGTAGGGCCGCCAGCTCTAGGTGAATGAGTCGTTCCACACGGTGCACATGCGGGACTTTCCTTCCTGGTACTAAAGAGGCCGAAGGGGCCCTGTTCCGGCTATTGTGGGATGGCGGCACCCTAGCAGGGGAGGAGGAAGAAGACGATGGTGTGTAAGGGTAATAACGGATCAAAGTCAAGTCGTATGAGCACTGTTTACTCCATTCTGCGAGTCGACGGTGCACATTGCTCGTGCGTCCAATTTTCAGCCTGAGCGTTCCGGGCGTTGTTGATGTTGGGTTGGAAGTGAGAGCGTTGAGGTCTTGTGCTGCACGGATTGCGTCGCTGACGCTGCGCGGCTGGGTGGGTGGGCGGAGGTGGTTGCTACTTTGAGGGGCTTGGGGTAGCAGGGAAGATGCTATGTCTCGCGGTACTGCGGTTTCAGCGCTCCGCTGTGTGGTAGTTGTTGGAGGTGTCACCCAGAACATATAGATATAGCCTTCGTCATCGGCGTTGGAGATGGGTTTGGCCAGTTCTGTGATAAGAATCGATGTTGTCTGTGGGGAGAGCGTCGACGGGATCCACGATAATAAGGCTTGTGTTTGCGAGGAAGAAGGATCACCCGTGTTTGACAAAGATGGCCGGGATGTTTGAGGAGTGGGTGACACTACTACATGCTGCGGCTTTCCGGCAGAGGCAGGCAGTTTGATCTTTTGGTTCGAACCGCCATTTGCCGGGGGAGGGGGTTTGGGCCGTTGAACTGAGGTGGGCCTGTCATCTTCGCCGCTATCCTCGACGATCTGGAAGCAACAGAAAGTGGTCTTTTTCTTCGGCCGACGCTTCTCACTCGGCCTACTTTGATTTGTCCGCCGTTTCTGGGGAGGCTTTGGCCTTTGGGAGACTGGATCATCATTTATTTCGAGCACACCCAGTCGATCCATTAGTGTATCGATGCTCGTCCTCGTCTTAGCCGGGGTGATAACAGTCGTATATGAATTCGACGAAGAATCTTGATCCTTGTGCTGCCAGCAGTACAAAGATGCCACATCTATAGCTTCTTGGCGAGGATCCTTCTTTCGAGGGGTAGAAGCAGCCGATGGATTTGGAGAGGCTAAAGAGCGGCGGCAGGGCCGGCCTTGGGCGGTTATGCCTCTACATGTTGTCGCTGGGTTTCGAGAATCTGAGCGAGGAAGCAAAGATTCTGGAGTATTTGAAATCTGAGGCATATGTGCAAGGAATCAAGCGAAAGAATAGTATAGATTGTTGCGACATGAACTTGTGAGGAAACTATTCAAGGCAAAAAAAGAGACTAGGCTCGACTGCGGTGAGCTTTCAGAATGCAGGCTAAAGGGCTACATATTCTCCACTTGGAACTTGGACCACGTCAGTGGGACAGGAGAAGGGAGATTTTGTTGTGTTGATGGTCAATGCACCGCCACAGTAAGGCGTTAGAAGTGGCGGTGTACGGCCCCACTCTCACATTCCGAGGTCATCCGCGGATGTTCCAGGTTATACTTGATTCCTACTTTCCATTCTCTTTCATTCAGTGTTTCAATTGTGTTTTAATTGTGTTTTAATTGAGCTAAATATAAAACATGTGTATCAAATCCTTTAATGCTTTGCAAACCAGGCCAGTGCCTGATTCTCCGCCTCATCAGCCTGTTTGCTCGCATCCTCCTGAACAAAGTCACCCCGGACACAGAAGCCATGGCCGGCGCCCTCATAAACCACAACTTCGCCATTCTTAGCTCCGGCCTCGCTGGCGAAGACTTGCTTTATCTGCTCGATTTGAGGAGGCTTCACAACCATATCTAGGCTCCCAAGCGCAAAACTAACAGGGATCTTGATCCTCTCAATATCGGTAGGGATCTCAAGGAAACTCGGATGGCCCGTAAACCCGGCATCAAGCAGCGGCTTTCCATTTGAGGCGACGTCCGCTCCGGCGGCTAGATTGACGATATGCATTCCGCCCCAGCAGAAACCAGCTCCATAGACGGGAAGCTCGGCGCCTTCGTTCTCACGTACGGACTTGAAGAAGTCCCTGACGACAGGCCCTGATACCGCGTACTTATTGTGGTACACGAAGGGCAGCATTCTTGACAGCATTGTGACTAGATAGTATCTATAACTTGAATTAGTGGCCGTTTTATATGAGCGGGAGCTAGGCATAACCGGGCGTTTGTTTGATCGGATCGACTTACGGCTTCACAAGCCAGCCTGTAAGCCCGCCCGCCCCAAACAACTGTTTTGAGGAGGCTATCATATCGGTCGGTGCCGCATGCCCTAATATTATACTTAGCGAGTTATCCTTGGGGGGTTCTCTGATGACAGTCACACTACATACCGTTCATGAATTCAGGAAGATACACGAGGTATTTTCCCTTTTCGGCGTAGTTGTCGGCCACGATTCGGTTGTTTACAAACTCCCAGCCGAAGGCGTCGGGCACTACGATGAGAATGCCCCGGTAAGGTGCATCGTTTAGAGGTTTGGTGGTATACACCGGTAAGCCATGGAGTGAGGTTACTTCACCACGAGGGGTGCCTTGGTGGATATAGCCACTAAAGCAATCAGGGCACGACATGTTGGAGACTTGTCTGATGATTGCAGGAGAAGTGCAAGAGATTTAAGTACTTTACTTAGGAACCCCCTTATCTTCGGGGGGCGTTCTTCGGGCGAATCGGCCATTCGTATAAAAGTTCCGAACAATATATACTACCTAGGTATCCACATTATATCGGTAGATGAGCCTGTGGACAAGCCGTGGACTGAAAGTCACTGGTTTGACATGTGATGGCAGCCTTGCAGCCTTCCAGCCTGAGGCATGAATGCTTCGCTCCTTCCTCACAGTCTCTCCTTCCTTCTCTCTTGACCTTCCATCTTTTCTCCTCCAATATGAAATTCATCGCTTCGAAGACAAGAGCCTGCCTTAAGATAGGCCGCGGTGTAATTTGATCGCAGCTCTTGTTGGAGCAGGGAAACAGATTCTGACAGCCTCCACCGGGAGAGGGATTCCTTCCCGGCCAATGTATTGTAGTTTCCTTAGGAATATCATCAGGCTCTTGTTGAAATCCTTCCATCGGATAGATTAGCTTCTTCATCGAATCCGAAGGATAGAGACCCTTCTGTAGCTTCCAATTGCCCCTAGTGATCGCCCAGTAAAATTCTACAGGGGGTTTCTCCCTACAGAGGCTTGGGTCAGACTCCGGTCTGTCAGGATCAAAATATCGGATCAGATGGAGTCGAGGTGCTGATAGCAGCCAGTCCTCGCTCCGATCTCTAGATTCACGCAGGAATCATAGGATGAAAGGATCATATCGAAGGGAGATTAGCCCTCTAGATAGATCTGATCTCTATTTAGCGGTACGGATCTAATGGTATATAATGGGATCGGATCAACATGAGTCGTCGAAAAATACTCTGGCTGTTGCTAAGACTTGCTACCAGCTGTAAGAGGCTGAACGCCCAGGGGAAGCAAAGATGATGATCTCATTGTCTGTTCATACGATTCACATCCACGATAATAATAGGGAGATTCATGATGACAACAGAGGAATTCACGATAACAAGGGGATCTTTCACAATTGCAATAACTACTAATTATACCGGTAGCTGTTCCTCTGTCCTGCAATCTCCCGTAAAGCCCGGCTGTCCCTAGCCAGCTGAGACTTCATCGCACAGATGCTATAGGTTTGATCGAGCCATTGTTTCGTGATATCATCCGATGGAGAAGAAGGAGCACGTAGCCCAAGAATTTTATCTGGACATAAAGGGAAGAATCTATGGCTATCTGTATCCAGATAGAACATGGCAAGTTCTACATCATGGAACATCCGAAGGAAATTTTGATTCGCTTTCGGGCTTGTGAAGAGACTACCCCAGCCAGCGAAGACGACTGTGACTTTCTTCACTGTGAGCCGGAAAAGAAAGGCCTATACGGCCTAGGACTCCAAACATAGCGCTATGGACGGATTGTTCGACGATCTCACCGCTTTATGTGTTTCGAGATTCAGTCTCGACGCATAGGACTGGCCACATCCACGGAAATCACATGGATACCGCTTGGGTTTGGCCGCGCTCTGCTAATGATATAGATTCGAGCAAGGACGACCTATACACGTGAACTGGTGGAAGAGTCAAGCGACGATGAGTCCAGCAAAGACGAAAACTCTATTAGGACAGAACTGCTTTTGCTGAGCATGAAGAGACCGAGCAGGCCCGCGATATCGAGTGATGGCACAAAGCTAAGACATGGAAACAGTTTGATGAGAAGACCCAGCCCAGCGACGAAGGCCGCCACAGAATGGCTCTTCTAAGCTTACCCCATGGTAAGCAGTGGCAACAGGAAGACCTCAATAGCCCGAAGGTCCTTATGATTGTCTTACGATCGGTGTACAATCGTATCCGTGGTGTTCAGGTGCTACACCTTGGCACTAGCATCCACATTAAGTACGACGAGGTCAGCACCAGTCAGCTTGGCCGGTTGGGAGAACTGTTCGAGCGGGGTGGGGGTTAGGAAGATGGGCGTTTAAGAAACAAATCAGGGCAAGGATTGCGCAAGATATTTCCTAGAGGCTTAATTTGTGAAAAATAACTTTTCGTATGAACTGGGACAGGAACTTAACAATTCTACACAAAAAGGCAATGTACAGCTTGGCAAAATCTATATTTCTATGTGATGTATTTCATAAGCACGTCTATAGCCTGGTGCCCATGTTCACATGAACCGCCTTAGTCTGGCTATATGCCTCCAGACCTGCCTCTCCCAACTCACGTCCAATACCACTCTGCTTCACGCCACCGAAAGGAATGCGCGGATCACAATCTTGGCTAGAGTTAATCCAGACCATACCGGACTCAATCTCAGCAGCCACACGATGAGCACGCTCCAAATCGCGCGTGAAGACAGACGCACCAAGGCCGTAAGTGGTATCGTTGGCCCGACGAATAGCTTCTTCTTCATCATTGAAGGGGAAGATCACTACGACAGGACCAAACACTTCTTCGCGGGCAATGCGCATCGAATCCGTTGCATTGACAATAACCGTAGGTTGAATAAAGTACCCATTCTTATTCTTCTCCTCAGTCGGCGTGTAGGCAGCACCGCCAGTGAGAATAGTAGCTCCCTCGCTCTTGGCGATTTCAAAGTAGGAAAGGATACGGTCATATTGCGCGCGTGTCACCTGCGGTCCGTGGAAGACGGACTCATCCCACTGGTCGCCGATCTTCACACTCTCAACTGCCGTCTTGTAACTAGCTGTGAATGCTTCGATGATGTCGCGGTGGACGAAGATCCGCGAGGTGGCGGTACAAATCTCGCCCTTGTTGGACATAATACCGCCATGCGACCACTTGACGGCCTGTTCCATATCCGCATCCGGGAAAACTAGCAGGGGGGACTTGCCGCCTGTTTCGAGCGTGATGTTCTTGAGTGTGCCAGCGGCCATCTTCATAATCTCCCGGGCGGTCATTGTGGATCCTGTGAATGCGACCTTATCGATCAATGGGTGCGAAGCGAGCGCGGCGCCGGCCTCGCGCCCGTAGCCGTTGACGATATTTACCACACCTGGGGGGAATCCAGCCTTCTTAATTAATGTACCGAGGATGAGAGCGCTGAGAGGTGTCTGCTCGGCTGGTTTCAGGACAACTGTGTTTCCACATGCTAGTGCAGGGCCAAGCTTCCAGGTGGCCATAGAAAGGGGATAGTTCCATGGAATGATCTGGCCAACTACACCGATGGGCTGGCGGATTGTGTAGGCGAATTTTTGGGGAGTTGTGTTGATGGTCTGGCCATATGTCTTATCAGCCCATCCACTGTAATAGCGAATTGTCGAGATTGCCTCGGTGAGATCTTCATCGAGGGCGACGTGGTAGGGTTTTCCTGACTTAAAATGAGCTAATTGTCTTTTTTTTTGGTAATTTCCAGGCCATACCATTATCCCAAGCTTCGATAGATGCAAACAGCTCTCTGTTCTCCTCCATGAGATCGGCGAGTCGTGCCATTAACTGGCCCCGCTCTGTGGCGGGAAGCAATTTCCATGAGGGGTGGACCAGGGCCGCTTTCGCAGCCTTGACGGCACGGTCAACATCTTCGGCGCTCGCTGCTTGGACTGTGGCAATAGGCTTGTCGGTACTAGACAATAGTTAGGGAGGTGTATACAGGAAGTTGCGATAATGACATACGCGGGGTCAAGAGATGTGATGGTCTGGCCTCCTGTGGCAGGTACAATCTCGTTGTTAATGAAGAGACCAGTGGGCTGCTTGTAGCTGTGCCCGTTAGGGGTGACGATATCAATGAAGAGGTCCATTTTGTTTTAACTGTGAGAAATTCCAACTCTTGCGGCGCGTGGGGTATATATGGCATTCCTCCAATGAGGTTAAGCCCCTTCAGGCAAGTCCTTCCGATATACTATCAGACTTACTCCCCGTGAATGTTAGTGATCTTAGTGGATAGAATATTGTCTCTCTCAATTTACCCTAATCTTAACATTCTTGGAGTATTCACGACCAATTTGTCCACGTAAACAGATTTTTAATTATCTGGTTATTCAGTAGGCATGACCTGGAGACACTCTTGAGGTCATGTCGGATTAAGGTGCGCGCTTGTTTCTTCTGTTAGCGCGCTCAGCCCTAACGTGTCGCTTGGAGGTACTTTTCTTTTCCCTCAAGCTCCGTTGTAACTAAATATATTTGTTGCAAGAATTGAATATGTCATAAATGCAAGACCAAGAAAAGATAAATAGGAGACGAACTAGCGTAGAAGCTCAACGAAGCTGAAAAGTGACGAAGCCTCTTCGGTCCAGGACCCCTCTATAGAAACAAGATGAGTCTTAACTAAGTATCCTAGTCAGTCCCAAAATGCATGTCTATGAAACGGTCGTTCAATTAAAGAGCACAAAACTAGAAGGAAAAAGCCCTGATACTGATGATGATGCATCCTAAATAGGAAGCTCGTCCCGATAAGGCAAGTCACTCCTCTACAACTCGGAATGGATACAGATATGTATAGTTATGAATATAGAAACGGTAAGAGATTCCATAACCAACCCAACTATATCTAGATCACGACCACTTCATCCAATTCTACCATATTCACCATCTCTCCCAACCAAATAACCAAAGCATCTCTTCCTCTATACTCTATACCTCTCCACAACCTCCAAAATGGCCTCCCTCCACGGAATCATGGTGGCCCTGATCACCCCCTTCACAGACGACAAGACTGCAATCGACGAAGGCCGTCTCCAAGCACACATCGAGCACCTAATCACAGCAGGTGTGCACGGCCTCGTCCCAGGCGGCAGCACAGGCGAATTCACCACAATGACAACCGCCGAGCGCAAGCAGCTAACAGAGCTCTGCGTGAAGTTCGCCGCTGGCCGCGTTCCCGTTGTAGCCGGCACAGGCAGCCTCTCATCCGCCGAGGCGATTGAACTCTCCGTGCATGCTGCGCAAGCAGGCGCCGCCGCGACAATGGTCGTGCCCCCATTCTACGACCCCCTCAATCTGGAACAGCTACACGAGTTGCTCTCTGAAATTCACACTGCATCGGGTCTGCCGATTGTCTTCTATAATATCCCTGCTGCATCCGGGATGACGCTGTCCCCCATCGAGATTGCAGGTCTGTCTAAGGTCGGCGTCAAGTATCTAAAGGATACTTCTGGTAATGCCACAGCGCTTACTGAACTTATCTTTGGTCTGTCGGATCAGATTATCTCTTTTAATGGGTGGGATACTTTGACCTTCTATGGTCTTGCTGCTGGCGCGCCTGGTGGTATTTGGGGTGCGGCGAATATTATTCCTGAGTTGGCGGTTGAGCTTTATGAGGCGGTCTCTGTGAAGGGGGATTTGAAGCTTGGACGGGAGATTTGGGCTAAGGCTTGGCCTATTTGCAATTTCCTTGAGTCGCATAGCTATTCGGCTGCTGTCAAGACTGGTGTTGAGTTGATTGGGCAGCCTACTGGTGGCTTGCGCAAGCCTTTTGCTCTTCTCAACCCGGAGTTGACGGCGGAACTTAAGCAATTGTTGCAGAATGCTGGAGTTAAGACTATTTAGATTTCTCTGTTGTGCATTTGATTATTTGCAGTGCTTTAATGTCGGAATGAGAATACATAACTACCATAACCTTGGAATCTTCTTAATCATTGCGTCATAAAAGTGCGTAATACAAATCGAAGAATATAACAACGAGAGTTGCCAGCTAGGTCAACAAAACAAGGGCCATGTCTGTCCTTGTTTCACAATATCAACCCACGACGGCATCGATTCACCCCGGTTCGCAGTCATATGCTCATCTTGCTTGCGCCATACTTCAGTGATGATATTCCTGGCCGTCCCAAAAGCAGCAAATCCGCATACAGAGCTCGCCCTATCCAACATGTTTATGATCGCCTCTCGCCTTGCCGTTGACATTGCCTCACATCCTGCGATAAACAATGGCCACGCCGTTCCAGGTCCGGTGGGATCATCTTGGGTCAATGTCGCACTGCACGCCTGGAGCGCTGTAATAACACTGTCAACATGACCCTGCAGAGCTGCAGGGTGGGTCTGTCGGATTCGTTTGTAAAAGAAGATTACTAGAGCTGCATTCAGTGCCTCCACCATATGACCGTGCGGCTTTGAATCGGCTTGGAGCTCCAGGACTCCGGCTCTTGTTCGGCCTAGGCTGAAAGAGCAAATCATATTTTCTAGACGCGTGCTACGTCGCTGTAGTGCTTCCCATGCTTCGAGGTTCATGGTCTGACCCGCCTCACGGCCAATACGGAATGTCTCCAAAACGTTGGCTAGCCTCGTTGTTTGCGAGACAAGGCTAAGCCAGGTTTCTGGGATGCCATAAATTTGCTTGTATAATGTTTCAGGATAGCTTCGCGAGTCTTGGAGGTGGATGTCATGAAGTCCCGAAGTCTGGTCCTTAGGTTCATCGATATTCAGATCACTATCCGAGTTTTGTGTTTCGAGGCGGAGGAAATCGTCCAGCCGAGGATTTGGCTCAGTGTTTCCCATGTCTTCTGAGCTCGGTGTGCATCGTGATTGAAATCGGCAACCAAGTGCTTCAAAGGAGGATGGGGAGAGGTTCTCTTCATGTAGAACAAATGTGCTCTCGCCGACTATTCTTAGCCAGGTGTAGACGTGATGCAAAAGCCGTGCCTTTTTCGAAATTCGGGTCTTTGAAAGTCCTCGAAGCCGTAGTAGCCGCTCTGCATCAATCATAAAGCATCGGGCGTGTTGCTGTTGGCCGGACATGATCTGTGAAAGTCAGAGTCATTCAATAAATGTCAAATGTAAAGCTCACCGTGTACTGTATGAGAATGCATACAGCCATCAGCTGGTCTTTATATTTTGCTTTCTTCAAACCTTGGGTCTCTGAGTGTAAAGATGTTTGTATATGGTCCCTGGCTTGCAGGTATGCATGATTGGCAACCTTCCACCAATACTCGGGCGGGTTTGTCGATATTGTCGAGGGGTTCAAAACAAGATGAATCGCAGAGCAGGCGAGCAAGCCATACAAATTTGCAAGTTTTGCCTGACTGACCCTTTCCGTCCTAAGAAAGGTCGAGTCACTGTATGTAACCACCGCCGCTGGCACGTTCAAAATCTTCCAGGGCGACTTCTGTCGACAGGGAATGGCCATTATGTGCGGGATCACAATATCTTGGAAATGTCTAAGCAAAGCCGGGGCATCTTTTAGTGCATCTATATCAGCAGAACCAAGCTCTGCTGGTGCCTGTTGTGTTGTGAAAGATTGCAGTACATCATCGCTGTGATTTGAGTCAACGGGGAGCAACCCCATCTCTTGGCCCATATCAAATAATAAATCATTTGGCATACTCAAAGCACCGTTTGTTGCAAACTCCGTCTGGTCTGGGCCAAAACTCAATAGATCGGACCAATGGAGAAAGTCATCAATATGAGACAGGGAATCAAATATTGGAGAAGGACTAGGCTCTTGAAGTTTCTCAGGGGCCACAGTCTCAGGCGCCTCAACTGCAGAATTTATATCAGACTTGACGGACTCAATCTCATGCACCAATTCTTGCTCTGGCTTTTGTATTGCTGAAGAAAAATCGAGAACCGCAAAGGGTCCGATGACAATGTCACTATCGAGCGAGCGTTCAGGGTCTCGAAGTCTCGAGTCAACCTCTGCCAGCGATGCATCAATTGAGCCTAACACAAGATCAGACCCCAGCGCAGTGCTCATAGAAAGTCTGGATTGCTCTAGAACATGGGTTAATATTAACAAGTTCAACATGTCTCATACTGCCAAGGTCAATGTACCTGAGTAAAGATGGCGGCGAGTCCCACGAGGTATATGAGTACTCTCAGGCTCTTCACTATCAGTGCGCATCCACAAGACCTGATCGGAGTATCCCTCGCATTTCACGCCTAAGGCACGACATGTACGGCAAACGGGCCGTTTCTGATCACATTTGACATGCCGGCGTCTGCAGGTGCTGCACCCTCCCAGCACATGGGATCGGCGAGGTCTTGATCGCTTAGATGTCACCATTCTCGGAGTTATATATATAGATTTAATTTAAAAAGGGAAGCTTAGCTCATTTTCATATTAGAAGGTAAAAAGTAGAAAGTCGAGGATATGGCCAACCCCGCCAAATATCGGAATCGCCTTCCTAAATGGGATCTCTTATCGGCTATCTCCTCGGAATCACCTGCTCTTCCAAGCCTTGGTGTCTTTCCTTTCGAATTTCCTTTTAACATCTACAATTTCATTACCGACTGGAATCACCTCTCTGTTTGCCATAGATCATAAGTGGGACAACCAAAACAAAAGTTTGGCCCGGTTAGGTTGAAAATGAAGCTGCCAACAACCCGTTTGGCCCAGTTCTACTCCGTGGTGGGTGATATCGTGGAATTCATTGACAACGTTGAAATCAGAATTGGCTATTAACTATAACCAAAATTGACACAACACTCCAGATACCTAGATCGCAGTGTCCTAGGCTGCATAAGCAACTCTGATTCTCTTTTTGTAGAGCCTTTTCTTACCAAGCTTGGACCCGGCACGTTTGGCTAGCCCACGCGCAATATCCTCGACGCTCTTATATGACTGGGGCTAGCCCAATATTTGTATAGCTCGTAAATAGTGATTTGGTAAAAGCTCCGCGCGACTTAACATCCTTAACCCGTGACAGTGACACCGTCCAGATAATCTCAATATGGCAAGGGACTCCGATCGATCGCCCTCCACGATAGGAAACCAACCCCAGAAACCCCATCCATAGTAAAGAGAAGCTCCTTTTGTGCATCTAAATCCGGCAATGGAAAATGACCTCGGAAGGGGAGAGGTCGTGGAGAATCCTTCTTATTTGAACTGCGCCGTCGTCGTCGCCTTGTCCTATCCATTTTACTTACAAATTTTCCATAATCACATCCCAACGCACACGGTACAAGCATGGCTCACCGCGGAGAGACTCTTCACAAAGATGTATGCTGCATTGCTGATCTGAAGAAAATGGGGAGTAGTCGGCTGGCTCCGATGGTCAGAGGTGAGTACTATCACTTCACAACAGCGATTTATTGTATCCAGTGCTGATCTCGATAGACTACTACAATGGAGGAGCTATGGATCTAATTACGTATGGTTTCTCAAATGCAGCGACTGGTCTACATCTTCGTTAACATTTGTCTAGTCTCAACGAGAACGAAACAGCCTTCGACCGCTACAAGATCCGTCCCCGGATCTTAATCAATGTCGATAACATCGACACAAGCACCGAGTTCCTCGGCAGCAAGGTATGTTGTTCTTCCACTTTCCCAGAGAAACGAACACACCAATACCAACCCTAATAATTAACAGGTCTCGCTCCCATTCGGCTTCAGCCCCGCCGCATCAATGAAACTCGCCCACCCAGACGGCGAACTCGCGACCTCGCGCGCAGCCGCAAAATACGGCCTCTGTATGGGCCTATCCTCGTACTCGAATTATCCGCTCGAGGACGTCGCCGCACAGGGCGCCGGCAATCCGTATGTGATGCAGATGTGTGTACTGCGGGATCGGGCGATTACGCTTCAGTTGCTAGAGCGGGCGGAGAGTATGTATCTTGGATGCTTATTTTTCATGGTTTTGTTGACTTGGCTGAGCTAACATCCTTTTCAGAGGCCGGCTACAAGGCGCTGTTCCTATCTGTTGATGTACCCGTGTTGGGCAAACGCATCAACGAGTACCGAAATGAGTATACCATCCCAGATGATATGTCATGGCCGAATATCCTCAGCCACGGAGGGGATTACTCAAACCGCACCGAGTACGGTATGTCTTGCGGCGAGGCTAATCTGTGAAGTTGGTGCAGACATGCTGATGTTTTGCAGACCCCAGTTTGGATTGGGAGAATACGATTCCGTGGTTGCGACAGCATACATCTTTGAAGATCTGGCTTAAGGGTGGTATGTTTGCATTGTCAAGTGATCAAGCAAAGCAGCTCACAGTTTCACTAACGATGGTACGGCAGTAACGTCCCCCGAAGATATAGAGCTAGCCATCAAATATGGCATCGATGGCGTCGTCATTTCAAACCACGGTGGGCGGCAACTAGACGGCATGCCGTCCACAGTGGATGCGCTGCGGGTCTGTGCCCCAGTAGCCAAGAATCGAATTCCGATCGCGGTGGATGGGGGTATCCGACGAGGCTCGGATATCTTCAAGGCTTTGGCATTGGGGGCTAGTTTCTGTTTTGTGGGGAGGATCCCATTCTGGGGATTGGCTGTAAGTATTTGCTTCTTCTGTGCTTACTTTTTATTTTATTTATAACTAACCGATACAGTATAACGGACAAGAAGGTGTCGAATTGGCGATACGGATCCTCCGCCAAGAGCTGCGCATCACCATGGCATTGGCCGGGTAAGTGATTGCTCTCTGAAATGCATAATAAAAAATAAAATTTCTAATCGGAAGCAGGTGCCGGACGATCGGCGAAATTCAAAACTGTTATCTTTCTGTTTTGCAGCCAGATGGGATCCTCTCGAAGCTGTGAGTATTTATACTTCTGGCTTCCAGTGTTGATATGCAAATCAAGCCAGGTTTGTGGTATCACACTAAC